CATACATACATACATACATACATACACACACATACATACATACATACATACATACATACATACATACATACACACATACATAATTACATAATTACATAATTACATACAAACATACATACATTACATACATATGTTGCCTTCATTACATACATTACATACATTACATACATTACAAACATTACAAACATTACAAACTTTACATTACATTGCATTACATTACATTACAACATTACAAAACAACATGTCATACATTACATACATACATACATACTTACATGCATGCATGCATGCATGCACGCATGCATGCTTACATACATACATACATACATACATACATACATACATAACATACATACATACATACATACATACATACATACCTACATACATACATACATTACATACATACATCCATGCATGCATGCATGCATACATACATACATACATACATTACATACATACATACATACATGCATGCATACATACATACATACATACATTACATTACATTACATTAAATTAGAATTACATTACATTACATACATACATACATACATTACATACATACATACATCCATGCATGCATGCATGCATGCATGCATACATACATACATACAATACATACAATACATACATTACATACACTACGTGCATTTCATGCATTACATTCATCGCATACATTCTTTACATTCCATACACTGCATACATTACATACATTGCATACATGACATACATTACATACATTACTTACATTACATACATTGCCTAAATTACATACATTACATACATTACATAGATTCAGACATACATACATTACATACATTGCATACATTCCATACATTTCGTACATTGCATACATTACATACATTACATACTTTACATACATTACCGACAGTACCTACATTACCTACATTACATACATTACAAGGATTACCTACATTACCTGCATTACCAACATTACCTACGCTACATTACATTACATTACATTAAATTACATTACATTACATACATTACCTACATTACCTACATTACATACTTTACATTACATTACGTTGAATGACATCACATCACATTACATTACATACATTACATACATTACATTTATTACATACATTACATACATTACATACATTACATACATTACATACATTACATACATACATACATACCTACATACATACATACATTACATTACGTTACATTACATTACATTACCTTACCTTACCTTGCCTTACCATACATACATACATACCTACATACATACATACATTACATTACATTACGTTACATTACATTACATACATACATACATACAAACATACATACATACATACATTACATACATACATACATACATACATACAAACATACATACATACATACATTAAATTACATTACACTACGTTACATTACATTACACTACACTACATTTCATTACATTACATTACATTACATACATTGCATTCATTACATTACATATCATAACATCAAATCAACTCACATTACATTACATTACCAACTTTTCAAACATTATATTCATTGCATACATTACATGACATTACGTGACATTACATGACATTACAGTCATTACATACATTGCATACATTACATTCATTACATTCATTACATACATTACATACATTACAGGCATTACATAAATTACATACATACATACATACATGCATACATACATACATGCATGCATGCATGCATACGTACATACATACATACAGACACACACACACATACATACATACATACATACATGCATACATACATACATACAGAACATACCTACATGCATTACACAGATTCGTACATACATACAACACGTGCATTACATGCATTACATACATTACATACATTACCTACATTACCTGCATTAGAGGCATTACATACATTAGATACATTACAAACATTTCATTACTTTTCAAAAATTTCATACAGACATACATTACATACCTTACATACATGACATCCTTTACAAACATTACATACATTACGTACATTGCCTAAATTACATACATTACATAGATTCAGACATACATACATACATACATACATTACATACATTACATACATTACATACATTACATACATTACATACATTACATACATTACATACATTACATACATACATACATACATACTTACATTACATACATACATACATACATAAATACATACATACATACATACATTACATACATTACATACATTTCATACATCATCTACATTACCTACATTACATACATTGCGTACCTTACATACATCACATACATTCCATACATTCCATACATTCCATACATTCCATACATTGCATACATTACATACATTACATGCATTACATACATTACATACATTACATACATTACATACATTACATACATTACATACATTACATACATTACATAGATTACATGCAGTACATACATTACATACAGAACATACCTACATGCATTACATACATTACATACATTACATGCATTCCATTCAGAACATACAGAACATACAGAACATACATACATACATACATTACATTACATTACATTACATTACATTTCATTACATTACATTACATTACATTACATACATTACATACATTACATACACTACATGCATTACATACATTACATACATTACATACATTACATACATTACATACATTACATACATTACATACATGACGTACATTACATACATTACATACATTACATACATTACATACATTACATGCATTACATGCATTACATGCATTACATACATTACATACATTACATACATCACATACAATACATACATTACATACATAACATGCATACCATACATACATACATACATACATACATACATACATACGTTACAGACAGACAGACTGACAGACATACATGCATGCATGCAAACATACATACATACATGACATACATTACATGCATACAATACACAAATGACATTACATTACATTTCATCACACTACACTACATTGAATTACGTTACATTACATACATTACATGCATTACATGCATTACATACATTACATACATTACATTACATTACGTTACATTACATCACATTACTCTACACTACGTTACTCTACACTACATTTCATAACATTACATTACATACATTACATACATTACATACATTACAAAAAGACATAATGTCAAACATCATCGACATTACCTTCATTACATACATTACATATATTTCATTACATTTCAAAACATGTCATGCACACATACATTACATACCTTACATACATGAAAACATGCATTACATAGATTACATACATTACATACATTACATACATTGCCTACATTACATACATTACATACATTACATACATTACATACATTACATACATTACATACATTACATACATTACCCAGATTCGTACATACATACATCACGTGCATTACATGCATTACATACATTACATACATTACCTACATTACCTGCATTACATGCATTACATACATTAGATACATTACAAACATTTCATTACTTTTCAAAAATTTCATACAGACATACATTACATACCTTACATACATTAAAACATGCATTACATACATTACATACAGTACATACATTACATACATTGCCTAGGTTACATACATTACATACATTACACACATTCATACATACATACATTACATACATTGCATACATTCCATGCATTCCATACATTGCATACATTACATACATTACATACATTACATACACTACATACCTTACATGCACTACAGGCATCGCATGCATTACATACATTACATACAATACATACATCACATACATTACATACATTACCTTCATTACCTACATTACATACATTACCTTCTTTACATACATTACATTACATTACGTTACATTTGTTACATTACATCACACGACACTACATTTCATTACGTTACATTACATACATTACATAGATTACATGCAGTACATACATTACCTGCATTACATACATTACATACATTACAAAAGTTACATACATTTCCTACATCATCTACATTACACACATGGCATTACATTGCATACATTACATACATTACATACATTCCACACATTTCATACCTTGCATACATTACATACATTACATACATTACATACATTACATACATTACATACATTACATACATTTCACAAATTACATACATCACATACAGTCCCTATAACATACCTATACATTACATACATTACATACGTTACCTATGTTGCATACATTACATACATACAATACATGCATTACATGCTTCACATACAGTACATACATTACATACATTACATACATTACATACCTCACAAACATTACATACATGACAGTCCTTACCTACGCTACCTACATTGCATACATTACATGCACTACATGCATTACATGCATTACATACATTACATACATTACATACATTCCATTCATTACATACACTACATTACCTACATTAACTACATTACATACATTACATAGATTACATACACTACCTACATTACATACATTACAAAGACGCAAACATACGTGCATGCATACATACATACACTGCATACAATACTTACATGCACTTCATACATACATACTTACAACACAAACAATACATACATTACATACATTACCTGCAGTACCTACATTACCTACATTACAAACATTAGCTACATTACCTACATTACCTACATTACCAACATTACATACATTACATACATAACATACAATTCATTCATTACATACAATACATACATTACATACATTACATACATTACATGCGTTACATACATCACATACAGTACATACAGTACATGCACACATACATACATACATACATACATACATACATACATGCATACATACATACATACATACATACATACATACATACCTACATGCATACATACATACATACATGCATGCATATCAATGTTTATATATATGTTCACATGTATTTATATATATATATACATATGTATACATATATGTACATAGCATCTATTTTGTTGATGTCAGTCGGCACCTCTTTGGTCACGTCCGTCAATGCACAGCCCAGGAGAAACAGATCAAAGAGATTCCAGAAAACCTGCGCAAAGACTTGGGGATGCCAAGACATGCCAAGATTATAGCGATCTTTGATTGATTTTGAATGCACAACTTCCACACAAGCGCTTGCCGCGCTTGCAGTCTTGAAATTGTCCACTGCTGTTGATCTTGTTCGGCATTCTCTGGGGAAGTCCACAGGTAAGGGGCCCAATCCGCTATCCTTTGAAGGTCGTTTTGCGTTTCAGCCGTGTTCCTATCGGGCCTATTCATGTGCTGTCTAACATACTGGTTGTGGGAGAATCCAACTGCCAAACAGGATCGCTTCACGTGCGCACACTGCCACTGACAAACTGGGATTTGAGGTTTGCAGTGGTTTCTGTGACTTGTCAAAGTGCGTGGCGCCTGCTGGCCACAGAAGAATTGTCGCCAGCCCAAGATCATAAAACGAATTGCAACTTCCAGCAGGAGCAAGCTGGTAAATGCCAGCTCACACCAGAAAAAACCACCCCAATCTGAATACTCAGGATCCATTTGAATACCCATCCTCAAGTACCAAGATGCGCAAAAAGCTGAAAGAGGCTGAAATCATTCTGAAAGATTCTGAGTACGTATAACACCGCGTTTGAATGTCTCCTGCAAATGTGACCACTTCATTTTGAGCAGAATGAAATGACAGCAATAAGCGGTTCAACCCTCACAAGATCTGCTAAGCGACATCACAGCATTTGCAATGATCACCTTAGTGGCGCGGCGCGGCAAATCTTGTTCAATCATGGCAACGTGACAAAAGTCTCACCCCTCTCAAGATTTAGGCGTCTTACAGCTGCAGGAACCCGCCTATTGATTGAGAGGTGTGCTGAATGATGCATCAATGGATCACATGTCAATGCGGGCAGCCGTTCTTTTCCGGTGCACGTGTTTGGGTTTGAAGTCTTCCGCAGCACCCTCCACCGAGTCAGTGGATTCAAAGTGCCATCCATACGTACCAGGCCAAAGTGAGGTAGCTGCAACGACATTCACGGCGTTCTTCAGAAGCCAGGTGATGTCTGATCACTGTCTGCCACTTTGTCTGCCATTTTTGGTTAACTGGTTCCTCAAGGCTGGCCGGTCCACCTTCGCACACTCTGCTGGGGAAAGCTTCAGGAGTTCCTCCCCTGTCTCCAAAACCCTGGAGACATTCTCGCTCATAGCATTCTGTGCTGCTTCGGACTCTGCAGTTTCCGTACTCAGCACGTAGTTGCCGATGAAGAAACTGCTCGATGTGGTTTGTCTTCGTCACAGGTTTTATTGTCGCCAGGAGGTGAACAGCCATGAGCTCCATCGCCTGCAAGCCTTGGCAAGTGTACTGGCGGATTCTGGAACGGCCCAAAGAGAAACCATCTTTGGTATTTGGGCGTATCCGGTTTGACAAACACCTGTTCAGCTTGTCCTTTAGCTTTCCCTGCATCGCCTCCTTTAGCTTTTCCTCTGGGGAAAGCGATCTCATTGCTCTCCTTCCTAGCTCCAACACCAGCCACTCTGGCCTCGGAAGGATGTCCCTTATCCAGATCGCTTTGCGCAAGCGGGCTTCCAGCGTTCCCGGTCTGATCTTGGGACATGGGACTGATATGGGAATTGTATTGTTTTTTTAATGGAATTATTAGGATTACGTCCTACCGGAGCTATCATGATCATCATTCCAGCATTTGCAGTGAACACAGGATTTGATTTTGAATGCCTGAGCAGCAAGTTCGCAGGCTGCGATGCAGCTTCCACTTCGTGGACACTTGCAGGTTTTTGGGCGCATGGCCATAGTTCCTCCACCGTCTCTTTCACCAGGTTCTGTTGGTGCTCGTCTGTTCGTTGGTTTGCATCGAACACCTGACACCTGGTGACACTTCTTCGCGTACCATGCTCTTTGGTCCGACAGGGTGTGAGCTGTTGAATGCCAAGCCGGAAGAAACGGCCGGTGACTTTACCAGATAGACAGGCGTCAAAGGCTGGGAGCCAGTGGCATCGCTGGGCACTGCCTGACCCTTCTCCATCTGATCCTGGTTCACATCCACCTCCATCACATCAGCTTCACCCAGCTTTACTGAGAAATTCCTTCCATCTCTTGGTCACAAAGAGGAATCTGTTGGTCAGAAACCATCTGTTGGCCAGGAACCCCATGTTGGTCAGGAACCGCAGACCGCCCCAGCGACCTTGCCATCTGTTCTGCAAAGTCTGCTCGTTTTCTTTCAGCCTCTCTCCATATCTTGGCAGCGTCAGAAGATGCCGCACCACGGCTGCGACTTTTGGTAAAGTCAGAAGACCCAGTCATCATCGCATCTCGGAGTTCACTTTCAGGAGCCTGAAGTACCAGCGCTGCATCTTGCCTCCTCACGGCATCTGTACTCGGAACAGAAGAGACGTTGGCTGCACGGAATCTTGGCACGCACACACCCTACATGTGTGTGTGAGCACCCCTCTGGATTTCAGATGGGCTCCAGTCATCGGTGACAGGAGGACGAGGACTGATGTCCAGATGAGGAGGTTCTCCATCTCCTGCATCGAACACTGCACATGCCCCTGCTGGGAGCTAATCAACAGAGCTGATTGCAGCAGCTCCCACCTGCTCAGCTTGAGCCCAAAATCAGGAAATTTGGAAGCTGTGAGATCAAATGCCAGTGACATCAAATGAGATTGCAACCAAACAGCACTTCTCAACGAGACTGCGATCAAACAGCACTCTGCAAAATCATGGGAGCTGTGAGCTGACCCCCTCAGGATTTAGGCACCTTTCAGCCGCAACAAACAGCCTATGGCCTGAGGCTTCTGCCCATGTAATCATCCCCTCGACGAAAAGCAGCGGAGGCCTGGGTGCATCAAAAGAAACAAAGCTGAAGCGCAGAAATGCGCAATGTGCACCGCTTCTGCAAATACCAAGAAGACTCACGCAAGCAAATCTACACAACAAAATCAAACAAGCATACATCGCTTGATTCCGGCCCTCAGCATCTCCGTCACCAAGCTGCGTTGGATCTGGCGGCGCTGCAAGGTCGTTCAGCCTGTCAGGACTCCACAGAGCGCACAACACATCCCATCGGCATGCGCATTTTGCCTTGCATGATTTAAATTTACTGTCCTTCCCAAATATCATCCAGCCTTTCGGGGGGCGTTTGACGAAGGAAGTTTCGATAGCTTCAGATTAAGTTTTGCTACCTTCACAATGTGGAGCCCCCACCGAAGAAATGAGATCAAATGACATATGTAACCCTGCAGTAACACAAGCTTGATTGACCCTACTGATCCAAACCCCCATCGAAACTCCAGGCCTGACAAATGTCAGCTCGGCCACCAAACCTGTCAGCGTCGGCAGAAATTCTGCACATGTAGTGACTTCAGTTTTGCACAGCTCCGTTGATCACAAGGTCCGGGACTGTGGGTTTGTTTTGTTTGTTGTTTTTTTTGAGCCCCGACATGCGCTGACATCCTGAGATGCAGTGTTGTCTCTGGCTTATTCGTTTTCCAGTTGTTCTTTTGACGGGGCACGGTTGGTGTCACCGGCCAGCAAGACCTCTCTGATTGCTCGGAAGGCTGGCAAAGATGGACCAAAAATCCTCGCCACGTAAACCCATGGTCGCAATATTCCGCAATATTCCGCAATAGCCTCTGTTTGCGATACAATGAAAACATCCTCTGCTTGTGGATGCTGTGGCCCATGAAAACTGACGAATGGCGCACAAGCTTTTGCTCAGAATCGTCAACCTATGGATGGGAGCGCCCTCAATCTGTATGTGGATGAGTTCTAGGTCTACACTCATGTCTCTATTTTTTTCAAGTCTTCAATTTGTCCTCAAGTCTTCAATCTCCCGAGTCCTTCTGTGCACGTCACCATCTTCTGCAAGCAAGATCTGCATCAAGGCTTGCGCGGGCACAAGACTACCAGGCGGACGTTTTGGATGATCCAGCTCCATCCAACTGGCTGTAGCCGCCATGTGCGTTTCCTTCAACCTCAGGCGATTTGACTGATAAATAAGATCAATGCCCTTGCAGCCTGAAGTCCTTGCCCGAATGATAGTTCAAAACACAACGAGGCTCAACCGAATTAGCTGAGACACGGGGGCCACTCCCAAACGGCACGGCCCTGGCAGAGATCGACATGGGCCCAGCGTATAGCTACCGTCTCTGTGAGAAAACGGACAGAAAAGAAAAGTTCACACGCATGCATGTAACTTATTGTAACGTACTGCAACTTGGTAAGCGTGCCTTAGGAATTCTTACGGGTTTCCCTCTTTTTTTGCCAGGCCGTAGTAAAGCCTAAACTATCTCACTATGTGCTTTTGCTATTCTACAAGCCAGTTCGCCCTTGCCATCCTATCAGATTATCTGAAAAGTTGTTATCTGTATCATTTTGTCATTCCACAAGTTTCAGCTAGGCTACAACGTTGTCATCCTCGATCACGGCAGCCAACTTATCCTTCTTCTCTTTATCGAAACGCAAATTGATGAAGCAGGCGAGGTGATTCACCAAAGCACTCACTTCCTGGCATCTGATGCAAAATCGGAAAGGCCCTCATGGAGAAGGAAGGCCTTTGGGCCGTCATCTTATCCAAATGACAAAAACCAGCGGAGAACCCTCGAACCATAGGATATTTCTTGACAAAATCAAAGTGAACAGCTGACGCTATGCGCAAACAATTCGTTCTGTGCAGCGACGAAGCAAGACGATGATCTTGGAGTGTTTTGCCTACGAATATCAGAATTAGCCGACGGAAGTTTAGAAGTCAAACTTCCGACAAAATGGACGTATGAAGTAGCAGAGGTGGGAAGAGGCAGAGAAGAGAAAGAGTCAGAAGAGAAGAAGTCAGAAGAGAAGGGGTCAGTAGAAAGAAGATCTAGGTTCCAAAAAAGTCGCAGAACACTGTGTGTTTTCCGATGTGTTGTGACTCTAGAGGGTCGAAAAGTAGGCTTGCTAAAGTGGCGGGTGCGGAGCCAATTTGGCGGGAGGAGATATATCAAAAATTGCACGCCGCTGTGGCGCTAAGCAAAGTGCTACAGACACCTCATTCTCGGAACGCTTTTGGAAGTTGAGGTGTGGAAAAATTGCACGCGGCTGTGGCACGAAGCGCGTTCTCGATGTCAAAATGCCAAAAACACCTCAGGTTCGGAGCACTTCTGCGGGGTAAGCTCTGCAAAAAGTGTGCGCGGCTGTGGCGCGAAGGACATTGCAAAGTGAAAATGTTAAAAACACCGGGGGTGCGGAGCCCTTTTGGCAAGTCAGATGATGTGGCGCGATCGAAATTTCAAAAACACTTCAGCGTGGGACAACCTTTGGAAGTTGAGATGTCGAAAAAGCGGCGCACGCCGTTTTGGCGCCAAGCACGTTCGTAAGTCAAACGTGTTAAACTGAGGGTCTCGGGCCACTCTTTTAAGTTCGGATGCGGTTTTGTGTGGCAGGCGCAACGGATTCTGCACCTTGCCAAAAATGAGAAAAACGTGAAGGCTTCGTTAAACAGTCGAAGAGGGTCTGCAAAGATGCATGTCGCGTGGCAGGGGCAGAAAAAGAGTCATATCGGTCAGGCATGTTAGGAGGTCAACACGCTGATTTCATGAGACGGCCTGCACTTTGGAGCATCAGATCGTCAGGTTGGCAGAGAGCGAGCAACTGTGCATCATTTTGATTTTCGAAAAAGCAGCCACTTGCAGCCACTTGCCCAAACTGCCAATCTGCAAGTGGGTGCAAGTGGCTGCAGGTGGCTGGAAGTGGCTGAGCGGCCACTTGCAGCCACTCGCACCGGCAGTCACCTGCAGCCACCTGCAACCATCTGCAGCAACTCGCAGCCACTTGCAGCCACGTGCCATCTTGAAAAAAGCGTCATTGTAGATCGTAGTTTTTTTTTCAAGATTGTCTGTAGTATAGAGGGCTAGCCACCCACCAGCAGCTACCCGCAGCGATTGAAACATAGGTATACTAGGCCAGATTGCCTGTATTTGAGGGCCAGCGCTTACTTGCACCCAGCGAACTTACGACTAGCTGTTCAATAGTTTTTGTTGGTTATTTAATGATGGTCTACCTTACAGTAAGTGATTAGCAAGCGTAGTAGGTCTTCGGTTCGCGGGTCAAAACATCTATAAGTGGTTTATAACTTTGGTTATTAACCATTTCGTCATTGATGTAAGGGCTATATCTTAAATGGTGGAACTTAGAACTCCATAGTCATACCTATGCCAAATTTCTATGAATCAGCCCCTGGGGAATTTTGAAGCCGACCGTCAATGGATTGGTTGAAGGAAAATCTCCGGATACATTCTTCCTTTAAACTGATCTAGTGAAATTACTAGTTTGAAATATTCTTGGTGATTTATGAGAAATCACAATCGCACTTGGATCCTTTAGGCATTGTGTAGATTCTGCCACCATGGCACGCCCTCTCAGCAGGTCAGTTTAAGTATAATTTGGTTATCTAGGGTTATGGGTCATGGAAATTATAAATATGATCAAGGGGTTGGGAAACAGACGCGTAAGATCTCAAAATTGTGGATGGCACACATTGCTCCACAGCTTTGTTCAACACAAGATTTTTCAGCGTAGCAAAGATGTTTGAAAGCGAAGGGCAAGTTCTTATAGCGGAGCATCCAAGATGGTTGAAAGTCATGGACAAGATCTTACACCGTAGCACCCAAGATGATTGAATGCTACAGTAAGGACAAAGTCTTACTCCATAGCATATTGTGTAGCATCCAGATCATCCAACATGTTGCTGTTTTTCTCATGTTCTTGTTGTTGTTCTTTTCCTTGTTCTGCTTCTTGTTCTTAACCATAATTTCAATCTTGTTCAGTTCTTGCTGTTGCGGTTCTTGTTTTAGTCCTGTAAGGACGAGAACTTACAGGGTATCATCCAACATGTCTTGAAGGTTGGGGACAAGACCTGACAGCGTAGCACCCCAGATGATTGAAAGTTAAGGACAAGATCTTACACCACCTTACACCATACAATCCAAGATGATTGAAAGTTAAGGACGCGGCCTTTCAGCATAGCACCAAGCATGTTTGAAAGTTAAGGGCGGAATCTTACACCGTAGCATCCAAGATGCTGGAAAGTTAGGGAGAGAATCTTACAGCGTAGCATCAAGCATGTTTTGAAGTTTAGGACAAGACTCGGCACAGTAGCATGAAAGGTTTTTGAAGATTAAGGGCAAGGTTTTACAGCGTGGCATCAATAATGTTTGTAATCCAAGGACAAGATCTTAGAGCATATCATCCAAGATGTTCAAAGTTAAGGACAAGCTCTTCGAGCATAGCATCCAAGATGACTGAATGTCAAGGGCACTATCTTACACCATAGCACCCAAGATGATTGAATGTTAAGGACAAAGTCTTACTCTATAGCATCCGAGATCATCCAGGTTTGAGAGTTCAGGACAAGATCTTCTTCTGTGGCATCCAGATCTTCCAAGAACTTGCTATTTTTCTCTTCGTCTTGTTTTCGTTCTTTTTCTTGCTGTTAATGTTATTGTTGCTGTTGATGATGTTGATGCTGTTGATGTTGTTGTTGAAGTTGTGGTTCTTGTTTTTGATCTTGTTCCTGTGGTTCTTGCGTCTGTTCTGCTTCTTGTTCGTTAAAGACAAGAACTTACAGCGTATCATCCAACATGTTTGATGGTTAGGGACAAGACAGACAGGATCTTACAGCATAGCATCCAACATGCGTGGAGGTTAAGGACAAGATCTTTCTTCGTAGCACGAAGATTTGCAAGTTAAGGACAAAGTCTTACACGGTAGCATCCAAGAGGATTGAAAGTTCAGGGCACGATCTTTCACCGTAACATCAAAGGTGATTGAAAATTAGAGGCAAGGTCTTACACAGAGCAAAAAAAGATGTTTGAAAGGTATTGAAACTACAAGACCTGACAGGGTAGCAGCCAAGATGGTTCAAGTTAAGGACGGGATCTTACACGGCAGCATCCAAGATGATTCAACATGAAGGACAGGATCAGACAGCATAGCACCAAAAATGATTGAAAGGTAAGGACAAGATCTTACACAGTAGCATCCAAGATGTTGGAGAGTACAAGATTTTTCAGCGTAGCAAAGATGTTTGAAAGCGAAGGGCAAGTTCTTATAGCGGAGCATCCAAGATGGTTGAAAGTCATGGACAAGATCTTACACCGTAGCACCCAAGATGATTGAATGCTACAGTAAGGACAAAGTCTTACTCCATAGCATATTGTGTAGCATCCAGATCATCCAACATGTTGCTGTTTTTCTCATGTTCTTGTTGTTGTTCTTTTCCTTGTTCTGCTTCTTGTTCTTAACCATAATTTCAATCTTGTTCAGTTCTTGCTGTTGCGGTTCTTGTTTTAGTCCTGTAAGGACGAGAACTTACAGGGTATCATCCAACATGTCTTGAAGGTTGGGGACAAGACCTGACAGCGTAGCACCCCAGATGATTGAAAGTTAAGGACAAGATCTTACACCACCTTACACCATACAATCCAAGATGATTGAAAGTTAAGGACGCGGCCTTTCAGCATAGCACCAAGCATGTTTGAAAGTTAAGGGCGGAATCTTACACCGTAGCATCCAAGATGCTGGAAAGTTAAGGAGAGAATCTTACAGCGTAGCATCAAGCATGTAGTATCAATCTGTGCCGCATAGGCCGGGACTGTCTATCACACCGGGGGGGGGGCACACAAATCGGGACGGAACATTATAATATCTTTCAACAAAATAGAAAGGAAAATTGCCACTCGTTTAGCCAAATGCTAGGTTTCAATCATTTTGGGTAGTTGCCATAAGATCTTTCTTTGGTCTACGGAATTCGCTACGAATTGTCTCACAACATGCCATCATTCCTTGGCACTTGGCAGCTCGCGGATTCTCGCTTTTTCAAGTTTTGAGAATTCGATAAAACAGCTGCTCGGACAAGCAGCCACGTAGCCACTTGCAGCCACTTGCAACCACTTGCAGACACTTGCACAAGCAGCCACTTGCAGCCACTTACAGCCACTTGCAGCTACCAGCAGCCACTTGCAGCCACAACCACCACTTGCAGCCACAACCACCACTTGCACCCACAAGCAGCCACTTGCAGCTACCAGCAGCCACTTGCAGCCACAACCACCACTTGCAGCCACAACCACCACGTGCACCCACAAGCAGCCACTTGCAGCCACCTGCAGCCACTTGCAGACACGGGCAAGTGGCTGCAAGTGGCTGCTTTTTTTGAGAATCAAATTACGCAAATTTTGCGCCCAGGATGTAAGTTTGCTAAGATGATTTTGCGTGACAGGTCCAGCACTTCGTCGTATGACCTGGCCTCACTTGGTCGTGAGTCGTGGCAGGCATTGGCACGAGGCCATCAGCTCTGCACTCACCTTTTCACTTTTTGAAGGAAGTCTCACAGAATTGCTTCGTTTTTGGAGCTCTGAACATCAATTGTTTGAGGAAGTGTCGTGGAATGGCTTCGCTTTGAACCTGTCAACTTTCCCTTTTGAAGGAAGCCCCGCATAATCGCTTCCTGTCAGATACATAGAAAGAAAGAAAGATGAATAGATAAAGAGATAGAGATAGAGATGGAGATAGAGATCAGGAGAGATAGAGAGACAGGTTGATGGACAGACCAACAGATAGATAGGTAGAGAGATAGAGAGAGAGAGAAAGAGAGATACAGCGATTGGGGGAGATTGATAGAGCGACAGATACATGGACAGAAATCTAGACAGAGCGAGCGAGAGAGAGAGAGAGAGAGAGAGACAGAGACTCAGAGCCTCGGCCACCTTTCTGTCCATCAATGGGTTCGCTCTGCCGTCCATGCATCGCAACAAACCCACCTCTCCTATAGGTTCCTATCTTTGAAACTTCCGCCACCGCCTTCTGCGGTACTACTTGTATATAAGTGGGCTGTTCAACAGTTCAAGGGGATTAGTTAGTGAATTAGAAGGATGGATTCGCTTTTCACGACGGCTTGACAAGGCCTACCGACATCTTCAACGGGCACAAGGTGTGGACGTGCAACTTACTGCCCGCCGCTTTGACGACAGGTTTATATGTTAACTGCTGGCCATATATGGGTATTCATATGCAACATCCCTTTGCGCCATGAAGCCAGCTGCGTTTCCGTGCTTTTCCGTTTGACAACGTTTCACTCTTTCTGCCTGCAGGCTGTAGCGTGTCAGGCCCAATGCGGAAACAGCTTCATGCAAAGACTTCCTGCAACCGAAACGGGGCAGAAATTGGCATGAATCAAGACACTCGACTTGAAAGTAAAATCATCGGCGGAAGAAAGAAATATGTGTTCATCTCACAACTGGAACAGAGCAATGGCGAATTGTGCTGAATAATTTAAAGCATGTGTAAGAAAGTCTCACATTAAAAAGAAATTAAATCAAACAGGGCCTCGGATCAGATCTGGTGATTTGGTTCTGGTCGGAACTGGCGACCAAACTGACCCTGGTTTGGCGGTCCCCGTCACGCACTTGGATGCTGAGATGACGCCCAGTCGAAGCCGTAAGCGACGACGGATAGCTCTCGCGTGTTCCTTGCCTCCCACAGCTGTAAGATTTAATTCCCCTTCATGTCTTGGTGAAAAGATCGAAGGTACCAGCAGAACCGGAATTCTGAATAGCCTCCCTGATGACATTCAACCATATATACCAACCATCAAAACCTGCGGCTTCAACAAGTTGTTTTCACAACAACAGAAACAACAACAACCAACCAACCGACCGACTAACCAACCAACCTACCTACCAACCCACCAGCCCACCAACCCACCAAGCCACCAAGCCAACAAGCGACCAAGCGACCAACAAACAACCAAACAAACAAACAACCCAAACAAACAAACACACAAACAAACAAACAAACAAACAAAAACACATACAAACAAACAAAAACACATACAAACAAACAAAAACACATACAAACAAACAAAAACACATACAAACAAACACAAACAAACAAAAACAAAGAAAAACAAACAAACAAAAACAAACAAACACAAAAACAAACAAACAAAAACAAACAAACAAAAACAAACAAATACAGAAAACAAAACCAAACAAACAAAACCAAACAAACAAAACAAACAAACAAACAAAACAACCAAAAAAACAACACAAACAACCAACACACACAACACACACACACACCACAACACAAACAACACAAACAACACACACACACAACACACACACACAACACACACATCACATACACACACACACAACACACACACAACACACACACACAGAACATACAACACATTAACACACACAACGAACACACAACACATTAACACACACAACACATTCAACACACACAACACCACCACCACCACCACCACAACAACAACAACAACGACAACGACAACGACAACGACGACGACGACAACGACAACGACGACGACTACGCAACGACGACGACGACGACGACAACGACAACGACAACGACAACAACCAGTACAAATACAAAAACCAGCACAAAACAAAAACGACAACAAGTACAACCAACACCAACCAACAATCAACAAGCAACAATCAGCAATCAACAATCAACAATCAAAAATCATCAACAACAACAACAACAGCAACAACAACTACAACTACAACTACAACAACAACAACCACCACCACCACCACCACGACGACGACGACGAGCACAACACAAAAAACAACAACAACTACTACTACTACTACCACCACCACCACTACTACCACTACAACCACTACAACCACTACAACCACTACAACCACTACTTACCACTACTACCACTACTACCACTACTACCAATACTACCACTACTACCACTACTACCACTACTACCACTACTACCACTGCTACCACTACTACCACTGCTACCACTACTACCACTGCTACCACTACTACCACTACTACCACTACTACCACTACTACCACTACTACCACTACTACCACTACTACCACTGCTACCACTACTACCACTGCTACCACTACTACCACTACTACCACTACTACCGCTACTACCACTACTACCACTACTACCACTTACCACTACTACCACTACTACCACTACCACTACCACCACCACCACCACCACCACTACCACTACCACTACCACTACTACTACTACTACCACTACTACTACTACTACTACTACGACTGCTACTGCTACTACTACTACTGCTGCTACTACTACTACTACCACCACTACCACTACGACTACGACTACGACTACGACTACGACTACTACTACTACTACTACTACTGCAACTACATTTTTACTATGAATAAGAATAGTAGTCGTGGCAATAGTAACAATAATAATACTATTGATATTGATATTTAAAAATGATGATGATGATGATGATGATGACGACGATGATGATGATGATATGATGATACGATGATACGATGATACGATGATACGATGATACGATGATACGACGATACGACCAAACGCTCATTCTGTAATCGTACGTGACTGGCACTGGCGCAATGGCGGGTCACGGTGCCTGCGTCTGCGAGCCTGGAGCGCAAATAAGGTGCCTGCTCGCGATCTGCCACGTGAGCAGCACTGCCTAACGATGTGGCAACATGCGTCTGTGGGTGTGTATGGAGGCTGAATCTTCTCAGTGTGAACATGGTTGAAATCCTTGCAACTTTCTTGCGTGAACAGAACCGTCAAAGTCTTTACATTGGCTCTTGTTTCCTAGCCTTGCGACTGAGACGTGATTCGTCTCAGCATTTGCTCCTCACGAATATCCTCACGAAAATCCGATGGTGCCAAAGAGTTGTGATCGATGATGTACATATCTGGCGAGACCTTGGAGGCACTGCACATGCGCATCTTGCACATCTGGCGCCAGGAATGTGGTTAACGCAGTGTTTTCCAAAGCTTTCCGAGGCACTCCACGGCTCCAAATTTGCGACAAGTTAGCGCCAGTTCCGCACTCGGAGACAGAGTCCTTTCTCATTTAAATTTTCAAAAAGTTTTAAGCAAAGCATTGTTTTGACAGTCATGGGGTCCATATCTGAAGCATTGCGCAGCACAACCTGAAATGCCAGAACTGTCCCATCTGTCCTTCGAATCAAGCGGCAAAGTAGAGACCGCATGGATGGACCTGATTATCACAAGCAGAGGGGAGGTCAGATTTCTTTGATCCTCATGAGATTCCTTTGTCATATCACAAGATATCACAAGTTCTTTCTCTTACACAATGATATCGGTGCGCTCTCATTCTGTATCATTCTGCGTGCATGCAGAGCATCTTTATATGACATGATCTGATCCTGTATAATGCTTACGCCCTCAGAGTAGCCCCGGTGCCAAGGCAGGAACAAGTCTCAATGTTCTGTTTGCAAGGTGGATCTTTACAGTAAATTCTGACAAAACCGCCATTTGAATCCTTTTGGTGCTTCTGAAATCTTGGGCCAAATTGATGCATACACAACCTACTTCATGCCTCTTTCATGCTTCTTTCATGCTTCTTTCATGCTTCTTATATCTTCATATCATTTCTTATCAGCGCCAAGAAGCTGGATGACTTGCTGTTTGAAAACATACCAGGAAGCATCCAGCACTTTCTCCAAGACTTCCTGTTGAGAAAGTCAAACGCTGCTGAAACCTTGACGTTGTTCACGTCGTTTCACATCGTTCAAGAAATTTGAGAATTAATTAACAACCGCCACAACTAATTCGCGTCCAACTTGTCACCCTCTCGGTATTTTACATCTTTATATCCTGGACTTGGAGAAAGGAATGCGATTTGGTTGTGGATCTCTTGTTGGCTTTTCTGCACCTAGCTGTCCTGTATGTTTTTCCTTTAAGATTTTCGTGACGCTGGACCTTCTGCCTCTGGACCAGTTTTCACCTTGTTTTTCACGTTTCGCTTCACGTTTCGGCTCACGTCCTGCTCCATTCCACACAGCTAACCAGGCGTCGCCTGGGGCCTGAGCCTTGAGCCAAAGGCTGCTAAAGCTGCAGTGGCGGCAAACTCCGTAATACGGAAACTGAAGAAAGGCCCACGGATGTAAATTGATGTCAAAAAAACAGAGAAAAAACACAGTACCGCTTGGAGGTCCGCATGATTGTGCAGGATGCAAACTACAGCTGCAGTTGACACAATGCATTTCCTATCTGCTTAGTTTACACCTGTTCAAATTTGATGTTGTAACCGCACGTGATCAGTCTTTGTTTAATTTGTCTAATTAGGAAAATTCCAAGGACTAAGCACCAAAAACATCACCTCCAACGCACCGACAATTTGACATAGCAACTCGGGCCTGTCCGCGGCAAACCTATTGAGGAGAAGCGCTTGTTGAGAACTTTGTAATGTCCTTCATGGTAACGGTCCATTGCAAGCATCAACCTACGTTTCTGCATACAAACATCCGTATAATATGTGTAATCATATGCCTAAACATCTATCTATCTATCTATCTATCTATCCATCCATCTATCTATCTATCGATCCATCGATCCATCGATCTATCGATCTATCGATCTATCGATCTATCGATCTATCGATCTATCGACCTATCGACCTATTTACCTATCTACCTACCTATCTACCTATCTACCTATCTACCTATCTACCTATCTACCTATCTACCTATCTATCTATCTATCTATCTATCTATCTAATATATATATATATATATGTGTGTGTGTATATACGCAAAGGAAATTTAATTAGAAAACTTCCAAGTTACGGACAATGGTCACAGTTAGCATCCATACCATCATGTCAACCACATCATCATATCAACAATGTGGCTTTTGGGGTCGCCGAAGTAGGGTCTTTGCTACCGCAGTTGCGGGCCTCAATCTGGGAAAGCCGTTGACAAAAAGTGCACAGGCAAGAGCTTGGTTTCACCAAAAAATAAACGCAAAAAACCGGAGTAGCGCGGAGTCGTCCCATTGTCAGCGGTGTGTGAACGTTTATCGATTTGGTGCGGCGCTCCTGCTATGCGGGTTTGCAACCGGCTGTGGAAACACGCATGGGCACGGCTGCGCGCAGCAAAGCAGCCAGTGATGCTGCGACGTTCCTGGCACGCAGCATTGCCGCTGGAGGTTGCTAAACGCATTTTAACAGCCGCGCGAAGAGAAGAATTGGGTTGCAGAAGCTACAGAAGAGCTAGCTGGGAGGCAGCTCAGAGCAGGGCAACTCATTGATTAATTGCTTTGTCCATGTTCGTTCAATGAGTGACTCAGCGATTCAACAATTCACTATTTACTAATTCATTGATTAGTTAATTGATCCATTGATGCATCGATTGATTCATTGACTCATCGACTCATCATTCATTCACTGATTCATTCCTCACTAGTTCATCACTCATTCATTGGTTCACTGATTCACAGATTTATCCCCTCACTAATGCACTCAATGATTATAATCATTTGTTCATTGATTCACTGAATCATCGATTCATTGGTTCATTGAAGTCATCGACTCACTGGTTCATTGATTCATTGAATCATCGGCTCGCTACCTCGCTCGCTTTTTCATTGGTTCATCGACACGTGATCCGCTCATTGCATGGCTCAGTGGTTCACTTATTCAACGACTCAATACTTCACTCATTGATTCACTGAATCATCGGTTCATTGATTGATGCATTGGTTCACTGAATCATGCAATGCTTCATTGACTCATCGATTCATTGGTTCACCCGTTTATTGATTCATGGACTCATTGGTTTATTCGGTCAGTTGTGCATGGATTCTTTCATGTCATTTCCTTGGCGTCTCAACCACGGTTTGCTCATTCGCTGATGCACCTCACAATTTCAACAGCTCACTGCTTCTGCATCGCAAAAGCTTTCGTATAGGCCATTGATATCTTAGTCTGTTCCTATTTTCGAACCTTCCGTCCCTGCGTGGGCCGGGCACTACCTGCTGTGTGTATATATATATATATGTGTGTGTGTGTTTAAAAATAATATACACTATATGTTGATCAAAATTAATCAATAAATATATAGATATACATATATATCCTATATCTATATACATCCTACATACATTTATTTACCATGTGTAAATATAAATCATATAGATATGTCATATACATATATATATAAGCTGTGCAAGTATTATATAAATATATTGGTACATATATATATATATATATATATATATATCATCTATATACCAAATGTGTATACGTACATATCATGCACATAAATAAATATATATATATATCACATCTATATATCAAATGTGCATGTATACATATCATGTACATATAATATATATATATACATATACATATCAAATGTGTCTATATATAAATACGTATCATGTATTACATAATATGTGTATACATATTTATGTATGTACACACATATCATATAATATATATATATATCATATCTATTCAAAAATCACATGCATATATATATATACATATCGAATATATTCCACATGTATATGTCTGTGTGAGTATGTACGTATGTATTAATGCTCTTGATTCTTCTCACTGCAATGTCGCTTGTGCAATAGCCCTCCTGGAAAGTTTGGAGCCAAAATGTTTCACAAGGCGTGCTCCAAGGTGATATTCACAAAGAGAAAAAAGGGAGCTGCATGCTGTGCCAGAAGGGACGGAAATCGGCTGAAGAACTACAACTTGCACTTTTGAATTGATACGCGCAATGTTTTGCTGATAACGTGCACTTGAACTTTTCACGTTCCGAAAGCCTTAGCTGTCTCATGTGCTGGGACAGGAGTAACTATAAAATTGAACATGACTTTAGAGCAGGAGATTGATTCGCTATGAGTCATTGGAACCCGTCACATGCCTTGAAATGACCAACCTGCAAAATCACACTAGAAGTAAAGCAAATCTACAGCAGGGAGGGCACACTCTCCGAAGCATGAAGAATTGGGTTGAGTTTGATTGTAGTTAAGAAAAGAGGGACGGGAGGTTGGCTAATGACGGTTGGGCACAGATATGGGTTGCGTCAGATCAGGGAAAACAGGTCATTAGATATATGTAAGAAAGGAGATGACAAATAAGTGGAATGAAGAGAACTTGGGCAGCGGGAAGTTTGAAACAGAAAAGTTGAACGGGGAGAATTTGGATAGAGTTCGGCTTGATGAAGGTAAGTTTGAACGAGGCAAGTCTGATAGGGGTAGAATTAAAATAGGCAAGGTTGATCTAGATTAGTTGCATGGAGGTAGGTTTGACAGAGGCAAGCTTGATATACAGTAGCGGCAAGTTTGATAGAGGTAAGTGGAAAGATATACATACGTTTGATAGAGATAAGTTTGGTACAGATAAGCTTGACAGAGATAAGCTCGGTAAGGTAAGTTGACGGGGCAATAAGTTTGATGGAGGTACGTTCGGTAGAGGTCAGTGTGGGCAAAGGCAGGTTTGATAGAGGTAAGTTTGATGAAGGTAAGTTCTGAGAGATATAAGTGTCAACAACATGGAATCAACATGAGTCCAAATTTTGCAACATGTGCTCAATTCAATCAAGTTAAACACAAATATTTACCTGCCCACACGACATGTAAACAAATGAAACATACTCGGTTGAAGCCAAAGGTGCAGCAGTTGGTCAAAGCTGCCCGCTTCACGAGACGCTACCTTCCATCGATACTAAATGTATCATGAAATCTTAGACATTAAATAATTATATCATATCATATTAAAATAAATTGTATGATATTGAACTATTTTGCACATTGTATTATGTTATAATATGTGATATTATATGATATCAAAATATATTATGTCATGTTATATTTTTGATATAATAAAATATAATATAATACAATATTATAAAATATTACATTATATTATATTACATTAAAATAGCTTATATTATGTTAAATTATGGTATATTGAATTAAATCAAATCAAATTATATTATATTATATTAAAATATATTATAGATCATACATTAAGTAACACTACGATACTATATCAAATCTTATTGTTTGTAATATGTTGAAATAAATTTAATGATATTTTACAAGTACAACTGATTTACCAGGTCATATGATGTCATTTTATGTTCTATCAAATATCTTATGGAAATGCAAAACACATTGAATTACATATGATACTATGTTAATTTGCAATTTATATTACAATTCCAATCACATTCTATATTACATTTATCTTATATTATGTAAAAATTATGTGATGTTTTGTTGAATTTCGTTTTACTGAAAAACATTGTGTTGCATTAAATTATACTGCCATACATTAAGTTGAATTAAAAAGTTTCAAACTTTGCGGAATATTTTTACGTATTCAATTACATATTTCATGTTATATTATTTTGCAAATTAATTTTGCTAATTAAAACCTGTTTTTAACAAACTATATAATGTGTTATTTTAAAATGCTATATGGTATTATTTTCATATTATTACATTATGTTACAGTACATTGTATTATCATACATGTTTGTATTGTATTTTATGAAATGATAAAATACTAAATCAATCTATTTTATATTAGAACATTTTAAATTAACTCATATCACTGTGTATCTTATATCATCAGACATTGAATTAAATTAAACTATACTCACTATATTGTGTTTTATTATCATACGAATCATACATTAAGTGAAATTATGTCATGCTATCACACGTCATACTAAAACATAAATTCATACACTATATTTCTTTTGATTACATGTTATATTGTATCGAATCATATTTTACTATGTATCAAGATACATTATATTAAAGTAAATTACGTTTTATATGTTATATTAGACTAGACAAACAGTGGGACACACCAGGAACCCTGATCCACCAACACCCTGCATACACCAAATGCTCCCTTTTGCCGGGAGCACTTGAGCCAAGCGTCGATAACGCAACAATTTAACTCGACCCGGTAGTTGTTGGGAGGGGAAAGCAAAAAGGAGAGCTTGCTTACCTGACGCTTCTAGGTGAGCGGTGCTATTCTGTACATGTCGGAGATATCTATCTGGGAATGATTGGACTCATAGCTATATATACCTACACTAGATCTATCTACCTACTTTTATAATTTATTACATTGTATTATACTATTTCAAATTATATTATGATTTATTTTATTATATTACATTACATTACATTACATTATATTATATTATATTATATTAAGTTATATTATAATTTATTATACTATATTAAATCATATTATATGTTATTATATTATATTATGTTATATTATATGATATCATATCATATTATATTGTATTATATTATATATATTATGGTATAGTATAGTATAGTATATTGTATTATATCATGGTACATTATATTATATTATAGCCATAGTCATAGTAAAAGTATGTTATATTTACAATATATTAAATTTGTATTATGTTATATAATAAATCATATACCATATATTTAGCATTATTTTTCCAGAATATTGTATATTATATTGTATATCATGTTTTCAATTATATTATATATAATATAATATCAATATATAGTCATCCCCAAGTAGAATCTCTGGAAATTCAAAAAAAACAGAAAACACCCTAGATAGAATCCCAAAATGGCTCAAAAATCCGAGTCGATGATTGGAAAAAAACACAATCTAGAATGATCACAAAAGGGGCCATTTAGCTTGTGATTTGGTTCCGGATTGCATGCTTGGGCCTCTGGAATGACCACAAAAAATTGTTATTCTGCTTGTGTATGTGGTTCTGGCATGCCAAATTCTGAAATCTTCCAAGGAAAATTGCTATGTTGCTGTTGGTTCCCAGAAATCCCAAAGAGTCAATCCCAATGAAGACATGGGTAAAGTTCAAAAAAGTCACCACCCCAAAGATGATAGCCAAGATCTTACCAACCAAAGTTCAGTCTTGCAGGTGTTTGAAAAAAAAGCTGCGAAAGGAAAAAGGGATGAGAAAAGTAGGAATCCAAGACCGACCATCCAAAGTTCATTCTCACCAGTGCTGTGCCAGGACAGCTGCGCAAAACTATAGATAGAATATCCTCTAGAGCCATGAAAAGATTGACATTTTGAAAGGATGCTCGAAGTTAAGTGTGTGTTTGAGGTGCGCCCTGCCCTGTCCTCCACATCTACCCATCTAAAGTTCAGTCTTGCAGCTGTTTGAAACGAAACTTTGAAAGGAAAAGGGGATGAGAAAAGTAGGAATCCAAAGATCTACCATCTGAGAAGAAACCTGTGAAGGGGGAAAATACTCTGAGACAAAGGTGCAATTAGAAGGGTTTGAGAAGGAAAGGAAAGAAAAAACATGTTCAGCATCCTGGAGTAGATTTGGAAATATTCTATCCAGGGGGTCCGAAACATAGTTTAGTAGTGGGGTGAAAAACCTGGGTTTTTTCAAAAAATCAAAACCCCCCTACGAAACCGGATTCTATCTACTCCAGGATGACTATGTGTGTGTGTGTGATTGTTACTGTATCCGCCGACCCCAGCAGGGGGAGGGCGCCAGAGGAAAACCACAGATCTTCGCCCGGGCACCACCAGCTTCCGCCCAGCTTCGCCCGGCCCGGCTGCTGGATTTGGAGCTAGTTTCTTACAGCTTCAGAAAGCAACGTTAGGCACCACCAGCGGTCTCGAATGACCCCGTCCGGCCTTCACTCTCATGTTTCTTAGAACTTCAGAAAGCAACGTTAGGCACCGCCAGCCGTCTGTCGAATGACCCCGTCCGGCCAAGCGTGTATGCCGTTGTGGCCTTAAAGAAAACTGCTCCACTTTATTCATACCCACAAAATGATTTGTATACATCTGTTTACGGCATTTTAGTCCATGAAGCGAATCTGCTTGAATCACTCTAGTTTGAGACATGTTACTACCATCATGTGCCAACTCATTCACTTCAGCTACTTGCGTGCTGCACAATCAAAGTGCAAAGTGTTGCACTGGGTTTGCGACACATTACATCAACTCAAGTCCACTTCGCTGACTGGCACATGTTTTTAAACAAACATCCTTAAAGGTCCCTCTTTGGGTGACCATATATTAATGGCCTACACGCGCTACATCAGTCATCTCCAAAGGCCTAGGCGAGGTGTCTCCAAACGCATATTGTGAATATTTGTGTCGATATCATGCATACGATTTTTAATTGTATTATATTCTATTCAATTACGCATGAGAAACATAAATTATACTACACCATAAATGTAAAATTTAAATAAATATATACATAACATGCCTTGCAGTGACCGAAGGTGTTTGTCTGGGGTAATAACCAAAGCCTTCGACCAACGGGTTTTAAGGTGCAAGCATACCACTTAGAAGGATACCACCAATGGCTCGTTCCTTTCACAGTACTGGGGTCGGCGGCAGGGGGCGGCAGCCCTTTTATTTGTCATAATTTATCTATCCATCATTTTTTGCGCCTATCCCACGTGCCACAGCTTACACTGTTGGTGTGGGATGCTGCGGGCGGTTCCCAGAATACCCCTGTGTGTTTTGAGTTCGGGGGGGCGGGTGTGTTATGTGGATTTGCAGTATGCGGAGGGGGTCTCATTGACATGGAAGAAAACCAGGATACAATTAAACGGAGTGCATGTGGCATTGGGAAGAGTGGAGCTGAATAGAACCTTACTTGTTTGTGAGCATGCAAACGTGGTCATGTAGATCCAATGTTCGTCCACAATGTAGGTCCTAAGCTCAAAATGGCACCTCGAAACTTTTGCCTTGAAACATCTGGACACCCCTTGACACGTCTAGACACTTTGCATCTCTGGTGGCCGCCCAAGTTTAAAAACCCATAAAGTTACTTGCGTCTGATCTGGATGTGGTCGAGACTACCCTGAGGATGGTGGCCCCCAGGGATCTTGTTTGTGTGAAGAGCACAGATTCCAGGATTTCAATGGATTTCAGCTTAACTCAGGAAAGAAAGTCAGAAAGGTGAACGAACGGCGCATGATTCGGCATGCTTGTGATGGCTTGTACTGGCTTTGTACTGGGCAGCCTCAAAACTGACCCCAACGCCAAGCAAGACTGTAACCTGATCGTCTTGATCTAGAAAGCGGTCTGCAGCTTGCTTTTGCCCGCACGATGTCAAGGGTTTTAAACAGTTTAAAGTTTTTAACTTTACTTGAAGATTTGCACGCTAAGTTCGGTGCGCAATACTTTTTGAATTGACTCTTGGATATATGGCGAAACCAACTTTCGCTCGGCAAATCTCTGGAAATTGGAAAGATTGGCCGTTTGACCTTCAACACTCTGGCTAGCTAGTCACTGGTCGCTTCGCAGCAAAGAAAAATCGACGACTTGTGGAAGGAATGGTCGGGTAGGGAAAGCGCAAAAGTCGATTCTCTTCTTTCTTTCACCATGTCATCAACACGAATCACCGCTGTGATCTGTCTCAAGATAGTCGAATACATTTCTCAATTTGTCGACCTCTCTCGATCTCTCCTTCCTTCAAATAGGTTGGCGTTGATCCGGCAGTGGTCAGATCTGCACCGCAACAAGTCTAGAGCATGAAAGGCTGCATGAAAACAAGATCTACCATGACATTGCACTGCCAAAACATGACAACATGCTTCACAACATTGCGATTGCATTGCTATGACATTGCGATGACATCGCGGTGATTGCAAACAACGTCAACAAGGCCTTGGCCCCGGCTCCTGCCGAGCGCTGGCATAGAGCTGGCACCAACATACCAAGAGTGGCCGTCGCAGCATAGCAAAAGCGCTCAGCGAAATCAACTGCAAGAGATGGTCAAAACGTCAAAAAGTTCAAAGTGGTCAAAGTTCTGTTGGAGTTCCCAGATTGAAATATTGACCATCCCTGTGTGGTGCTTGCATTGTAACACCACCGCAGAACTGAGACAGAGATGGAAGGGCAGATTCCTAGAGTTTGGGATTCCAGCGGTTTGGAATCTTTGACAACCTCAGCTAAACCTCAGCTAAACCTCAGCTCAACCTCGCATCGAAAAAAGGGAAAGAAAAGTATGCAAACAGACCTGGAAAAATTGGATCAAATTGGCAGTCTTGCGACAGATCTTGGAAGCTAATTACCTGTGGATGGAGTGGCCGAAGCCTGGTAGGTCAGATCAACCGAGCAAACTAGCAGTGACTAGCAGTGACTAGCTGTGAGCAACTCAATTAAGGTGCAAACCCTTGGGGAAATCGTGGGTCACTGGTACTTGCATTTGCTGAAGTTTAGAATCTGCCGCAACCAAGCTTCCATCAGATTGCCCACACACTGTGGATTTCTGTGGATTTCAACACGCTCAGTGATCTCAGTGATCTCAGTGTCAAGACTGCTTCAGAATCGCCTGGCTCACAACGAAACCCTGGTGCCGCATCGAATGCCTCTGGATGCCTCTGGACTTTGCTGCGCATCTACCCGTATGTCCCACATTAACCATACATTTCCATGTATGCTGCGTGACTGTGTGGAACTTGGAATAAGTTAACAAGTTAACATGGGCAGCGTGCATCTGCATAATTATCTTCTGTCTGCAAGCTTGATAAGACACAAGAACACCAGCTTTTTAATGCACCACCAGCCGAACCTGTGCTAAAAACCGAAGATCTAAAACAGCCCACGACATACGACATCCTACAACAGTCTACACAAGTCTACAACAGACAGCCTACGACAGTCCCCATCTGGAAGGTCACACCCGGGTATTGGAGCGGCTGGTCGGTCAAACCGCATTGATTTCTCACTTTTTCCAGCTGGAACCTTTACCGCATGTCGTGTTCTCAGATTCCTTTTGATTTTGCGCATGCAATGTGGCTTCGTGCTTGTGAAGTGGATTTCGTTCTGTGTTTCGCAGCAAGCACTTTCATGTCTTTGGACGTCTTGTAGCATACATGGCTGAAAAATGCTGAAAAGATCTTCACCTTTTATTCTCTTCGCTGTCGGGTAACCTTTCCTAACTCACAAGTTGTTTTTGTCCAGGTTGCAGCGCTAGACATAACATGACATAACTACATATTAAATTAAATCATATTGCATCGTATTACCTTTCTGTGAGTCAATCACATGAACTTTTCAGCGCCAACGCCATTTCCGCGGTCTGTCGGTGGAGAGATTTAAGCAAAGCTGTTTGGAAACTTTGGGGTTATGTGTCTGTGATGTCTGTGAGTTGCGCTCAGCGACATACCAAAGGGGTGATAGTACGCAGCCACGTGGGATGTGCCAGATAGTCCCAGCAAACTGCCCCAAAGCAAAAGACTGCAGTTTGGGCTGTGAAAGAGGAAGAGCCATCAAAAGCTGTAAAAAGGCAGCTGGGTAGGGAGAGAAAACGAAAACATGAAAAGGACGCAGAGACGAAGGTAAACTTTTTGCATGCGAACGCCACCCCCCAAACCATCGCAACCCGCAATGTTTTTTAACCCGCCGCAGCAACCCGACTTGATGATGCAGACATTGTGCAAAGCACAACATCTAATATCAACGTGGCTCCCTGTGTCTACGACTGTCAACAACAGACTTTAACATAACAATCTACAAATACTACCCTCAAACATCCTCAAACAACAGACAGAAACAGACTACAACCGTGCAAGGCGTCTACAACTGTGTACTTTCCATCTCGCATCTCCCCAGGCGCCCAAGGCGGAATCTGTGGATGGTCATCCGATGCCTCAAGGATCTCTGGTTTCGTAGGCGCGCGCAGCCTAAAACAACTGTTGGCCACGAAGATAACCCTGGTTCATCATGGTTCATCACTTCAACTGCTCATCTCGAAATCAAAAGACCTATGCTTCACCTGCAGCTTTCACTGTCAATGCCTAGGGTCTTGAAATATCTTGAAATGGCCTCCTATGGCCCAACAGACTTCGGCATGTTTTCAGCATGCTGAGATCGTTTGACGCCCAGTAGCGCTGAGAGCGATGAGCGCCTCGGCTAGACTTCTGAAGAGAGCAACCCCAAGGCAACAAGACAAGCGAAGATTTGGGCGCAGGCGCATGTTCGGATTCCCGAAATTCATCCAAAAAAAACATTTTCATCAGTCCAGTGTTTGGGAATTTGACATGACCTTGTTCGCCCACCATTTGCCATTCACGCCAGCACTATAAAACAAACCATCTTTTATACGTTTACTCATTCAAACAATTCCATGTCTATAATGATTTTTATTACCCAAAATTCTGAGACATTAATTCTCAACAAACATCTATCATGACAATTCCATATGCCATCCAGACACGACTGCGGGATAGAAACAGGCATCTCTTCTTCAAGTCTTGGAGACTTCGCATGGCTGAGCCGCAACCTATGCACTGCTTTGGGATGCTTTGGGTGTTTTTACATAAGCCGAGTTGGGGAAATCCTACAACATGTTGGCAAAAATCTTGAAGTACTTTACTTATCTTTACTTCCTGTGGTCCCCACCGTGTCACGAACATCCTGAGAACCAAAAAACAGATATCTATTCTGACATATCTGACATATAATTATTCCGGCAAAACTTCGGACAGTTTTGCTCGCATATGTTTTAACAGATGCCAATACCAATCCCGGTGACAGCTGTCTGCACTGAGGCCACCGGGGTGGCAAGGTCTGGGAACACACGGAATCCACGAGGGTCTGTGGAGGGTCTGTGAGCTATCTGAGCCATGTGCAGCCTCGATGTCCGCGCCGAAGAAGCGGTTCGTTCTGCAACGAAGTCCTCTAACAGGTGGAGTCGAGACACGTCGAGACACAGCATTTCTGTTCACAACGTATCTGACAGGTGCAGAACAAAGAAAAATGTGGACCTTCATACCTTCAAATGCTTGTAAATGCTTCTGAAAATCATCAATCCATGTATATCCATGTGATACACATATACACACTTCCACTTTTACACTTATGCATACAAACAGACAGGCAGGCAGGCATTGCATTGCCTTGCGTTGCGTTGCGTTGCATTGCATTCAGTTGCATTCAGTTGCATTGTGTTGGGTTGCATTGCATTGCATTCTACATCACATCACATCATATCAGATCACATCATACCACATGACATCACATGACATCACACGACATCACACTGCACTGCACTAAACTGCACAACGCTACATGACATGACATTACATTACATCACATTGCATTACATTACATCACATCACATTACATTACTTTACATATGTTACATACGTTACATACGGTAGATGCATTACACGCGTTACATGCCATGCCATGCCATACTGAATCATAGATTTCATTACATCGCGTTGAATTGCGTTGCCTTGCGTTCCATTACCCTACACCGCGCTATATATTACATACATTACATACAGTACATACATTGCACGCACTACGTACATTACATACATTACATACATTACACACATACCATGCATTGCATACAGCACATACAGTACACTACATACATTACAAAAATTACATACATGCATACATACACATGTGTATATTTCATACAATGTCCGTATTGTAATGTATTTGCAACACATAGGAATCATATAGTATCGCATTTTAAAGATAGTTGTATATGACAAATGGGCAATATTTCAATTTGTCTATTTTCAATGTTTCGAATATAGGATATGTTATCTAATGTATTATATACACAGCATATTTACATAACAGTGCATACAAGCTGTATAAGGCATAACATGTGCTGCATGTATAAAGTATATGTAACAAATCAAGCCACATATACACAGACATAATGCATGCGAAATAAAGAATGTATGTTCTATGAATATGAGGACTTCGTAAAAGACAAAATAAACAACAAATATATGTACATGCAACATGCAAAAATACAAAACGTGGTGGACAAAAGATACCTTACGCAATATTCTGTGAATACCGTAAATACAATGCTGGATAGATAGAATATACGAAAACAGAAGTTAAACAAATATGTATACTGTATTACATACCCAGATATCAAATACTATTTACACTACTGCAAGAATACGTTGTATTGAATATCTTGCGCATATCTAATACTATACGTATATATACAAATATGCCTGCCAACACACAAAACTGACATATGTCTATATATGTGTATGTATGTGTATGTATGTGTATATATATATGCAGGCATCGAAACAGAAAGAGATAGCTAGATAGATAAATAGATAGATAGGTAGATAGATAATATGCAGATAGATAGATGTGCGAGATGGATGGATAGATAGATAGATAGATAGGTAGGTAGATAGATAGATAGATGGATAGATAGATAGATAGATAGACACATAGATACATAGATACATAGATACGTAGATAGATAGATACATAGATTTGATAGATACATAGATACATAGATACATAGATAGATTTCATAGATACATAGATAGATTTCATAGATACATAGATACATAGATACATAGATAGATTTCATAGATTTCATAGGTTTCATAGATTTCAAAGATACATAGATACATAGTTACATAGTTGCATAGTTAGATAGATAGATAGATAGGTAGATAGATAGATAGACAGATAGATAGATAGATAAATAGATAGATAGATAGATAGATAGGTAGATAGAAAGATAGATAGATCCATCGATAGATCCATCGATAGATACATCGATAGATCGATAGATCGATAGATAGACATACAAACAAACAAACAAACAGACAAACAGACAAACAAATATACTTGTATGTGATGTGTGTGTATGTGGAATCAAACATCGTATTGAACGTTCTGTTCTGTTTGCTACAAGCATCAACCCAGGTCTGGTGGCACATGGTTCTGAGCGCGCCTTGTGCCCTCCATACGTGTCCTGCTTCCGGAGTATTGTGCAACCTATCTGATGTAAGTATATACAGACCAACATATATGAATTGAATATGTATAGGTGTGCGTAATGAGATTACTGCCGACTGTACTGACATGCGCGCACACCAGTGTGATACATGCATATATATATATTATACAATATGTATATATAATATATTCTATATACATACCCTTGGATCTCGCTCTTCCAGTGCACCTTCCGGAACTGATTGATTTGTTCCAGCACCTCTGCCTGTGGCCGGGTGGCATTGCCCAAGGTGGATGTGACAGTCCATGGACTAGGCAAACAAGCTACATGGCACAAATCACAGGCTGAGAGGCTGGGACCTTCAAAGTTTCCATGATGGTGTTCTCTGAGGGGTCTCTATTCACATATTTCATGTTCAGTCTCCGAGTCAAAGCATTGAAACCCTCACTGCATCTCACTACTACACGCACCCGTCCTTCATCTCAAGAACCATTGACTGGACTGATTTCGCAGCCAGCAGTGAGGCGACAGCATCGCTTTTGCTCACCTGGTATACAATCGCACTCAGAACATCAGACTTAGTACACTTTATTCGGCACAGACTCTTCGCTCAATTAATAAGTGGCTGCATAGACGCAAATTGCGCTTTTTGGAGATGCTTCAGACAGGACTTCGACATGATCAATATGACACTAACCGATGGCGCTTTGAAGCGGCCAGTGGCACCTCTCCTCGGACCTTGAGAAGACCCTGTACGAGCTCGGCAACTTGAAGTGTGCCACTGCCATCTGCATCTATGGCATCGAACCTAGGAAGAAAGATGTACAGCTGCTACAGCCGCACCACACAGGAGTCAAAATGCACTCTGAATCGTTCTGCAAAAGCAAAGCCTGCCCGTTTTTCTGCATCCATTTTTGTTCAAGAAACAACTGTGCTCGGTTTGCAGGTAAGTCCAATTGGTCCATGAGAGCCTACAGCTGCTGCTCCGTTCTGTTGGCGTCAGCAGGTTACATAGATGACCATTTGGAATCAGTTGGGTCTATTTAGGTTCAATCTGCTCACATCCGTACTACTTCGTTAGTCAGTCTCATGCCAGCGCCTTGTAAACAAAATCGGGCATTGTCAAAAGCTTGTTTCCAAGGACTTCGGTCCATCTGGAATGCATCTATCATCTACTGAATCACATTTCCTTCCCCAAAAAATGTTTCAACCATGTGCGCCTGCACGCTGCGCTCTTGAACAACTAGCAAGAACAACTCCTTGGTAATTGCGATATCTTCCTCAGAGTGCAACGCTTGCCGCATTGTAGGCAACTATTCAGAAAATGTGACTAGAGCACAATGAACACAATGCGGTCTCGCGTTTGATTCTCTGCTCCTAGATTCACTGACACCACCCATCAGATACGGTTCACAAGAGGCTGTGATTAAGACATATCAATCAGCTCAAGATGAATGGCTGTTGAACATGCCTGCGATGCGTCCAGATTTCTGGCAGGTCCTCGTCTGTGAAGCCACCCTGATTGTCCACTTCCAAGGCGGCGAAATGCGTGACTTGATCAGCGTCGTCGAAATCCTGCTGCATTGCGACTCCGAGGGCGCTCGTGCAGCATGCCAGTATAGATATCTTATAAATAGATTTAAAACATTCTAAAATGATTTAAAGCTTTCAAGGTCAAAATTGCTCACAGCATCGCTGATCACGGGTGCATGTACATGAAGCTGGCCTGAAATGCACGGTAGGCGGCGGCAAACTTTTTGAGCAGCTCGCGGGTGACTCGAGCAATGCGAATGGATTCACGAGCATGTTGCTCAGATGTATGAGCTTCGGTCTCTTTCGCAGCCTGATCGGCGGCGTGTGAAATTTCAACCCTAGAGAACGTTTGAGATCAAAATGTCGAAAAATCCGATGCAATGAGCAAACCAGGGCGGTTTCACATTTGGATGCCGGGCCTTCATGGTAATCTCGACGTAGACCCCCAGGATTACGTTGAAAATTCCCATGCTAACCAGCATGTAGCTGACCACGTATCCAAGGATAAAGATCACGCCAAACTCACTTGCCAGCAAATCATGAATTGGGAAGCCCCTTTCATCGACCTTGGTGAAGTATCGAGATTGCGCTTGGCCCATCTTGAAGAGGATGTGTTCGAGCAAAGCATAGAATCATTTTCCCGGCACGCCCCAGCGGGCTTCGATCTCAAACTTGCAATGTTTCCGGTCACACAAGAGTAACGAGAGCCACAGCTCAAAGACTTTGAAAGAAACAAGATGAAACGGGGGGGGCCATTTCCCTTCCCTTCCGTCCTTCCCTTCCTCTGCCATTTCCTTCCGGCCATTCCCTTCCATCCACCGTGCTCGCTCCCCACACTGTTAGCAGACTAAACGAGAACCCAAGCATCGGCATCGAAGATGCTTTTGGGGGAAAAAAAATGCAACCAGAAAGAAATGCAGGGATGGGCCACGGTTGAAGTCAGACTCCTTGCGAGAAGTTTTATGATCCAATGGCACAGCGGGACGGAGTGAAGTCACAACTCGCGATTCATGGATGATCTTGCAGCAAAGCAAAAAATATCAAAAAATGAAGACATGCTGCATGCACTTTGCAATGGCCCGCGCAACAAATCCCCCAGTTTCGGTCAACGAATTGTTATGTTGGATCAGCAGGAGGGCAAATCCCATTGGCACAGCTGTCATCCGCAGTGGGTGTGAGAGCTCACAAATGTGGACAAACACTGCACGCAGCAAAAGGGCAGCAGTGTTTTGCTTCATGTCAGGAGTTGAAAACAACAACGGAGGGAGGGAGGGATGGAGGCTCTAGGTAACAAAGACAACCTATTCAATCGAATATTTCCCCAAAATGTCGCTCTTATACGTGTCATTCCCCTTCCACGAAATGTTCCGCAGAATTAGCTCCTTGATCTTCAACATCAACCGCGTGCCGTCCCAATCCGGTCTTTGATTGGCATACCAGTTCCGTTTACTGTAAATGCAATTGTAAGGTAGCAGCTAAGCAAGCCCCGACAGTACAACATTGGAAAAACACTTCGACCCGCGCTGCCACGGTCAGCGTCAGGAAAAAGAACAAGAACCAACATGGATAAATGATAATATCTGTGTGTGCGCATGTATGTCTGTCTGTATGTCTGTATGTCTGTCTGTACGTCTGTCTGTCTGTCTGTATGTATGTCTGTATGTACGTCTGTATGTCTGTCTGTATGTCTGTCTGTATGTCTGTCTGTATGTATGTCTGTCTGTATGTATGTCTGTCTGTAAGTATGTCTGTCTGTATGTCTGTCTGTATGTATGTCTGTCTGTATGTCTGTATGTATGTCTGTATGTATGTCTGTATGTCTGTCTGTGTGTCTGTCTGTCTGTATGCCTGTCTGTATGTATGTCTGTCTGTATTAATGTATGTCTGTCTGTCTGTATGTATGCCTGTATGTCTGTCTGTATGTATGTATGTCTGTATGTCTGTCTGTCTGTATGTCTGTCTGTCTGTATGTATGTCTGTATGTCTGTCTGTGTGTCTGTCTGTCTGTCTGTCTGTATATATCTGTCTGTCTATCTGTATGTATGTCTGTCTGTATGTCTGTCTGCCTGTATGTATGTCTATATGTATGTCTGTATGTATGTATGTCTGTATGTATGTCTGTCTGTATGTGTGTATGTGTGTATGTATGTCTGTATGTATGTATGTCTGTCTGTATGTATGTCTGTCTGTATGTGTGTATGTGTGTATGTATGTGTGTATGTGTGTATGTGTGTATGTGTGTGTCTCTCTGTGTATGTGTGTGTATATGTGTGTGTATGTGTGTATGTATGTCTGTCTGCATGTGTGTATGTGTGTATGTATGTCTGTCTGTATGTGTGTATGTCTGTATGTATGTATGTATGGATGGATGGATGGATGGATGGATGGATGGATGGATGGGCGCGTGCATGCATGCATGCATGCATGCATGCATGCATGCATGCAGGGATGGATGTATGTATGCATGCATGGATGGATGGATGTGTGCGTGTGTGTCTGTATGTATGTATGTCTGTATGTCTCTATCTATCTATCTATCTATCTAGCTAGCTAGCTAGCTAGCTATCTATATCTATCTATCTATCTATCTATCTATCTATCTATCTATCTATGTATCTATGCATCTATGTATCTATGTATCTATGAAATCTATGAAATCTATGTGTGTATCTTTGAAATCTATCTATGTATCTATGTATCTTTGAAATCTATCTATGTATCAATGTATCTATGTATCTATGTATCTATGTATCTTTGTACCTATGTATGTATGGATGGATGGATGGATGTATGGATGTCTGGATGTATGGATGTATGGATGTATGGATGTATGGATGTATGCATGGATGTATGTATGTATGGTAGGTAGGTAGGTAGGTAGGTAGGTAGGTAGGTAGGTATGTATATAATGTACGTATGCATGCATGCATGCATGTATCTATCTATCTATCCATCTATCTATCTATCTAGCTATCTATCTATGTATCTATGTATCTGTGTATGTTTGCATGCATGCATGCATGCATGTATGTGCGTGTATGTGTGTGTGTATGTGTGTATGTGTGTGTGTATGCATGTGTGTGTATATATGTACACAGAACTATAAATGTATAACAAAGAAGCGGACAAATAAGTAGTGCACATAACAAATCAAATTATGATATAAATTTGTCTATGTGTATATATTTACAGATCCCAAAACATCCCAAACGCTGCGTCCATGCAGGATTGATACGACTCTTGGTCAACTTCTTCGGTTTAGTCTACAGCTGGTACCATGCATGCAACTCGACTCAAGTCAAGCGGCACATTCACCTGTAAAACATCGGAAGGATGTGAACATCGCGTCTGGCAATGTGCGGAAATATGCTTCCAGGCCTTTCAGAGGACTATATCTGCGATTCTGCTTCAGTGAAGATGAGATCTGAAAAAAAAAATGGAATGGCAGGGCACATACAACATGAAGAGGTTTGAGACCGCTTGTGACCAGCTGTGTGCCAGCCTAACTCGGCAGTCTTTGGGCTGTTTCCAATTGTCATGGTAGCAAAGCCTGATATGACCTGAAACCGTCATTGGTTGCATTGAAGGAAGTCTGAAGGATGTGAAATGCAAACGATCCAGCTTACAGCTTGAGGGTCTGCCAATCTGCCAAGATGATCCAAGATGCATAGATCACGGTGAAGAGCAACGTGAAGGCCAAGGATAGTGTCCAGAGTCCAGCAATCCATCCCTTTACCTTAGAACGTCCCACCTCTAACGAGTTTCATCGGCCCATGCTGATCCATTCCCTTGATGAGTTCATTGCCAAAACGAGTGGACGGCTGTTTTTTCACGTTCACTGCGTTCACTTCCAACTCCCAGAATTCCAATCGCTTCTCTTTGCTCGTCTGGGGTGCTTGTTGGGGTGGGATGGGATGGTCAACGAGATAGATGCTCTTCTGGCATATTTTTCTTGCAGAAAGAAGGAACGAAAGAATCTTGTTAGATTCTAGTCACTCAAGAGTCCAATAGGAAAAGTGAAAAGAATTATCTAGATGAACTGATTTAAAGGTATTCAAAGATCTTACTTCACTTAGACGGAAGGTCAAGATTATTTTTCCGGGATAGTCCTTTTGAGGAGATTGAAAATAGTCAAGATAATCATGAGAATGGGGTCGGGCATGTCTGGATATGTCTGGTGTGATGGTGCTTTACCATTCGCTCGTAAGACTTCTGCTTCAAATAAGATCGTTGTCTTCTAGGGATGTCCTAAGTTGTGGATGCATAGAGCATTGATCTGATATATCCAATATATATCCAATATATATATATATCCAATATATTCAGAAATTTCTAATTGCTTTCAGTTGCCATAAGTCGCAACTCACCCATGAACTTCAGTCTGAAGGCCTGGCGGTGACAGCCGAAAAGACATGAACCAACCGTATTTTTTCTGACGCGTTGTGGACCAGCTCGCAGCAATTGGCTCTTCATCAGGTTGTTGAAGATGTTGATCTTTTTTGGTTTGTAAAAAGTGTTGACATATTTCCGGGCCTTGATGATACGAACCAGTCTCACCAGCCGACAGAGGCGCAACACGGACTGAACGCCAAAAATTTCCACCGTGTCTTGAAGCGAGACCTTGGTGGTTGACATGTTTTGAATTCAGAGCATGCTGTTCGTGTAAACAGCTGTAAACACGGTTCCTTCGATGCAACATCACTACCATTACTAAGGGCGGGGGGTAAAACGTCTTGAATGCCACACCATGTAAAGAGGGCAGACCCCGAGTGGCGGAAGCCTTTTGGGCAGAACATGTGCCAATGTGCCAAAAATATCCACAAACCATATAACCAACCACAAGGCCTCCGAACAGATTCCGCAGAACTGTCCTGTCTGCGCCAAAGACACCCGCATGATGATATCCGTCATCCCCGTCGCCGCTAGAAATACATCAAAATAATTCCACGAAGCCTGCCGGAAAAGCACTGCTTCACATTGTTCAATGATGTTGCCGAAAATATCCACAGTCAAGATTTGACAACCCGTCAAACAACCCAAAAAGGCCACGCTGAGTAGCCACAAGGAACTGAGACAGGGCTGCGGAGCACCCAGAGCTTCCGAGCCTCCTGTCCACACCAGAAGGTTCGACAACCCTGAAACCGCGTCCGACAGAAGATCTCGGCGAGAAGAAGTGTTGCAAATGTCACCTGGCGCTCCAAGAACAAATAAATGTAAATAACCTTCAAATCATAAAAAATGGAAGCTATATGTACAATGGTATGAAATTGATTGAAATGGCGGGAAGCTGAAACGATCTGACGAAATTCAAAGGCGCCAGTCAGTTACAGAAGCTGCTTTAAGTCTTCCTGCCTCAAAGTAGATCCAACCCTCCCAATTCTCGTACCGTGGATCTGTCTGGAATCCCATCCTCATTTGTCAATCTTTGCGGACCTCTGTGTTTCTGTGCAATACAAACCGGTTTCAGAAATTGAGGACACGATAGAGCAGGACAATACAGGATGCGTATGCTGACCGTACGCTTGAAAACCCAATGTCACCCATCTGGCCCGTTTTTACACAATCACACAATCTGCAATCAAAGCTGTGGGTTGGCATGGCACAGCAAATCCACGGCAAAACTGTCCAGAGCTACAAAAGGTGCATCAAGTTCTACAACCCTTGGAGCAAGGATGAACGTTGGTGCTCCTCTTCCAACTAATGCAAAATGGAAAAGCATGGGAAAGGGATGAAAAGGGATGGAAAGAATAAAAAGGGATGAAAAGGGATGAAAAGGAATGAAAAGGGATGGAAAGGGATGAAAAGGGATGAAAAGGGATGAAAAGGGATGAAAAGGGATGAAAAGGGATGAAAAGAATGAAGAGGGATGAAAAAGAATGAAAAGGGATGAAAAGGGATGAAGAGGGATGGAAAGGGATGAAAAGGGATGAAAAGGGATGAAAAGGGATGAAAAGGGATGAAAAGGGATGAAAAGGGATGGAAAGGGATGAAAAGGAATGAAAAGGGATGAAAAGGGATGAAAAGGGATGAAAAGGGATGAAGAGGGATGAAAAGGGATGAAGAGGGATGAAAAGGGATGGAAAGGGATGAAAAGAATGAAAAGGGATGAAAAGGGATGAAAAGGGATGAAAAGGGATGAAAAGGGATGAAGAGGGATGGAAAGAATGAAAAGGGATGAAAAGGGATGAAAAGGGATGAAAAGGGATGAAGAGGGATGGAAAGAATGAAAAGGGATGAAAAGGGATGAAAAGGGATGAAAAGGGATGAAGAGGGATGGAAAGAATGAAAAGGGATGAAAAGGGATGAAAAGGGATGAAAAGGGATGAAGAGGGATGGAAAGAATGAAAAGGGATGAAAAGGGATGAAAAGGGATGAAAAGGGATGAAGAGGGATGGAAAGAATGAAAAGGGATGAAAAGGGATGAAAAGGGATGAAAAGGGATGAAAAGGGATGGAAAGGGATGAAAAGGGATGAAGAGGGATGGAAAGAATGAAAAGGGATGAAAAGGGATGAAAAGGGATTAAAAGGGATGAAGAGGGATGGAAAGGGATGGAAAGGGATGAAAAGGGATGAAAAGGGATGAAAAGGGATGAAAAGGGATGAAAAGGGATGAAAAGGGATGAAAAGGGATGAAAAGGGATGAAAAGGGATGAAGAGGGATGGAAAGAATGAAAAGGGATGAAAAGGGATGAAAAGGGATGAAGAGGGATGGAAAGAATGAAAAGGGATGAAAAGGGATGAAAAGGGATGAAAAGGGATGAAGAGGGATGAAGAGGGATGGAAAGAATGAAAAGGGATGAAAAGGGATGAAAAGGGATGAAAAGGGATGAAAAGGGATGAAAAGGGATGGAAAGGGATGAAAAGGGATGAAAAGGGATGAAAAGGGATGAAAAGGGATGGAAATGATGTTGGAATCGAGGTTCATAACGGCGTTTGCCACGATGAGAAGTGCCACGACAGGTTCCACAAGAAGAAGCGGATGCCTTGGACGTGGCCCCAGCTGAATTTCAGGGTTGAGACATGTCGAGACCCTATCCACACATGGCCAGAGGTATGCCAGGCAGGTATCATGCTGTATCCATCTCTTCTCTCATTCAAACATCAAACTTTCAGAGTCTGGTTTCATTTCACCTCACTCTGTCTAACTTCCCAAGTCTTGAGTTTGTATATGTTTTTATGCTCATGCAGCACGGTCAGCACGGGTAAACTCTAGGTGAGATGAATGACTCAAAGAAGCTGCTCGATGAAAGAGTTCATGGAATTCTGAGTGGATCTTACGTGTAAAAAACTCTTTCATCGACCTTTGACTCTTTGCCTCAAAGACTTTCACCAGGCCCAGCTGCAAAGGCTCCGGGGGGGCTGCCAAATCGTTCAGTCTGACCGCAGTAAGCTCGGCCACAAGACCTGGAAGGGACATCACTCGTTTTGCGGCTGAAGAGCACCTTTGAACATCTTGCATTATATGATATTATAAGGATTAATAAGGGTTCAGAATTGTTTTGGGAATTACTATTTGTTCGTCTTGGGATTTTGTTGGATCCATTTTTTCTGCCCGTTTTCCTTGCTATTTGCAGCATTTTGGAGCTGGAAGCTGCCATTTCAACTGTCTTTGCAACATTTTGGAGTTTCATTTTCCATAGAATTTGCAACATTGTGGTGGACTTGTGTAACATTTTGGAGCGCAACTAGGGTTCATTTAGGGTTGGTTTTGGGGTTAGTTTAGGGGCTTTGTTTGGTTTCAAGTTTTTTAAGGGTTCGTTTTAGAGTTAGGGTTTATTTAGGTTCTTTCAAAGGGTTAGTTTAGGATCTTTTTAGGGTTTGTTTTAGGTTTTATTAGGCTTGGTTTAAGATCTACTTATGGTTGGTTTAGGACCTATTTAGGGTTGGTTTGAGGTTTGTTGAGGGTTGGTTTAGGTTCTATTTAGGCCTGGTTTTAAATATAATTATTTAGGGTTCGTTTACGGTTTATTTAGGTTTGGGTGAGAATCTATTTGGGCTGGTTTAGGATGTGTTTAGGGTTTATCAAGGCTTGGTTTAGGATCTATTTAGAGTTGATGTAGGGCCTATTCAGGATTGGTTTAAGGTGTGTTTAGCGTTGGTTTAAGATTGATTAGGTCTGGTTTAAGATCTATTTAGGGCTGGTGTAAGGTTTATTTAGGATTATTTTCAAATTTATTTAGATACAAGTAGTGTTTAGGGTTTACTTAGAGTTGTTTTAGTGTTTCTTTGGTTGGTTTAGTGTTTATTTATGGTTGATTTAGGCTTATTTATATTCTTCTTAAGGATTATCTGCAGTATGAGAAACAAAAAATGGAAAAGCAGGAAAGCAGAGAAGCAGAGAAGCTGGAAAAGCAGAAAAGCAGGGAAAAGCAGGGAAAAGCAGAAAGCAGAAAAGCAGAGAAGCTGGAAAAGCAGAAAAGCAGGGAATAGCAGAAAACAGAAAAGCAGAGAAGCTAGAGAAGAAGAGAAGCAGAGAAGCTGGAAAAGCATGGAAAAGCATGGAAAAGCATGGAAAAGCATGGAAAAGCAGGGAAAAGCAGGGAAAAGTAGGGAAAAGCAGGGAAAAGCAGAAAAGAAGACAAGAAAAAAAAACAGAAAAGCAGAAAAGCAAAGAGGCAAAGAAGCAGGGAAACAGAAATCCAAAAAAAATGCCCAAAACAGAAAAAAAAATAATTCCCCAAAAAAAAATAGCCCTCCGATCAGTAATGATCAACATGGCACAATGAACATTGCAGGTTTGTCAAGTGTCTGAATTTTGATTCTAAACCCCTTTTTCACGTCAAACGTCTGTTTCAGAAAAAAAGATAGACTGAAGCGTGTCCAAGTCACGATTTGTGTCGCCCGCGAGCAAGACTTCTCTGATGGCTTCGAAGGCCGAAAGGCTTGGACCGAAGATCCTCCCAGGAAAAGGCCAGAAAAAATGTAGAGCTTTTCAAAGGGTCCTTCGTCATGTTTTATCCAGATATATCCAGATTTCTCAGTCACGTGAAATCATGCCTTTGCCTTTGGCAGCATGTTTCGACACCGTTTGGCAAATCCTGCCATGTCTTTGTGGGCAAATCTTGATGAGGCATTATAAGTCCATCGTGCCAATTGTGCAACTCCTGCCACTTCTTTGCCTCGGCACTCCCTAGACTCCTAGACCGTCCTTCGGGGCTCATCTCCATCTACCGCGAGCAATAGTTCCATTAACGCTTTTGCGGGAACCTTGATGCAAAGTGAGATCAACATACAACCCAAACCCTTCTCAAAACTTCAGGATCAAGAGCCATCAAGAGCCTTATCACACAGGAATTGTTCCAGCATGCACATGCAGAACTTTTTATTTTTCTGAGGCGAAGAATCCAACGGAGATGGTGTGAGAACTTTAGGATATTTGTGGATATTTAAGATCTGAGTCAAAGACCACGTCGAACTTCCGCGCTTCTTTCTTGGTTTTGTCAGACCCAAACGCATGGATTGTGGAGATGGAGTCGCGCTGCCTGAGTTTTTGCAATGCAAAAATATGGCACTGGTGCTGAGGCAAACGGAATGACTTGCTGGCAACCGCCACAGGAAACAAGATAATTAATATACTTCATCCTTAATCCTTATTGGATTGCCATATTTCCACATACAACAAATACAAAATCAACGTAAACATACATGAACACAGCACTAAACTAAACAATGTCGAGAGACTTGGGCCACCGCCACGATGGCATGCCGAAACGATGAAATTCATCTTGCAGGAAATCCTGCACAGCAGGCAACAGCAGGATGAAGGACGCATTGAATTTGAAGGGTCCAGCTCTGCAAACAAAAATGCTGTCCACTGGCCCTCTCCACTTTGCAAAAACTAGCAGTCCATGTTCAGCAGAAAACAGTGGACAAGGGTCGTTTTGCTAAAGAAAACTACCTTCTTCGAGTGGTCCCCACCAACTGACCACCTATGTAACATATATTCTGACACTGATACATTTTCTGGCATTCTATCTGACATATATTTCGACATTCTATCTGACATTCTACCTGGCATTCTTTCTGGCATCCATCTGACATTCTATGTGACATCTTGCACTGGCAGTTGAGGTCCGGCAGTGCCCACTGAGATCTGGAGCTCGCAGTTGAAGCAAAGACAGAGGCGGAGGAGGGCAAGGCGGAGGTGGGCTGGCCAGCTCTGATAAAATCTAGAGACCCTCACCTGGCAGGTCGGGAAAAACGCTGTTAAAGAAATACATTCTGAAAAACAAACACCAAGGAAATGGCGTGCCCGAAGAGCGCAGGAGATCTGCAAGTATTGCAATTTTGCCGAAAAATCGAACAAGAAATTCTGAGCAAAACAAAAAAAAAGTTTGGAATTTGGAACACCTTTTGATTATCCGATCCAGGCGCATCCTTGATAAAGCACATCCATACCTGCCATAGCTCACCAAATATCTTGGTCTTGAGCCGCTGTGAAGTATGCTGAAGCCTGCTTGATCCTGTTTGCTGCAGCAGCTGGAGCAGTCCTCATTCACGAAACTCCTGGATTTGGTATTCTTGAAGGATAAGTCAATAAACGTGGCCAGGTCGTTCACCACTTCATTCATTTCATCCACGCTATAGCCTTTCGAAGTTGGCAAATTGGCGCCAAAGTATAAAACAGATAATGCCAAATTGTTCTTCCAGTCGGCGTACTACATAATCACATCTCGTTTGAAACGTCTTTCCATCTCATCTCTGCTTCAGCACCGAACAATGAAACTCCGTTGGCACGACGGGACAGGTTTCCAGGACTCCCGGGATGCTCGGGTTGCTCGCGGGATGCTCCAAAAACGCTCCCCTGGTGTGTTTCAAGACGTTCTACCAAGTGACGAGTAAGGCCCAAAGCACAGATTGCTTCATGCAAGGACTTCCTTGGAAACAGTGACAGGCCCCTGATGAAATGCTTGGTGCCACCCATGAGCATGGACCGTCTTGCCACGCACGAACATGCTCAATGGGCTCTTCCATGAAAGAAGTCATGTCTGGCACATCTAGTGCTGTTGAAACAAAGGGTGACATAAGCAAAACATAAGTAGCATAAGTAACACATAAATAACATGGCTGCATGACAAACCCCATTGCTGGCGGGCTTTGATCTTGAACTCTGGTGTGGATTGTATCAACTCTGTACTTCTGTAAGCCCTGTCTTGACTCAGTGCTGCATGAAATACCATTGCACTAAAACCACTTGCGGTCAATGAGGAGGCAGCATTCATCATGATTTCATATAACTGCATATCATGATCACAGCATATAGTAACATGCAATTGTTCACTTGTTCCTTCATAACTATCCATGACATCATGGCATTCATTCCACGCCGCTCCCGGCTCTTTTGCGGCCAAATGTCCCTGAGACCAACTTGCTTGAAGATATTGCCCCCAGGCGCAAGCGCAGCCGGCGCTGGATAGCACGCTGCTGCTCTGTGCCTCAACTGCCGAAAAAAAGGAACGCTCTACCATGATCAGCCAATGACGATCTACCAATTTACATTACTCAACCAACAGCAAACCAACAGCAACCAACACATGCACCATGCGCAGCGTGGGAAAATGCCCTTGCGGATCCAAGCCGCTCAGATGGGCAATCCTGCTTTCAAGATAAGATGTCCCGATTTTGTATGACGCACCGCCTAGCACAAGGAACAACGGAACGGGTGTCCGCGCCTCAAAAGTCTTTCCAAAGCAAACGGATAAAAAGAATATGAAAAACATGTATAAAAATCTCGCCTGCAGAAGAACCTATGGACTGCGTTGCTCGGGATTCTTCTTCCTTTATTCTTCTCTCCCATCGCTGCTGACTGCTGGTACCACTCTCTATTGGTTCCAAGATCTCTGAAAAGCGAGGACTCTCCACCAACGGACTCAACGGACCCAACGGAGTTGAGTCCTGAGAGGAGTCAAGACATCTCAAGATACAATGCTGTATTCGTTTGTATTCGTTTGTATCTTCTTCGGGTGTGGCAATTATCAGCTACAAATAGTTTTACGATGTTTTAAGGCTCCGGGGCGATTGGAAAACAAGCAGGAACAGAAAGAGAAACTAAAGAAACTACATCCTGAAAATGTCAGAGAATAAATATCCCAGGAGGGAAGTGGAAAGGGCACTGCATGTCCATCATGTCCATGTCCTTGCACAGATCCGTGCTGTCTATGGCAAGCAAGTATGAATCGTTGCTGACGAGCTTGGCAGCAATCTGGCGGGTGCAGACTAAGCACAAATTTGCGAAGTGTTTAATCCTGATTGCAAAAGAATGCAAATGGCGTATTCATTGTAACTATGTGCATGCAATAATATGTATATATATATACAAACATGTCAATGTAGGCATGTGTATGTGCGTATGTATGTATGCATGCATGCATGCATGCATGCATGTATGTATGTGTATGTATGTATGTATGTATGTATGTATGTATGTATGTATGTATGTATGTATGTGTATGTATCTATGTGTATGTATGTATTGTATTGTATTGTATTGTGTTGTATTGTATTGTGTTGTATTGTATTGTATGGTATGGTATGGTATGTATTGTATGTATTGTATGTATTGTATGTATTGTATGTATTGTATGTATTGTATGGAATGGATGTAATGTATGTAATGTATGTAATGTATGTAATGTAATGTAATGTCATGTCATGTAATGTAATGTAATGTAATGTATGTATGTATGTGTGCATGTATGTATGTATGTATGTATGTATGTATGCATGCATGCATGCATGCATGCATGTATGTATGTATGTATGTAATTTATGTAATGTATGTAATGTATGTAATGTATATAATGTATGTAATGTATGTAATGCATGTAATGCATGTAATGCATGTAATGCATGTAATGCATGTAATGCATGTAATGTATCTAATGTATGTAATGTATGTAATGTATGTAATGTATGTAATGTATGTAATGTATGTAATGTATGTAATGTATGTAATGTATGTAATGTATGTAATGCATGTAATGCATGTAATGCATGTAATGTATCTAATGTATGTAATGTATGTAATGTATGTAATGTATGTAATGTATGTAATGTATGTAATGTATGTATGTATGTTTGTGTATGTATGTATGTGTATGTATGTATGTATGTATGTATGGATGTATGTATGTATGTGTATGTATGTGTATGTATGTATGTATGTATGTCTGTATGTATGTATGTATGCATGCATGGATGGATGTATGCATGTATCTATGTATCTATGTATCTATGTATCTATGTACTTATGTATCTATGTGTCTATGTATCTATGTATCTATGTACCTATGTACCTATGTGTCTATGTATCTATGTACCTATGTATCTGTGTATCTATGTATCTATGCAGCGTTGTATCTATCTTTCTATCTATCTATCTATCTCCCTGTCTATTCATGACTCTATCTATCTGTCTGTCTGTCTGCCTGTCTGTCTATGTGTGTATGCATGTATGGTATGTATAGGTGTGTGTGAAACATCTCAACAGCTGTAAATCTTGTTCCGGGTGAGCCTTCATTTCTTTTTCTTGTTTTTGCATTTATAGTTGCAGGGGGCCAGGAACCCATGACTGTCTGTCCTGGCCAACGAAAACCAGACAGCATGGGGGTGAAAACGCACTTGCAATGTGCCCATCATGATGGGATGTGGCCAAACCAAGAACCACCTTGCCGAGTTTACCATCTTATGATGAAATGCCTGCACTGTTGTCGCAATCTGGGCTTCAACGAGGATCACATCAGGATACTTTGAAGTTAAGCATATGGACGGATGAAGGTGTAAAGATTGGTTTACTTCATATTTGGCGCAACTCAAGACTGGGGTGATTTTTTCTGGCTTTGGGAATCGCTGCTTCGACTACTCATTTGGCGTTTATTTGGAACTCGACAGGAAGGGTCAGCTCCCAGTATCAATTCCGTGCTTCCTGTCTGATCAGGATTTAATGGAATGTGTTTTGCACGTTTGACGCATTCCACGTCACAATTCGATAAGACAAGTCTGAGCAAGTGAGTGACTCATGTTGGATTCGACAGGATGACATGAGCCCTGTGGGGAATACCTTTCTAGGTAGGGAATCGGAACCTCGACCTGACTCTGAATTTACAATTTTCAACCTGGCAATTCGTCTAAGTAAAGTGGAACAGTTGGCCTTTTTTCCTCTTGTCACCCATTGGGCAAGTGGTGTTGCAACTGCTTGCCGCCGTACGGGGCCTCTCCTTTTTTCTGATTGCTCTGCAAGGGTCATTCCCTGAGTGCCATGGAAACCTCCTTTTTCAACTTTGCTCAAGAGACAGACCGCTGTCATTCCAACATGTCGATGATCTCAGGCAGGTACATGCCTTCAGGTATGGTGATTCTTTCTTTTGATGGTCGTTGGCGAGGTTCAAGTGTGCATCTAATTCAGCTGGGGACTACTGATAGCTGTCTACATACAGGGTCGGACTTGACAACCGAGGGCCTTGAGCCTGATCACGAATTCTGCATGCGCGTGTGGATGCATCTGTTTCATCAACAGCCTAACAGCCCCCATTGGTCCTCTATCTCATACGTGCTCCCTTTCTATGTCAGGTTTGGGTCCTTTGCGGGCCGAGGCAGGTTTGGCTCTCGCCTTTTAGGTTGTGTCAGGCGCTTCGTCCATCCCCCCCTTCTCTGCTTGGTGGTTGGCCCGTCGCCCGTCCGCTTTTTCTTTTCCTTTCCCCGTTCAGGGTTTGCCCGCTCTGGGCTAGGTGTGTTGGTGTTGGTGTGTTCCCTTTTTTCCTTTCCTCTTTTGCGTTCCCCGTCTCGTGTCCCGGTTAAGTAGTTTGTCATCTCATTCTCATCGTCATCTCATCTCCATTTCTCTTTCACCTTCACTTTCATCTCATCTGTCGGAGCCTCAAAAGCCCCGCTGCTGCGGGGCGTGTGTGTGAAACATCTCAACAGCTGTAAATCTTGTACCGGGTGAGCCTTCATTTCTTTTTCTTGTTTTTGCCATTGTATTTATAGTTGCAGGGGGCCAGGAACCCATGACTGTCTGTCCTGGCCAACGAAAACCAGACAGCATGGGGGTGAAAACGCACTTGCAATGTGCCCATCATGATGGGATGTGGCCAGACCAAGAACCACCTTGCCGAGTTTACCATCTTATGATGAAATGCCTGCACTGTTGTCGCAATCTGGGTTTCAACGAGGATCACATCAGGATACTTTGAAGTTAAGCATATGGACGGATGAAGGTGTAAAGATTGGTTTACTTCATATTTGGCGCAACTCAAGACTGGGGTGATTTTTTCTGGCTTTGGGAATCGCTGCTTCGACTACTCATTTGGCGTTTATTTGGAACTCGACAGGAAGGGTCAGCTCCCAGTATCAATTCCGTGCTTCCTGTCTGATCAGGATTTAATGGAATGTTTTTTGCACGTTTGATGCATTCCACATCACAATTCGATAAGACAAGTCTGAGCAAGTGTGTGTATACACGCGCCAGGCACTTGCGGTGTGTGTATCTATATATATATATACTCACATGTGAATGTAGGTATCTGTGTGTGTCTATTTATGTGTTATTAGATCTTTCTGTATTGAGGACTCCCTTCGCACCTCGTTCTCGTAAGACACTCGATGCGGATCCAGGGAGCGAAGCAAATGAGTCCTGAGGGCTTTCGCCCAACTGATCTGATCCAAGCAATCCAAGAATGAAAAAAAATGCAATGAAGGACCAATTGTCATCCTGTGTCCTTGTTGTCCCTTGATATCCAAGAAACCTTTGTTCCAAAGTCATCCAAAATCTATAAAGCAGACATATCAGACATGAAAACCCGCCTGAAAGCCTGCCAGGACGAGTCCAAGACTTTTTCCAGCTCCTCCTGGCAGATTGGCGACCGTCATGGACTACTTTGTCATGGATGTGTAAAGGCATTCAATTCAGAAACACAAGAATCGATGTTACACACATATACACTATATGTCGTATATTATGTGTACACATATATGTATGTAGTACGTATACATAATTCATGATAATTCTATCTGTATAATGTGTACGCTTATCTATTATTCCGTTTACTAAACCTCCCCTATTAAAAAATAAAAATAAAACTGCCCCAGATTGTTTGTTTTGGGAAAATTCATTTGGTCAATTTGATTTTTAGTCACTCCCCTTTGGAAAACAAATTGAAAATCAAGGTCTCATTTGAGGGCTTCACCCCTTTAATAGTTAAAACTAGTTCATCCTTGAGTGGTTTTTGTTGGGGTCCGTCTTTTGAAATCAAAAAAGTGTCTTAATTAAGGTTTTGGCAAAGCTTCGAAATACAATTTTTGGCAATGTCTTAATTAGATCTTTAAAAGGAAATTGATCGATTTTGAAATCGTGGTGTTTCTCTTTTAGTTAAGGTTTTAGATTTAATATTAGCGGAATGCTTCGAACTCCAACTCTGGGCATATGTGAACCATATTTTAGAAATAAAATTGGTCGATTTTGAGATCCAAAATTGTATTGTTTTTGATGTTTTTGGTTAAGGTTTAAAATTCAATAGGGTTTATGATATTTTTTCTTTGGGGGGTACATTTTGTGTTAAGGTGAAGGGATTAACATCAAACCATGGAGACCTTGTCGGGTTCCATTTGGTCTCCTGCTCCATGTCTCGGGGACAATCCGTCGGTGACCAGGCCGGGTCCGCAGTTTTTCGGCTGAAAAAACCCACGGCAAATCTCTGGATTCAGCTTGACGGCGTATGATCGTAGTGATCCTACAGCCTTGTGATGTAACCGATAGTAATATGATAGCAATGATAGCAATTATAGTAATATGATGTAATATGATCGTATACTTCCCCACAAGGCCCAATCAAAAAAACAGAGTCACCTCTGCGCCAGTATCACAACAGACTGCCCGGGCCACGGACATCTCCAACAAGCTACGGTGAAAGCTGGATGTTGGCATCAAATCTTCAAACATCGCTGCGAGATGTTGCTGTTTTCTGCCGTCCCAGGTACCATCCTTGCATCCCCCTTTTTAGGGGAAGCGTTCGCCTCCGAAACACAACTCCTACCGTCTCCTAGACTACCACCAGAACCATGAGTCCAGTGTGAATAATCTCATCGTGCCAAAAGGATCTTCTAAAGCCATCAAAAATCATGAACATGATGTCAGAATATGTCAGAATGATAACGCGGAATGATTTGGAAGTCATTGGAGAATAATATTGGAGAATAAACAGTTGATAAGTTGATAAGTAATTGATAATTGATATATATTGATATTATATATATATATATTAATTGACAAGTCATTGCTCTAAGTTGACATAACGCGAAGTTACGACATGTTGCGATGTCAGTTACCCTTTCAGCGGCAGTCGGCTCCAGGACTTCTCGAGGCCGAGGCTCCGCCGCGACTCCACAGCGGTTCCCGGGCGACACCTCGACGACGAAGGACTTGCGAAAAGGGATGAGATCTGATGGGACTACAAATCTCAACAAATCTCAACAAATCTCAATAGCTTACCATACAAGCTACAGTATATATATATATTAATACATATTGTATATTGTTCAATCCTACAAGTAAGAGGATGAAACATGGTCGATGTCAATGTCAATGTGATATAAGAATATAAAAGACACAAGGCCAATTGGAGGATGTGCATGCAACAAACTCGCACACTGGCCTGACACTTGCTTCAAAGGGGGGTGGTGTCAGCTTGCGGCGCAGCAAGAGTTCTGGACCTCAGAAAAGCAGGCTGTGACTCCAAGAACAGAACAAGCCAAACGTGGCCGCCGGCAGTCTGCTGATCGCCACATGTCGGGAAACCATTTAAAAAAAAACATACCCAGGATACCTTTTCCAATCTTTTATTGAGATTCAAGAGCAGGGCTGAGCTTGCAGCGAGATCGCAAGCAAACAGCAGACGATCCGCTTGCCACATCTTGCTCTGCCTGCAATCTGAATGCTGCGCATCGATGACGGCTGAAAATACCCTTCAGCCTGAGACTGCCAACATCCACGTTGCAAATGGACTTTGCAGTGTAACATCACTGGTAAGCATCAACTCGCAGCCAATGTGAGGCTAGCGTAGGCTAGCAGTTGTTCACAATAATTCACAACAAGACACCAAGAGATCCAAGAGATGTTTGTCTTTTAACATTTCTGCGGTGACATTTGGTAGAAGAGGTGAACAAACAGGCCTCGGAAAGGTCGACAACAATGAGAACTTTGTCACTTGTATCGACCTGGAACAAATATGAACAAATGCCATCAAGGTCGAGAGATGTCGTGTGATGTGTGTGTGATGTTTGAACTGAAGCTTTGTGAAATGGCATCCCTCCTCGCACAGTTGGATCTCCTATGATCACCATCAGCTGCCCATACTGTTGCTGAAAGTGGAATGCAGGACCGAGTCAACTTGCAGGGAAATACGTCTTTTCATTTTCTTTTCCATGCCCATGACCAAGAGATGTCTGTAGATTCTTTTTAGAATCTTTTTAGATTTGATATGATTTGATGACTGATGATATCCAATGGCTACTGATGCCACAGCTTGTAGGGTTGTCGGGTTGTCCCCTGTACCTGGCGTTCCAGGACACAGTGCTTTCCAACGCCAGCGACTCCTATGGAGCACAGTGGAGCTGATTTCAGCCTTGGATGTTTGATATGTTTGACATGTTTGACATGTTTGATGAATGTGAGCTGAATATTGCATGAGTCACCCGTGGTCTTATGCAACAGCAATGAAGAGCAATGAAGAGCAAGTGAGATCAACTGTCCTGCGCTGTCGCTGTCAAAATCAAAGACTTTGGCCCTCGAACCTGGGAACATGGAAGAACTTCTCTATGAAAACTAGGCAAAGGAAAACTCCACCAAAAGTATCTAAAAGTCAAGAAAATGAAAGGTAAAAAATGAAGACATGTTCAAAACCTCTCAGATCCTCTCAGAAAGCTCCAAAAATCTCTTCCTAGCTATCTTGCTGAATCTTGCTGTGCAGAAAATGGCGCACTGCGTTCAACAAAAGTTCAACTCCTGCTGTATCCTGCCTATGTACATCGTTCCGCTGAGCCGGCACGGCTCTGGGCAGTTCAAAAAGAGGCCGCAGCTGGGAATCTCTGTGCCCTGCAACGCTTGACGTGCGCGAAACCTTTTTGACATACTCTGACACATTCCAAAAACATCAAAAACATCAACAGCAGCAAGAAAAGATGGAAAACATCATCAAAATTCATCAAACATCATCAAACATCATCAAACATCTAACCTCTTGGATTAGGCTGTTAAAAAAGGCCTGGCAGAGCTCCCCTTTGGGGTAGAGACGCAGCTGTAGGCCATCGAGCCCGGCGAACGCAAAGCATGGACTCTCCACGAAGTGTCCAGGCTGCGTGCGCTCCAGCAGCCTATGCTTTGACAAAGCGCCGGGGGTAGAACCATTGGAGATATACCATACATATTGCACCATAGATATTCATAGAATATTCATAGGATATAGCACCTATGTAGAATCCACCTATATCCTATGAATATTATGAATTCTGAAGCGATGTCCCCATGTCCGGGGATAGATCTTGAATTCATTTTGAATTCCAGTCTGTTTGACAGAATCCCACGTTTAGCACGTTGCGGCCTTTGGCAGTTCTCAAGCGTCCATTCAACGCGTCGCACACTGAGAGAACGAAGACGTCGAAGCTCGGCAGAAAGACGATCCTGTGCTTTCCATGGGAGGTAAACGAAGTTGGGATAAAAGAAAACTAGGGAAACAAAACACCAAAAAACACCAAACAGGGGCTCTTTTAGAGTTCAAACTGAGCTCCACTTGAGATGTACTGCCCCATGTGCTCGTGAAAAGCAAGTTACATTGGCTTCTTTGCATTATGGAAGCTGATCTCTGCCACTGATTCATGGCGTGGATTTCCGCTGTGCAACTTCCGAATCATGGCCAAAGGGGACTGATTTCTTGGGACGGCCTGCAGTTTCCCACAGTTTCCCACAGTTTTCCTGTCCTGCACCAAGGCTTCTCCAGCAAGATGATCTGTATAGCTCCTAGATCGCCGACAGAGCCTGGTGACCCTGTCTGCTATTGAATTCTATTGCTATTGTCTATCTATTGTCTATCTATTGTCTATAACATCTCCAAGTCTGTCAATCAGATCAATCAGCAATAGAAATCAATAGCTGATTCTACCTCTAGTGACTCTAGTTGATGTATTCCTATCCATTTTAAACAATGACTCAAAGTCCAGAGTCCGTAATAAGTCATGTCCAGAAAGTCCGAAATGTCTCCATGGAATGTCGGAATTTCAGCTCAGGCACAGCTCATCCAAATGGCTGTCTGCTTCCTGGCGACTATACATCGACTACATCGACTACATCGACTACATCGACTACATCGACTACATCGACTACATCGACTACATCGACTACATCGACTACATCCCATTCAGTGCATCTTTGATGATCTTTGCATCTTCCGTTTTGACTTTAGAGATACACCCACCATTGCCCAACGGTCTCCAAGTGAAGAGAAGCTACAGTCCAAGCTTCACCACTTGACCATGATCTGAAGTCAATCCAAAAACAAATCCTGATGTGAGATCACATGAGAGCGGGAGTTCAACAAACCCACTGATGCAACTCAATTCCCTCAAACGCTTCCAGCCAGTCAAATTCCTGCCTCTGTACCTGCAGGCACTGCAGCCCTGAGACCAGGACATCGCAATTCGCTGGGATTTCTGACACTCGCATCATCTCGCATCTCTTCCACATCTTCCCATTGTCACCAAATGAAAGAAAATGAGTTGTGAGTTCTCGAAAAAAAAACATTTCACCGTTCAATTCCTTCACACATCACTTGCCTTCCTATGACTTGGGTCGGCCTTTGTCTTCGCAGCTCCAAAACTTCAAAGGACAACTTGAGACAATCCAAACGGCGATCCCAACACTCGTTGAAGTCACCTGGCGTCGCAGAGCAACATGAATTGACTATGATATGGGATCGTCTGGGTTTAAAAATTTAGAACAACCCCATCCTTGTTGGTTCGTCATCATCTTCCTCGGCTAAATGTTTATTTGTGTATATATGTATATTATACATATATATATATCAAATTATACCATATCATACCCCGTTCTCAGACGTATCTATATTGAGCTGCTTTTGCAACGACAGAAAGGCACCATGTTCAATCTGCCGCTGCCCGGCCTAAATGTGCCACCTGAAACGGCACCTTTGTGAGCCCATGCTGATCGAAATCGTTTGTGCCATGCACGTACCCTCTGGTAAACTAACATAGCTATCGAAAATGGCCATTTATAGTGGATTTTCCCATTAAAAATGGTGATTTTCCATAGCTATGTTAAATTACCAGAGGGTAACCAATCTCAACCAATCTTAAGCACACACCTTGTTGCAGCAGCAAAAAAAAACAGAAAGATCTCCAAAATCTTGCAAGTTGATGTGACTTGCCAGCAGTCAAAGGTTTCCGGTTGAAACACGAACCGGGCCCCCAATGAAAACGAAAGGCGGTCTGAGCAATCCACCCGTCCAGAGTTATCCTCGACATCACCAGCCTTGCAACCACAGGACACACGATTGAAACATAGTGAAAGTAGCGAAACAAAATGAATCTCACAGCAATCCCGTCATCCACCGAAAATAAACACACACAAAAAAAAGTAAATATAGAAGTTATCCCAGCATCAAACATCCCATCCATAGATCCAAAGTCTCGTTTCAGGGCCTGGAAGTTATGCTCGGCTTTGCGCGATGATGCCCCCATTTGGAGTTGGCAGCTCAGCCAGCAGCCTCGCAAAGGCTGCCAAGGTGCTTCAACTTATTTACCCCTTCCCCATATTTCCCCATCGCATATCATGCAATCATGATGCAATCATGGCAGTTGATGAATCTGATAATCTGCTTATTGTGCTTCGCAGATGTGAAGACCTGCCTGGTTTGGCCCAAATGCGAACAGCGCAGATCCCGGGCAGAGGCACTGCTGGCGGTGGACCCACCAATGCCAGAGCTGCCTGACAGCTTGTAAAAGTCATGTCATGATTTTCTTCAAACCTTGCCATTTGGTAAGTTTTGGTCAACTGTGTGTGGTTTCTTTGCCCAAAATGTGCCAACTCGGCAAAAAATCTCGGACCTGGAGGTCTTCCACGGCTGGAAGTTGCAGTTCCAGGACCTCAGTTTCATCACGCCACTTTGAATTCCCGTGGCGTTCCCGGATCAAAATCCAAACAGCTGGGTCTCCGACCAGACGTTGCCCTCCAAAGTGCAGCTCTGGCGAATGGAAGCTCAGAATTCCCTGACATTGCAAAGCTCTAACTTGAAACATGTGAATAGTTGAAGACTGTCCAAAGACACCTATTCAATTTTTGTCATCTGTTTTGATCTAGTAACTAGAATGATATATATGTATTTAAAATCTGTATTTATATTATTCTATATTATGTAATGTGTTTCATTGAGGAAATCGTAGCATTTGTTGCATTCATGGTTCCACTCTCTTGATGCAAGCCTTGGACTCCACCAGTCGTCGGAGTCTCTCCCGAATGCCACCCACCTGGTCTTCTGAACAGAGGTTTCAACATGTTTCAACATGTGTCATTCCAGTCTCCAAGTGATCCTTGATCGCAGAACAATCTAGACACCTTGATCCAGCAAGGGTATGATACGGTGATGATATGGTGATGATATGGTGATGATATGGTGCAAATTAATTCTTACACATTGACGCAGTCATGACGCATTGTGGTCCAGTGGTCTACCAGAGTCTACCAAACCACTGCCGAGCCAAGTGACGTGCCAGGTGACTTCTCGGTGGAAGGTGGAATCTGACATCTCCTAGCGAAGGCCGGGAAGCCAGATTCAAATGATTCACCTTCGAATTATTGAAATTGTGGGCCAAACTGCAAAGATAGCGAAGAATTTCCCGGACATTTTTTTGAGCAACCTCAAAATGAGACGACTGCGATCTTTCTATAAAAGCTCTCCTGCGCATACACAAAGTTTTCTCGAAAGTACCTGCATCTGACCATTTGTTGCCAATAAAAATGCCGTTTCTTGAAGAACTGCAGGCCCTTTGGAGCGCTTGCACTTTAAAAAGTAGCATCTGAAGCAAGGCCCAACCAATTCTTGGGCACTCAAATCCATTCAGGCCCACATTGTCCAAGAGAAATACAGGCGAAACGCCGCTTGTGTTGTAAGATGTTGTACAGGAAGCAAACATGTCTTGGCAAAGCAGAAGCATCTTAAGATATCTCAAGATTATCTCAAGCAATCCACAGATTGGTCCCGGCGCCTCAAAAGATTACGACATCCAATCCTTTGATGGTTAAAATAAATGTTAAAATTAGATAAAATAAGTTAAAATATGAAAAATCCGGCTGGACAAATTGGACAATCTCATTCTGGCCACCGCAGAGGTCAACATGGCCACGGTGTATTCTGGAGGCGGCCCGGATCAATGCAGCCTATCACGTCATATCACGTCATATCATGTTGATCAATGTTGATCAATGTTGGTCAATGTTGTTTATATCAGATGTGTTCGTATCTATCTGGTCAGTGTGGTGAAAATGTGTGAGGCTGGAAACTTCATTGCATCCTTCAAATTTGCCTAAAGCTGGGATTTAAGAATCTACGGAGGGGCACTGAACCTTTTCCTCTGCTGCTCTCATTCGAAGATCAACTTCTTCACTTATCCATGACCTGTGTGCAACTCATTGATCTTCATTGCCTGTCTCAGCCACTACTCTCTCTCTCTCTCTCTCTGTCTCTGTCAGAAGACACCCGTTTGATATGCCAAACTTCACCAAACATCGCCCTGTCACAAGAACGATGACAGCACCATGGCACCACCTGCATCCTTTTGCTTTGGAATTGTTTATCAAGGTGGCAAATGTGGAAGCCAAACCTCCAGATTGCAGATTGTGTCAGTGCTAGCGCTATGATCAAATCCGCTACCTACAAGTGACTTGAAATTGAGATTTGCCGGATTCCGTAGCTCTTTTCCCAGCTTTGCTCTGTGCTCGTGGCACTAGCATGCCATATGGAGGTCCAAGATCGTCCAAGTGGAGTGTGGCCCAGTTCTTGCCGGAGGGCACAGCAGTGCCTCTGAGCCGTAACTATTCTGCAAGACCGGCAAGACCCTACAACACGATGTCTGGCAAATTGAACTCCGATTGAAAACAGGTTCGCAGACAAATGACACTTGGCCTGTACTCTTCAAACGAGTTCTCGAAAGTTCTAACAGAAATCTGTACAACACTGTACAAGGAAGTTTCAAGTTGACTAATTGGGTGTCCGAGAAATTCCCCGACATGCCTCAGCTTCTCTTGAAACGAAGCGTTAGCTTTACAGGCTTTACAGCCAGGGTTTCAGTGGTTCAAGCTTGGCAGTGAAGTGACGCAGCCATGAAGGTTGCTCAACAATTCTGTACCCCGAGATTTCGCCAGAACGAGCTTTAGCTGCAACTCGATCAATGACTTCCCCCACGTAATCCATGTGGCTTTGTGTGTAGGTGCGTCGTGGCATGGCGAGACGCACCAACTCCATACTTGCTGCATCTCCAAACATCAGAGACCCGATTTCCACACCACGCACGCCACCTTCCACATAGAGTGCCACCGCCAGTGCTTGTGCTGGCAATTCACTGCGAGGGATGTCAGGCAAAAGTGCCGCGGCATCTAAATATACCGCATGACCACCCACTGGTTTCACAATGGGTACCCCAGCAGCCACTGCTTTGTCTGCAAGGTAGGCAGTGGATCTTGTACGGTAGCACAAATACAAAGGATCCAACGCCTCTCGAAGGCCGATGGCAATGGCCTCCATGTCATATCCGGCCAAACCGCCGTAGGTTGGAAAACCTTCCGTAAGAATCAGCAGATCACGACATCGAGCTGCCAACTTTGGGCACTTCAGGGCAAGAAAACCCCCAATGTTGGCCATGCCGTCTTTCTTGGCGGACATGGTGCAGCCATCTGCAAGAGCAAACATGGCATTGGCAATCTCAAGTGGGGTCATCTCTGCGCATTCCTCTTCTCTTGACTTGATAAACCATGCGTTTTCAGCAAAACGACAGGCATCCAGGAAGAACGGAACCTTGTGTTTGTCGCACACGGCGCGGACAGCACGGATGTTTTCCAGTGAGACAGGTTGTCCGCCGCCACTGTTGTTCCTAGGATATCAAGGCATCCTCCTCCCCACACATAACCATAACCGTGTGAATGTCTATGTACATCTACATTATCATAGACATGTACGTATAATTTACCCAGAGTAAATCTGTATTTTCTACTGATTCCAATGCTTTCTTGTGCTGCTTTGTATGCACTAATGGAGAACTCAAGATTCCATGAGCATGACTGCAAACCATGACATCATCATATCAAGCCATGTTTCGTCACTGTTAGCATCACCACCGGAACGTTTTCCGCACCAGCCTCAGAAATGCAGGCATCCAATGCTGCGACGTCCATGTTGCCCTTGAAGGGATGTTCACTGGAGGGTATTTTGCCCTCTTGAATTACGAGATCCACTGCCTTTGATCCACTGTACTCGACGTTTGCTCTCGTCGTGTCAAAGTGAGTGTTGCTTGGGACCACTTTGCCGGGTCCTCCCAGGATGCTGAAGAGGATGCGTTCAGCCGCTCTGCCCTGGTGGGTGGGGATCACTTCTTCAAATCCTGTGATCTCCCGTACGGCATCACGGAAAGCATAGAACGAGTTGGAACCTGCGTAGGTTTCATCACCCTCCATCATCCCGGCCCATTGTCGTGCACTCATCGCACCCGTGCCGCTGTCGGTCAGCATGTCGATGATCACATCATCACTGTGCAGTCCGAAAAGGTTCCAACCTGTTTCTGGAACCCCCGACTTTTTAGGAGCTTTGAAGATATCCCATTGATTCCCATTGCAGAAGTGTTGAGGCTTGAAAAAACATTGCAACACTGTTGTCACTAGAGACTTGAAAATGTTGGAAAACATTCGACGTGATTCATAGTGATTCTGGGGCCAGGCCTGCACGTTGAATTGCTTGCAGTCGTTCCTCTCGTGTGGGAAACAGAATGCGCTGAGTGCTGTGGATGCGAAACGGTTCGATGATGGTCTTGAAACCCAGCAGCGCAGCATGGCCGGGGTCCAGCTTCGCCATGTCTCGGACTCAAAGTCTCAACTTCCAGCACCTTCACCGGACTTCACTGGGAGGCTTGGGCCAAACAGCCTCAAAGGTTATAGATGGCGACAGATGGGGACAGATGGTGACAGATGGTGACGGTGAAACTTTGAAGAATGGATCCAAAATGATCCAAAAACCAAAGGCCAAGGATGCACCAGAAGCCCACCTGAACTCGTGAAAGTGTTGTTGAATTTCTCGGTGCTTCGACTCGTGCAAAGCCTCAGATGGTCTTGCCATGTCTTGGCCACAGGATGCCACAGGATGCCATGTGAGAAAATGCAAATGGATTGACGGTTTGACATCTGGGGGCAGCATAAGCAAGCAGAAAACGGCTCAGTCAATTGCTCTCATTTTGGGGTAGCACGGTATAAGATGTTGATGCAAATCATTTCATCTTGGACGTCTCTATACAAACCCCAACAAACTCTGCACCAACCTGGCTCTCTCTTTGTCGGATAATTGCCTTGGCAGAGTATGCGACAAACGACAAATGGGAACTTCCTCTGGTGGAAAAAGTACCTGCTATACATTACTTTACGGTCATTCCTTTGACAAAAAAAGCTTCACAGGCCAAAGCTCCTCTCAACGGTGCATATGTCATCCTGCATCTCTCCTTGTCTTTTGTAAGACTTGTAAGCTTTTCTGGGCATTCCCACATCTCTTCGCTCGGACTCTATCTGGAGATTCAGATGTTCCAAGCTTTCAGCCCGTAGCCTCAATCCAAGTGCTGCTCTTTCGAACAACCCTGGGATATCTGGGATCAATGAAACACAGTGGTTGCAGTGGTTGCAAAATATGTGTTTCATTACCAAATCCATGCAGGACATGTTCAAACACATCTGCTACATCTGCTACATCTCAGTTCTTTTCTCACCAGCTGCCCATCCGGGTCATGATCCACTGATCCACTCATTCATTTCCATTCTTCTGGCCATTCAATGTCAAGGGCATCCTGCGAGCACTCACACTTGCACACTTGCACACTTGCGGACATCTTCAGAAAATGCTAATTACATCTAATTACCTCTTTCCAGACCTGTGTGGGGCCTATGTTGTTGAACGAGTAGCTCCCAAAGGATGTGTGGCAAAACCACACGCTTCAACATCCCTCAAAGCTCCAAGTGGAACACCCGTTCAAGTGGACGCCTCAAACAAAAATGTCTTCAAAAATTCTACTTGATTCTTGCATCTTTACCATGCAAACTTTGAAGCTCTCCAGTTTCAAATTTATTAAGGTGTATCTGTACTTTCTGGGAAGAATGACAGCCACTTGAAATGTCTGTTTCCCGTTGTTTTCAAGTTCTTTCCCCTTTGTTTTCCCCTTTTAGGAAAATCTGTCCTGCTTGGAGTCGCCCCTGGGCCTGGCTTTTTTGGAAACGCGCTCCGCCAGCGCCTCAGGTGCTGCCGAGCGCCAAGAGCTCTTCGAGGCATCTGGCCGGGGCGCCTCCGACAGTTCTTCCAAGCCGAAAATTCACTAAACATCATTAAACACCGAATTCTCATGTTATAAAGATGTTGTTATATGTTGTTATATGATTTGTTATATATTATATTATATTATATAATGTTCCAAGATGTCTAAAAAGATGAAATTAAGACTTGAAGGGAACTTAGGGAACGCATGGAAATTCCGGAAGAAAGCTGCAAATTGAAAGAACAGGTTGAGACATGTTTGTTGGAAAAACAAATTGGACGGGTAGTTCCCCATCCGTCGATCATTGAACCAAAAGAGCAGCAACTCTCAAAACGTGCAGTTGCCAAAGCCTCGCCGCGCGCTGCTGCTCTTCGCTCTCGGCGATTAGGACCTGCCTTGTTCTTCTCACCTTGCGAGGGCAGCAAAACAGCACTGAGTTTCTTACATATCCTTAGTGCATCTTAGTGCAAGACAAGGATAGAACAAATCATACAGGTTTCTGTTGTTTCTGTTCGGCTCTCAACAATGATTTCTCATAACTTCTCCTCTCTCAGATCTTCAGAGCCACCTCCTGCGCCACCTCCGGAGCCGCCTCCGGCGGAGCCGGGGCCACCGGAGCCGCCGGGGCCACGTTTCCTCTTCGCCGCGGCGCCAGCGCCGGCGCCAGCTTCAGCGTCGGTGTTTCCCCTGGTCCAAGCGTCCACGTGGAGATCGCACTGTGATGGACCAGCTGAAGCACCAGTTCCCTGACACGACAAAGCACCAATAAAGCACAGAAAAAACAAGTTATGTAGTTATGTAATGTTATGTACTATAAAAATCGAGTCTATATAGATTGTTTCAACGCATGTCCACAAGAATACGAAATGAAATTGAATGATGGATGGCCCACCTAGCGATATCACAACAGTTTGGCAATTCTGCACGATCCCTCGAACTGAAACCAAGAACTGTCAAAGGATTGGCATGTACAGTCCATGAAAAACATGAAAAATAGTAATTAGATATAATTGGTAATGCCTGTCCCTGCGAATGTTGGTTTCAAGCGGTGGACCTGCGCTTTCTGTGCCTTGGGCTTTTCAACCAAACTTTCCTCCTGTTCTTTGACCAGGAATTTGTAGCCGTTTTCACCTCACTTCGACGAACTTGGAAGAGATCAAAGCGGGATTGTGTGGAAAGCGTTCTCTGAAGATTATGTTTCCAATCTCTATCAGAGTGACATTCACCAAAGACCATATGCTTGACGTCCGCCACTTTCATCTTCAGACCAACTCCCTAAGGACAGCTCAAGGTTGACAGAGTGGAAGGTGACAGTCAGCATCAAACAGCGAAATGCCGAAATGCAAGTTGCAGGAAAGTGAGAACAAAGGCTGTACAGGAACTTCATAGGTCTTTCAAATTCGAGCATCGTGAGACTCAACACGGCACCAAGGCACCTTTTCGAGTCGGGACTTGTTGATGAAGGTGCCGTTGGTGGATCCATGGTCCAAAGCTACGAGGATCAGGTCATCATCTACCTGTGTGATCGCCTTAGCAGCATCCCAAGCCGCAGTTCCTCAAACGGACGCAAAAAAATACGTCCAAGTTGCACCAAGTTGCCAGGGAGCAATGCTTCCGAGATAAAGAATTGTGCTCAATCTCGATGTCGACACAGCCCCCTGGCAATTCTCAACATGCATTGCTCATATTCAAACATTTTGAAAACATTGTGCAACATAATCGAGACATAATAGAGAAGTTGAGTTTGGTCTCACAATGTTCAGAAGCTCTTCGGGTCACCTGGCCTGAACGTCCAACGATGTAGCTTTGTCCCAACTGAAAGCTCCACTTTCTAGCGCGGATGCCTCGAACATACCTGAACTGAACTCAGGGTTAGAGTTCTGCGTACTTGCTGGTATTGTCTTCGAAGTTTCGGACTGTTTTTTTCCACAACACCCTGCCACCCTGCCCATTCATTTATGTAGTCCAAGTAGCTCGACCAATGCACACTGCACTTCATCGTCGCCGCCCATGGCGAATTCACTTTCGAATGGATGCTATGATTCGTCAATCACAGCTGTGAACAAGCACATCTCCTTCGCTAAGATTGACTAAACTTGAATAGCTTGAATAGGAAATTGGAAGATCTGCGACAGACATGTGATATGGCATCATCCACGTCCTGACTCGTACGTTTGTTAGCAGCCAGTGAAAGCAAGTGTGCTGGAACTCTGACAATGCTTTTGTCACCTTCTGTTTGGTTCAAGGATGTTCTGCTTTGCTGACTCCTTGACTGCTCTGCTCTTTGATCTGATTTGGCTGAATCATGTCCAGCCGTGGCACAGACCCAAGCATCTGTAAAGATGCGTCGACCCGCGAACAAACATAAGGTCATAAGCTGCATATCACAGGGCATGATGTCATCATGACCAATGTATTCGATTGTATTCGAGTGCTGTCTAACCATCCAAGCTTCCAGCTGTTCCAGTTCCTTGTGAACTCTCTGCTGCGCCAACTGAAATTCCTGCAATGGAGACCGGGGTTGTTTGCTGTTGCATCACTGTCACTAATCCGAGTGCAAGGGAACCAAGGGAACCACACAAATTAACCATCTCCAATTTGTGGGATCTGCTCTGCATTGCGCCTCCCGGTGCTCATCCATTCGGGCAACCGCTCTTTCATGCCTCTCAACATGGCTGGCTTGGCAAGTTCTGGATCTATCTTCTCTGGGCCATCCAGTTTCTGTGTGGCAGAAATGTGAAGTTGTTGATTCTTAAGGATGAAAGCAAATCATCAGTAATGAGTTAACGATGTTAACGCACAACCAACAGATCCAAACCTTTGTTCAAGGCAAAGACATCGAAATCAATCTATTCCTGACTACGTCCATCACTTGAAGTATCCAGGTTCCTGGGTATCTCTGACTTTGCCAAAGCGGTGAAGGGGTGAAAGAATGCAGCCGTGCAAGCAAACCAAGATCATTAGAAGGTTGAAGCAACAGCGGTTTGAATTTAACGCATTGTTCTGTTTGTTGTCAAGAGGCAAATCCAAGTTGTACTTCTCCTGCTGCTCGGCTTGCGCCTGCAACCAACCATCTCTACAAGGATTCCCAAAGTCCTTTAACCCATATCTCCAACAGGTGGGCTGAGCCCTGGAACCTCGGAATCCCCCCCAGAAATGTTCACAACCCTCTGTATCCGCGCAACCAGTGGCAGTGCACCCAGTGCACCTTAGCACCCGGAACCTTTTTTTGGCGAACCCAACCGTCCGGAAAAATATCCAACGGAAATCTCCCTTAACTGCACGACGGTGTTGTGATATGATAAGTTGTCCTCTCTCAGACTCTCAGCAGCCTGGAAAGATACCTCGGACTCCTTCTTGCCCTCGTCAAGGCTCGCCTGCTCCGAAGGCCCGAAACACATAAAGCCCGACATGAATCTATGCATCTGTCAGTCATTCTGGCAAACTCAAAAAAAACAGCAGTCAGTAGTCATTCGAATGTTCTTGCAAAAAACACTGCTAAAAAAAGCGATGAACTTGCACAAAGTCCTTGCTTTTCCACTGGCACCCCAAATGCTAGACAAACCTGTTTTCGCTCTGGTTTTGATTAAAAGATACAAGGTCATGAGCCACAAGTGGGGCTCATTCCGACTTTCTGCCTGTTTGGTGAACGGATTGGCTACTGAGTGTCTGTCAGAGGATCAAGCATCAAACGCAAAATGGACCTCAATGTTGAATTCTTGATGTTGGCCATGTGCTATATCTCATCATCTCATCCCTTGTTTTGTGCCCTGCGAGCAATAGAGCAGCAGCCAATGCAATTCTTGCGTTCCAGCTCTCGATTAACAAAAGGGGGATCTTCGCTTACTTGCCACCACCGTGGTGGAGAACCATTGGCGCATGCCCCAGAACATGGCCTCCATCCTGGACTCATGTGTGTCTGATACCACACATTGAAGCCTGGATCAGTTGGGAATCTGTCCATCTTGCGGCGTTTCAAGTTGTAAGTGCCTGTGCGGGAGTACACTGTGAAACCCATCCCAAGGGCTGGCTTGAACCAAATACCATCTGCCTCTCTCTTTGATCGAGCCATCAGCTCCTCCGTTGACAAGTCTGCTTCCCAGCCATCTCTTGAAACAAGAATCGGTGGTGCCGTGGCACCAATTTTAAAACCGTTCCTTGTCTGAAATGGATGACGAGGACGCGAGCAAGAATGTTCCCCGGATGACTCCTGTGTCATGGGAAAGCCAATGAATTTGTCGCGCTTCCCGTCATCTGCCAGGAAAGCAGGCAAGTCATCTGCATGGGCACCGATGTCTTCCACAATGATCTTTGCATCCCCCATGGTGACCAGGGTGGACGATCCACTGTTTGGGTACTCCAAGGTGTCAACTCGTTCATAGAGTTGAGGGAAGATGTCCTCAAAAGTACCATTGATTTGCTCATGTATGTACACTGCAAGGCTATGAATTGAAACCATACTTTCACCATTGGCAAAGCATCTCTGAAACGGAGTCCATGGGAAGCCACCCGTTCGTGGCCCTTGAAACTTTTTGAAAGCCATGAGAAGACCGCCACGCATTTGGGCTGGATCAACTGAATCAACTGCAGGTTTGGGCCAAATTGCTGAGTGACTTTGCCCACTGCATTCCGCCCGAAAATCCCACACTCCAAAGATATTCTTATAGTACAAACACGCAATCAAGAGCATCCAAAAAGTATCAAAAAGTTATTCTTGCCACGACTATGTGCTTCTCAGTCCCACTCCTGAAGCTTCTGGAGGTCTGCTTGGCAACTCAAAAGATCTCTCTGCAAGGCAGAGCACAATACCTGTCGGTGTCATGAATCCAAGTCTTACAGGTAACACATGGCACCACACCAATTGGAAACATCTGAACATCCACAATAGGTTGAAGCTCACCTGAACAACAAATACAATGTATTACAACAAATCTCTATCGCACACCTTGGACGCTTTAGATGGTTTCAGGATGTTTCAGGATCAGCTGCGATCTTTGCATCCTGCGACCGCTATCCCACCTGATGAGACTTTTCCAGCTCCGATTTCATCGTCAGATAGCGCTCATCACTTCGATCGATCCTTCGAATGCGCAGAACTTTGTGCTGTCAATCCATTTCAAATCCCTATTATCTTAGCATCTTAGCGCAAAAAAAACTGTTTTCAAGAAGGGACGATGGGTCTGGCGCCGGAGTCTGGAGGTAATCAACAAACCTTGTGAACTTGTGAACTTGTCACCAAAGTTGTGAACTTGTCCAAAGTTTCAAAGCAAAGCTTCCCACCTGGATGCCAAGTTCCGCACTTCACGGCCAAAGGTCTTCATTTCCTGCGCGGACCAAGGTTGCTCTCAGTTGCACGTGGCCCATGTGAAGTCAATGCTATAACCATTGAGATCCACTGAGACGTGTTCTGGTGAGCAGCACTGCCTGGCTTTGAAGATGGTTGCCCTCCTTGAGTGACTCCAAATGCTCAATGCGGCCTCAAGTAGTCAGACTTTTAGACTCCACTGAATCTAGCAGCCTCCCAAAGGAAGCACACTGGGCCAAGCAGTGATTTTCTCTGAGACACAACATGGAAACTTGTGTGGCTGGTCCTAGAATGAAAATTTGGCTCAAGGTAGCCATGCCAAGATATGCAAAAGATATTTTTTCTCCAACAACGCAGACAACCTCCAAGCTAAGAAACTGGGCGAAGACGGCGTAGGCGAATGCCATTTAATTTGAATGCAAGCATCACTCAATCAAAAGAACTCATGTAAAGGTGGCACAAAATTGAGCGGATATACTGACAGCTTACATGGCTTACATCAAGATTCAGAAAATCAGAGTATAGCGATGTATAGCTGATCTTTATTGAAACATATTGAAACCACGTTTAGAGCATTCGCATTCTGTGTCCATGGCCAGTGAGGGCCACAAGCGCTTCCGTCGTATCTTCGATGAATTCAACATGCAGCGCCTTGCACAGGGAATTGAAAATGCAAGGAATCTCAAATGCATTTCACATGGTTACTGGATGTTCAAAAACTGCTTCAAAATCTTGAACGTCTTGCAGGAGTGCTAGTCTCTGGTCCTAAACCCTTTTGCTGAAGACTAGCACTCCTGGGAATGTGTTTCAGACCTATGACAAACCCCACCTGGGAATGCTTTTCTATTGTTGCATCAAGCCTTCCAGCAGCTGAGAGCGTTTGTGATCACTTTGCTGAACCAAATCCGCAAAATCTTGGCCCAGACCTCTTTGACAAACTGGAGATATCGTCTTGAAGACCATCCTTTGCGCACAACTCATGTCCATAAATGTCCATAATATAAGTTTCAATCTGTGAGATCAAGACTGAATGTCAACTTGTAATCTAAATGTGGCAAGTGAGTCTTCTGCAGTGCTCTTTGAAACTCACAACTGATTTCATTCAAACATGCCCACAAAGAAGCACGGCAGCCTCCAACCATTTCAATTTGTGGCGTGTCCCAATAGTAGTTCAAGATTTCAGGGCTATCAGAACCCCAAGATTGGAACATCTCGATTTGATACTCCAAGTTCGCTCAAAGTCTTTCCCATTGAGCAAAAAATATTCGATGACTTCAAGCAAATAATGTCAAGCAAACTTGGAATCATATAAATCATAAGCAAACTGGTTTGAAATGATAGTCATTACAACACTTGAACCGCAGCCGCGTTGCCACACAGTCTTGCAGCTTTTGGATCTGCAAGGCACCGCTTCGTTGGAAAAGGGATATCGAGATCAGAATGCATTAAAAATCATTAAAATACACAAAAAGAAATGGAAAATGTATTGGCTATAGTGGTCATTGTTGATGACTCGGGAACTTGAGGATTTTCGTATCTGTAACCTTAAGCCATCCAAATAAACGCGGTGACTGACATTTTCCAAAGGATAAAAACGTAACATGTTTGAAATACGGACTAAGTCCCCCTAGGCGGCTCAACAAAGGTCATACTGAATCCCGCTCCACGGCTACACAGCCACGGCCTGTTCCTCAAATTCTTTATCTTTCTTGCCACATTTGCAAAACATTTGAAACATGTGAGGAAATGTGTATTTGAAAATAGTGGCTCAAAAACATCTTTCTCCAGTCCGAATTCAAAATGTCCGAGCTTTATGAGGAAGTGGAAAAGTGACGCACTCTTCACACGACAAAATTTTCTTTGCTACAAGCATGTTACAGAACCGATTCCGCTGTTGATGACAGCGATTTGGTATAATTCTGTTCCATATGCCCCCTTCTTCAACTGTACTCAGCTAGGAAGCCAAACATGAGGCCAGCACATGGAGTAGAGTTTGAATAAAGTATGAGCTAAAACATGTACCGAGCACAAACTCCACAACTGTAGCATGAATCAATTACAAATGCATACAAACGTCTCATACATCTGCGGATGTGGAGTGCATCTCAAGTTTGTTTGTGCACAGTGAACGATGCAAAGTGAAGCATTCAAAGGACGACTCACAAGAACAACAACCTGCACCGCAAATCCGCCGTATTTTGAAACTACGCATGTGCACTGCATCTTCTGCATCTTCTCTTGGCCAATAAACTGTACCACCAGAGAGGCAGATTGGGACTAGAAATTGCAAATCAAACGCCAAGTGCACTACGCAAGGTTGTGGATTCAAAATGATTCCCAGGATGTCTTTTCATCCGTTAGCACAGGTGTCCTTAATCGGACTCCATCCTTTTCGGAATTCTGGCCCCCAAAATGGGAGAGCTACGAAATCAGTTCAATCTACGCAATACCAATTGGAGCAGCATCACTCACATATCACGTGGCCAACTTGACCAGACTGTCATGCCTGTTCAGCAGGGACATTTTCCAGAAGCCATTCTCCATATGCAACACATCAGCAATCCAATCGGCATGTCCAAACTTCAGGAATAACTCAAATCACCCCACATGATTCCACTTCAGTATAGAAGAAACGCTAAAAAACAACTAGTTGGTCTAACTAGTAGATGAATCATGATGAATTCTGATGAATCTTGATGAATCTTTCTGTTCTCATTTCGACTCCCCCTTTTTTGATCTTTGGACCAACCTCCGTGGCATTCTCGTTCTTGGACTGCGGCTGCGGCGATTGCCACCATCAGCGTGATCCCCGCGACGGGGTTGACCGCGCGGTGGACCGGGTGGACCGGGTGGACCGGCTTGACCGGGACGGCGATATTGGCCAAAGAAGTCCCGCAAACCTGTTTGCTCCTTGGATTTCTCCACAACTTTCTCATCATTCTCATCCTCCTTGGAGGATCTCCCAGATCTGGCAGATCCCTCCACGGAATTCTGCGACACCTTGGCCTCAGCTTTTTTGTGTGGAACGAAATCTCGGAAGCAATGGCAATATGGCAATGACACCGTATAGCGAGTTGTGGCAGTGGACCTCACTTATCACTAACCGTCATAAATTGCCTTAGCGGAAGCTGCTGGCTACTGCTGCCTTCAGACCGCCTTCCTCTACATCTTATGAAAAATGTGCATGAATCGAAAAATAACAAAAAAACGAAAAACAAGTCATCCACACGGCTTCCCTGCCTCCTCTGGCTTGGGTTGAACCTGTGCGGTTCGTTTCCATCTCTGGGCCAGAACGTTGGAAGGTTTCCAGGCATTGTTCTAAAGCATTTATTGAGGCAGGATTAAAGAATGCCAAGTAGAAAAACCATACGTATGCATTTTAGACGCATAGTAGAAAAACATAGAAAACTATGCATCCAACATTGGCATACCTGGCATAAAGTTCCGAATGCAACAAGATCCCATTGGATTCACTTCCCAAGTTTCCCAAGTCAGCCCATTCCGAGCCTCCTGTGAGGTCTGCGGTTGCAGAGATTCTTGTTCCCTCTGATCCTTAGTTCGAGCGCAAAATGATTTTGCAGATTCGCAGATCAATTATTTTGACACATTTGGGTCTGGGTCGCAAGTTGGTACCCAAAAAGGTACCCAAAAATGATGCAAAATGACCCAAATCTCTTGTCTAGATCTTGAGTTTGACCTGTATCGCTGATACCTCTTCAGTTGTCAATAAAAATGTTCCAGACACTTTGATGAATTCTTCTTTCGCGATCTCTTTCGCTGGGATCACTTCCAAATCCTTGGTCCAAGTCAGGCAATGGGACTTACACTGACTACCACTGACTTACACAGATTTGAAAGACTTCCATCCCGGTGTACCCGGCAATGTCCTTGGCGTCCCCCTTGGGATCCCTTCTTGGGATCCCCTACACAATTTCGGTGGCCTCAGCCTCAGCCAAGGTTCATCGCTCCAATTTTCAAAGCGTTCCTCTCCTTTTCTTGGTGGATCATCAGCACAAAAGATGACGCCAATGATGGCAACTGCGCATGATGGAACCACGACCTGCATGAACCCAATAGAAATCCAAACGCAGTGAAAAACCAACAAATAAATAAGTGATAAGCACATGAAATATGTGTCCACAATTCACGAAACTGCACACAAAATACAGTAATACAAAATATGTATGCTGCAATATGCTGCATAATATATCAAAATAATTACAGCAGTATATTGACAATGTACAGTCTGCAGTATGTACACATGCACTTGTCGAATGAAGCTCAACTCTTCAAAATGGCTCACTTCCGTTTTTCTAGACACTGCTAATGGATGCTCATGTTTTTCATGTTTTTGTGGCGTATGCCAAGACACCTGGCCGCCACCTCTCTCTCGCTCTTTTTTGACTTGATCCGGATCGTAAACCACCTGGGCAAAGAATGGATGCCACACCCAGACGTGGGCCATTGCCAGAAATCAGAGGAAGAAGACTCCAAAAATCCATTGAAACATGCTGGAATATCAAATAGAAACAGAATTTCGTACAAAAAAGCGGTTTCACAAAATCACAAAATCACCATGTTAACATAATGTTCGAATGTGTCATGGGCTCCAACAGCAAAGGACATGCCTGTCGCATGCCCTGCCTTCAGCACACAGCGGTAGTAGTTCCCGTCATTAAACATTTGGTGAGCTCGAGCGTATTCCCTGGCAGTCTCGAACTTGGGCGACACATAGACACCTGGTTCCCAGAATTCATGGCCTGCCAGGGTGCCAGGGTGCACCATGATCATCTTTTACTGACAAAATCCCAAGCCTATCAAGCTGCATACTAAAATCTCCAAACATCTCCAAACATCTTTCAAATGAAAAATTGATCGGACAGTGACAGTGCCTATATGCGTGTTCCGAGACTCCAGGAGGACGCCATGATAAAGCACATTGCGGAGCGAGTAGAACCAGGTGCCATGATACGCAGTTCTCCACGAACTGTCCGGTGCCATCCCCGAATCTGGGTTTTCGTACTTCGCATACATGGCTGTTTCATTCGAACAGTTCGTTTGGCGCAATTCTTCACCTGGCTGACAGAAGGCTGAGGATTGCCAGAGACACAGGTAAATTACACGCTATACGCGTATCATACTGGAATATAGATACATTATGATACATTTGCACACATATACCTATACATATATACATAGATACAGACATACATAGAAATATACATACATATTATATGTACACATATCACGTAGACTTGCATATAATACATATACTATGTGCATCTCTGTGCTGCATTTCACAAAGCTTGCAGCTGAGACTCTGTCCATTGGGGCAAATGTCAGATATTCCGTCAGCTTTCGCTGGCCCAGCCAGCGCTTCAGGTCTCGGAAATCGCTCGCCACATTGAGCTTCTGGAATTCCTGCTTGCCTCAGGGACCCATGGATCCCATGCGGCGCCACAGGGATCTTACGTCTTGTATGATCTTACATTGTGCACACATTGTGCATATATTGTGCTGTCATTTGGAAATGTGCACGGGGGAATATACTTTCTCTCCATTTCCGGCACATTGTAAAGCTGTGGTCAAACATCATGCACACAATGCCAAGGTTGCACAGCACACACTAACCGTCACTAACCCCTCTGCACAGTCAAGTCATGCCAAGTCTCCTTTACCTCTTGCCTGCTTCCGGAACTCACCGATCTTGTTGCTTCTGCTGTATTCAGCCCAGGCCACAGTGTCCCTTAGCAAGTGACATACTTCCAGCAACCTAAAACAACCTCGCAAGACCCGGTTCCCATTCATTTCCTATTTCTAGGAAGGACACTGTGCAAAACGGCAAAAACGAAATCAGAAGACCTAAGAATAAGATTAGCAAGATGTTACAATCAACTTGCCAAGGAACCTCGGATTAATAAACCCCAAACGGCTGTTTAATTGGGGGATACCAATTAATTAAGTATCCATTATCACTGTGAGGATACATGGTTTATTAATCCGGGGTTGACTTAGATCCAAGATGATCCAAGTAGCTGAAAATAGACTTTGGATTCTCCACGCAGCTTGCCGGTGTTTATAGAAAATGAGTGTATGAGAGCTTGCTCCATCAGTCTGTCAGGATCATCGTCCAGCGGGTTTGTCTTTCTTTCGGAATCTTCAATTGCCAATGGGGTCTGTGGGGTCTCCCGTGGGGTCTCCCTTGAAGTCTGTGGAATCTTTCGGATCAAAGCTCTTTGGCTTTGACTGGGGCTGCGACTCAAAAGTCTCCGGTGAGCACGGCTTCTGCGGCTTCTGCCACGATATCTGCAGTGTCTTGGTCCAACACTTCGATGTCTTCGGAGACTGCTGCGGCTACGGGCGCTGCGGCTTCTGGATCTGGGGAAAGCATCACGCACGTCACGCACGTCCCGCACGTCACGCAGGGAAGGCAAATCACGGTCTCGGCTTCTGGTTTTCGGGGGCGGTGACGGATCCCTTTTTGGAAACGTGAAAGTTTGTCCTTCATGGAAAAAGCACTCGGTCAGGACAACGCTGGAAAGACCGGAAAGCATTCTGAGCTGCTACGAAGTCTCTTAAAAATGTCTGTGTGTTGACATGTCTGGCTTTTGCTAAGTGTGGAGGGAGGTCATGAGAAAGTACCAAGCAAGCAGTTCAGTAGGCCGGTGCTGTCTTTTCAAGGTCCTCATTGGAGTGACTTGAAATGGTCACGAACGTACAAATAACAGCAAACATCATGCAAAATCACAATAATTACAATCCAAGTACGCTGTCCTGCGTTTAGCTTTCTCTTTTTGGAGTTTAGCCATGATTTGATTTTGATCTGAATCGCTGCGCATATGGACTTGAGACGGCCTATCTACTGAACACATGGTCCCGACATGTTCAATGTGACAACATATGAGCATGGCAAATGGGTTACAAATGGCTGCGCAAATGGCTGCAAGGTGGCTACTTTGTCTCTCACAGCGCTAAACCTAGTTGCACCTTGCTCAGATCTTGTTCGATCTCGTCCGATCATACAAGATGATCGTACCTTCTCATGCAGGTCATGCATTTGCACATCCCCAGGATGTTGTGTCTTAATGCATTTCATAGTCCTCAACAATCCACAATCACAGGAGAAACTTGATATTGGACTGGCACCATATTGATGGCTCTTGCTTAAATGGCTTAAATTGTACCTAAGAGCCAAGTGTCTGACAGCCGAAAGTGTTTTCCATGGTTGAAACATGTTGAAACCATTGGAAACATATTGTAAAACGCCCTGGGGAGGTCCGACGCTGCTCAAATGGGCCACGCAGGGATTTCCAAAGCAGCCGCAGCAGAAGTTCAACCCTCGAATTATCGGAAGCAGATCACAGATGATCACAGATGATCACAAATGATCATAGCAAATCTCACATCATCACAGCCCTCATCACATCACCCATCGGACCCTTCGGACCCTATCGGACCCTATCGGACCCTTCGCTTCAACGGTGAAGAGACTTGGACGCCGGAGGCTACCCATGCCATGCGGCGTCCACTGCGTCCACTGCGTCCACTGATCTTCACGGGACTTTGTAGGTGAAGTCAGGCGCTTTGATTTCCGAAGACACGCAGCCGGCAGATCAAGGTCTGATGCTCCTGGCCAAATGTCAAACATCTATAAGACATCTTTAAATATCATGATTTCAACACCTTTCAACCCTTTCAATACCTTTCAATACATTTCAATACCTTTCAACAATGTTTGTCATGCCATGGTCTCATGGCATACTGCATAGTGTGTAGCTCAAGTTTTGCTGCCTTGCAGGGAAACTTCTAAGACATTCCCTGCGTTTCTTGTTCCGTCCTCACCCCAGTTTCGCTGGAATCGAAATTGAAGACCACGGACCAGGCCAACCTAGGCAGTATTCACCAGTTTGTAGAACTCTCGGTTCGAAGCTCATCAAAAATTGCAAAAATTGTAAAGCTCGACCTTCATGGCGTTGATTTTTTTCATTGGTACCTTTAAGTAGTGTATTTTGAGTACCCTTCAAAGACATTAGCCTGCCACATCCTGCCACTCTTTTTCTGTTCGTTGTATTTCCTTGGTGCCCCTGCATCTGCTGTGAGGTTAAAGACCTGGACGCAGGCATTAAACTCTTGAAGTCTTAAGCTGTCTTAAGATGTCCTAAGATGTCTTAAGGACTAAAGAAATTAGTAAAATCGATTGCAATCGTTGCATGTTTGGGAAGTTTTGGGATGTTTTGAGATGTTTTGGATCAAATAAGGCTCTTTCTAGTAAGGCAAAGCTAGCCATCTGTCTTCATGCCATTGGGGCAAGAAAATGGATCCTTGGCCTTCAAACAAAATTTGAGTGATGCAAAGAACTGCCTGACTGCTTCCTTCGAATTCGAAGCGTCCAATCTGCATGCTGTACCTGTAGCAGTCAAAATGTCTGCAGCTCTCAGGTTTGGATTTGAAAGAGCTCTCCTGCATGCCGTATGACTCGACGTTTCCAACGTTTCCAACAGCCTTGACAGTGCAATGATACGGTTCCGTGTATTTCAATATTTCAAAGTGCTATCAGCATTATGTATTCTAATATATTTTAATATCATATTCTCATGTTCGATGGCATTCAACATGAGCTGATCATGGCCATCTGAGCTTGGCCGTATCTTGGAATGATTGTGACTGAGGCTGCGACGGATCATCCATGCCAGTTGGCCAAGCATGCACCTGGCACTTCGATGGAATTCATAGGCCAAACAGCACTACCTCCAGTCAGACCTAGCTGATCCATTCACATATCCCAGCACTAATCCTACTATTTAACATCTAGAAACATCGACATAAGTAGTGACTTATAGTAACTTGATTTCTGTGAACATCTGTGAACATCCCAGCCTCGAAATCTCGTGGGCTTGCTCGAGGATCCAAAGCCCAGCTGGGTGACTGCTCTAAGGCCTCAGACAGGACTGGAATTGCCAGCAACGATGGCCCCAACGAACGATCCTTTTTTTTTCACGCCAGCCGTTGACGTTTGTTGGATACAACGGATACAACGGTCTTCTCTCCAAAATCCTCCAGGAATTCCCGCACGACCTGAGCCATGCAGTTTTCCAGTGCTACAAATCTCCAACACACCGAGACCATGCCAGATCCAAATCAAATTGATCCCATTGTTTGGTGAGTATATGATGTATATGCGGCAAAATATGACTTTTCATTCACTTTCCAAAAAAAATCCTCAAATTCCTGCGATTCAAAAAACGATGTCATTCACTTTCCAAGGCACCGTTGCCATGTCGGGCACCTCCATCATACCAAGCTCTTTGGCACGATCGTGGCTCAAGTGAGATCCCATGCTGCGAACGACGCGTGACAGGAACTCGTCTTCCTGTCATCACTGGCATTTCGGAGTCTCACCTTGAAGCCATGAGGCCATTTCCCAATGTTTCATTACGGTGATTACAGATCCAAAGATATCCAAAGAATGTGCTCCTTGTCGACAATCTTGCCCAACTGACCAACTTCGGAAGGTGGAACCACTTCCTTGAATGGTTTCGACTCACGTCTGCACAGCAAAGTAGCGAGGCTTGAATGGCTGAACTGAAAGTCGATTCAGATACCGAGAAATTCCCATCTTTTCCCAGCTTTAAAAGGTGGTCACACCAGAACCCTTTGGAAACACTTTGGACAGTCAAGCAGCATACAGAGCATCTACTAGCTGCTGCAGTGAGGATGGTCTCGATGGCAGATTCAATGTGCGATCCACGCGGTCTGCAGGCCACTTGGCATCATGGAGGATCACCTGAGCTCTACTGTAGTAAAAGTGGAGAAAAACCCTGATGCCAACATGTGCCAAACTTTGCCAACTATCTTCAACATTCAGCTATGTTCAACTCTTACCTTTGGAAACTTTTCGCCATGCATACCTTGGATATACCTTGGCATTGATTTGTGATGACATGGCGTGTCCTCTCATGACCGGGGAAACAAAATCACGGCACAGCCGCCACAGCATCTTTCTTTGCAGATTTTGCAGCTCTGTCACCAGATTAGCAATGAGCGCTCTTGTGCTTGTGACAGGATGTGGCAAGTTCCTCGGATAGCTCAGCAACTAAAGACCCAGGACTTCTTCTGGTGTCTTGTCCCTTTCTAATCCTTTGGTATCCTTTATAAATTGTGTAATGGTTCAACTGGTTCAACTGGTTCAACTGGTGCAACTTTTTTAATCAAGGTTCCGAGCTATGGGCAGCACAGCTTCAACACCATGCAAAGGCTCTCGGACCACACCTGCACGGCAGAATATTCATGCAGTTGGAATCCGCAGTGTTTTTTTGTAAATTGCAATGCCCCCGTGGACAAAAAAAGTGCAAAACGGACCTTCAGTTTTTCAATTGGAAAAAGGGCATGAGAACCTTGCACAAGAATATCGAAAGATTGCCCGAGTGATTCGTTTGCAAATTGTTTATGTTATTTGATCTCTAGTTGTTTGAAGGATTTTGAAGGTCTGCAGGACCCCATGCGAGCCTGAGTAACAGCTGGTTGTGGCGGCATTGGGCTTCCCAGGCCGCACGATCACCGTAGGAAGACGGGCAGTGCGGCCATCGATGAAGCCTTTCCTGCTCCAAAATTTGGGATGCAAAGCGAGGCTAAAGGACAGAAAGGAAACAAAGGAAAGAAAGGGATGAATTGCATCAAAATCATTCGAAATCAAATTGATCTGAACAACTTGAAACCAAACCCTCTTTGGCTGGGTTTGAATCTTGAACGAGACAGTGGAATGCTGCTGGATCCTAAGTTGAGAAACTCGCTCAGCTGGCTTCTGACAGAACTAGTCCCCACTTTCCCTCTTTCCTCGTGTAATCGTTTATGAAGAGTTCGCCGCAAGCTTTCGTCATTCCGTACGTGTTCTTTGGCACGATCTTGTCAGTATCACCTGCTAAAATCAAAGAGATGTGTCCCATGGCTATGGCCGATGGAGATCCACCATTGGTCCCTTGATGTCCCTTGTGACTTTCGAATTGCAAGACACTTGAAATCAACTTGAACCCATTGAAATGGCTGGTCCAAAGATACTAAGTGCATAAAGACATCCCTCCAGAGCCTACAGGAATTCCAGCTTCAACATAGGTCTCCCCGAAAACGGCCAGAGAAGAAGTGAAGACAAACTTTGGCAACGGAGAACCGCCTTCGAGCAACAAACTGGCACTGCTAGAACTAGCAAAGGCTTTCAAACAGGTTTGGGAAGAGAACAAAAGGAGACAGACATAAAAGGTGGGTCGCTTGGAGGCATTGTACTCATATCAAAAGTAGGCCAGCATGCGCAAGACTGCTTGCCCTCAAGATAAGATATATCTGAAACACAAAATCCGGGACAACCACCGTGCACGACAAACGCCTTGCCTCGTGTTCGGCATGCATCTAACAAATGTCGAGTGGCATCCAGGTTTACTCGCAAACCTGCCAGCTGTCTCCATGACAGAACATCAATAGAAAACCATAGAAAACCAACATCCCATCCTACAAGACCCAACATCAACAGTGTACAGAGTTAAAACCGATCCACTGAAGACCAGCCGGGTGGACCCAGGTCGAAGTCTTTCTCAGCCGCGCCGCTCATCACCTCAAACGTCGGCACTCATAAAAATCGGAGACAAAACAACCAATATTTCGTATGTTTTGTTGCATTGTCACTGAAATCATTGAATTCTCTTGGCAAATCGATGAAACCGTTGGGTTAAATCATGTTTCAATCTGGGGTTCCAAGCACGCTTTAAAATCGTTTAATCGCCAGTTAAGTAGTCGTTGAATTTCCTGAACTGTCTCGAAAAGTTCCTGAGATACCGGGCCCCTGCCAGGTGAAAGATGGAGATGCAGCCCTGCAGTTTCTCCAGCAACTTTCGACAGGTGGCTGCATCCGTCAGGTCTCCGGTTTCCACCAGGACCTGCAACTTTTCCATGGACCGTCCATAGACTCCATGGACTCCATGGACCCCTAAAAATGACTGAAACAGTATGAAAAACATCGAAATGTTGAAATGATCATGAAAATTCCTGAAATGTGTTTCTAAATGATTGTAAATGGAGGGTTCAGAATGCATCGAAGGTTTAGGTTCAAGTCGAAGGCGGAATGACATGGAATGACGGGAGAGTTGCAGGGCTCAGATTTCTCACAGTTTCTAGGTTTATTGATCTTATTGCAAAGGACGGCAGCAGTGGAGACCTTGGGGTCAGCGTTCATGGCGCTTTGGCTTGCAGGCATGTTATCGAAGAGGACAATCCTCCAGAGCAACGGGAGTTTCCCCTGCCCAGTGTCAAAGCATGTCAAAGCCAGGCACGGCTAACAAAGTTAAAATAAATTGTTTGTTTGGGCACAATTCAAAACGCATGTTTCTGACATTTCTGAACGAGAATTGAAACGGATTCTTTGCATGGCAAGAGCCGTTTTAGCTACTTTCACATGAGTCGTTTGAACAAGGTTGAAGATAAATCATCATAAATCATCACAAATCATCATAAATCATCACAAATCATCATAAATCATCACAAATCATCATAAATCATGAACCTACACGAAGACCTGGCGATTGCCAAACTTCACAAGTCAAAGGATGCCAACGGCAGCGTCCTCTGAATGGTCTGGATCTCCCCAGCAGAATTCGTCAGCTGTCCTCTTCTCAGCAAGTACCTGTCGATTCCAATGGGTTCCCAATCGAAAACCAATGCATTCGAAGACTTCCCCCAACCAAAATCACGCCAAAACCACATTGAAACGATCAGCTTCGGCAAGGCCGCGCCTGCACAGCTCTTGCCCCAGAAATCCTTGGCCACCTGCGTCAGCTCGACCAATTTCTGGAAAGTCTCGTAGTCTCGTGCTCTGAAGTCTCTTCGTTTTTCATCTACCCAACTTAGCCCTGCACAGTGGACGTAAACCAACACATGGAGAAATATGTATGGTTTGCAGCCGCTGGGAAGATCGAGTCAAAAGCTTGCACAAACTTTGGCCTGTGCAGAAACCTGTGTTGGCTTCCCACTGAGGATCACAATGACTATGGCACTATTCAAACTAAGGACTACTCATATCCCAAACGTCTTCCCAACACTGCAGGTTCAGCAAGAACAATCGAAGGCTGAACGGGATCTGTGCTGCAAATCACCCAAAGCTGCTGCTTGGCTTGCTGTGAGAACGTCTGATGTCTGTCCCTAGTTGGCCCCACCGGCCCTACCCACAGCGAAAGACTCGCCTGTAATGAGGACCTCCATCGCTATCGAGCGGGGCTAAAAGAATCTACGGTGCCCACGGTTCCGTGTGTTCCGTGCAGAATCGTTTCACGATGCACGGTTTGTGGTTGTCATGGGAACATCCCGTGGACTTGTGGGTGTCCAAGCCTGTCAACGGAGTCAAAATTTAAGAAGTGCATTGAGAGAAATGGATGTTTGGTGTTTGGTCCTCGTTGGTGTTTGGATACATCCTCACATTTGTGTTGCACACACACCAAACTTCATAGAGAGAAATCATGCGTGTCATGACTGTTGTCGCTGCTGCTTATTCCATGTCCTGATGGCTTACAAAGCACAGGGTTTGAGCTCAAGCTGAAGCTACCAACAGCACAATCTTAAAAGCACAATGCACGAGCAGAACTAGGAGTCTTCGACGTTCAGGACAGATACTACGAGGGCCTATAGCCACTTCTGGCTTGGCTGTGCAGGGAAAACTTGCTGCGCTGAAAGAAATTGGTCGGACAAAAACAGGGATCGAGCTTGAGCGAGAAATGAATGGAGATGCTGGGTTGGAGTAAAATGAACCCTTGCATCAAAACGCAACGCGAGTGTGGTCTCGAACAATGGTGCCTGTGAGTCCGTGTGGGTATAAGTTTTTAAGCACACAGCAAAAACCCAACAATAGCATGTCACAAGGAAAGAAGCTTGACCATCCTGCAAGGTTGTGGTGGAAGTGGCAGAGTTCAAGACACAAACGAATGGTCTACAGATAGCCACTGGCTAAACAAGTCTTTCAAAATTTGCAAGTAGGATACTGAACTACTAAGTAACTACTAGAACAAACTCAGTACCTCAATATGCCAATGAACCTTTACAATACTTTACAACTCTGAAATCTACAAAAAAAAACGCAAAAGATCGGACAGTCTTGGGTTAAGTTAGATTCAAATAAAAAGGTAGGACAAGTCAGATCGCAAAAAGATCGTCCACTGGATCAAAGAAGCGACTGTTCAGGAAGGAGATAGCCGCCTGCCACAGGAGCATGGCAAAATCTGCAAGTGGACATGTATGTATATATATATATGTGTGTTATATATATATATGTCATGTATAGATATGTATAGATCTGATAAGTTCTGATCATATATTCCTTTTTATGAAGCAGCCAATGTCAACTGCCAACGTGCCAGGCGAATCACGTTCAACGGAACACACTGCGACTTGTTTCCGCGCGTGCATCGGCCGAAAAATAGTCTGTGCCAGTGGTTGACAAGCCAATGGGTGACCTTCATGTACAAAGCTTGGCAAGTCAACAATCCTCTCTGGACTATCAGCCCAAGGCTGACCACAACTCAAAAACACCCCTCTGACAAGCCTCCATGAACTCCATTGGAACAGCATCAAAGAAACACTATGACACCCCTTCGGAATTGGTATTGCTCGTGCCAAACGACAACACATTTCCGAACCACTGGTCTGTTTCAGTTGACCTCTTGAGACAAGTACTGTTCCATACTGTTCCCAGTGAGGCATAGATCATGCAACTAGAGCCTCTCGGAATTAGGGCCGTTGCTTCTAATTCCTATACACATTTTCTAGATGTCAAATGTCTAAACAAAATCACTGTCCACCCTTTGAATCATTTGCAGCGGCTGCTTTCGCCGGCTTCAATCAGAGTCACTATCACTATCTGCACTATCTGCACTATCTGCACTATCTGCACTATCTGCACTATCTGCACTATCTGCACTATCTGCACTATCTGCACTATCTGCACTATCTGCACTATCTGCACTATCTGCACTATCGCTATCTCCAAGAGCATCGTAACGATTGCCACGAATGTTTTGCAGAACAGATTTGGTGTCCCTGAGCCACGCTCGCAGATCCAACGCATTGGCCACGATCTGCACTGCTCTCCTCAAACCCATGAGATTTCCAGCATCTGGACCAACTTGGAGAGATGCCAAGGCACCGATGATGAAGAGCTGTTTGAGATCTCCCCACTGCAGATCTGGTGAAAGTGTCGGAAAACCACCCACCACCTCCACTGGCCTCGTCTTCAACAACTCACCAATCAATGGAAGTTGCTTGCAATCTGGACGATGCCCACATGCATTCACGATCAAATCGAAGTGGTGTGCCTCTCCATCAATTAAGACATCAACAGAATCCTCGTGGACTGAAACCACCTGCACTTCACCACATTTAAAGGTTAGTCTTTTGTTTTCACAAAGTTCTTTCATGTACATTGGAGGCACACTGCCACCACCCCTTGTTGCCTTGATGTGTTTCAGCCGTTCTTCCAGCGGTTTCTGGAAGAACTCGAAGTGGTGTAGATGCGCTTTCCGCCAGTCGAACCAAGCTTCACCGATGTCGAAGTGACGAGTTGTGAGTGGCCTACGACTGGCCAACACCACTTTGCAGCCTTTCTTCAAGGCCAGTTGTGCCACCTGAACCGCTGTAAGACCTCCACCCAGCACCAAAACACGTTTCTTTCGGAGGTCCTCCCCACGCCAACTGAGATCATCTGAATGAAACATCAAAGTGTTGGGAACCGCAGACAGGGCAGCTGGAACTACTGCTGGTCCAGGCACCCCGAGAGCAAGGACAACAGCTTTGGCTGTCAGCTCTCGACCATCTGAGAGAATCACCCGGAAATCTCCATCTTCACCTTCAATTGAAGCCGCCTTCCCACGAACAAATGAATGAGGAAGACAAGATGCAAGGTGAGAACAGAAGTGCTCGAAGAGATCATTGGAGGGGAGTTTCCAAAGACCTCTGCCAACCTGTGTGGCATCCAATGATTGGAGTTCCGGATTGACTGCTCCAGAGTCAAGGAGGTCGTGTTCACGACTTCGTTGATGTGCAAATGCCAGTAAGCTATGCATATCAAAAATATCTGGGTGCGCTCCAGCTGGTGAACGCAGCCATTTGATATCTAAGGCTTTGAAGCGCTTGTGCCAAGTATTCAACCATGGCTCTGGATCAATGACACAAACCTTTGGATTCCGCCGTTTCTGTTTTTCGGCCGCATATTCAGCGCGTTGCCGTTGGCTTTCCGAGAGGTGATCCATGGAATACGGTTCGATCACCGCCGAGAGGGCGGCCAAACCGCCAGGCCCACCACCCACGATGCACACGTCGAAGTCGCCATGGCCATGGCACGTCGAGCCACCAGAGTCACAGCCGTTGGTGACATGGGCATTCCTGGCAAGGCCCATAGCATTCCTTGCGTCAAAAAAATGTCCGGGGTGGAGCTCAGTGGCCAAAATGGCTGTGGCATCCTGTTTTGGTGTGATTGTGGCATGTTGGACGGCAGTCGCATCATGTCGCATCCATAATTCATCATAATTCATCATAAATTCATCATAAATTCATCATAATTCATCACTTACTATCGAAAAATACCGAAAGATGAATTCCGAAGACCCAGTGCCCGATTTTTTCCCATCGGGCGTACCTTGTGCGGCCAGGCCCGAGGCACAGGGCGCAAGGCCAGAGTCAAAGAGCCCGTGTTTCATCACCAATTCTCTGCTTAGATATGATGAATACATTATTTTCGTACACATCCTTCATCATCCTTCTCTTAACTGAAACCCACAGCTCTTATTTTACAATAGTTTCATATATTTTACATGAGTTTACATGTATGTTAAAGAATGGAACTGGGAAGTTTGTTGATCCGGACTTGGCAGTGGCTCACAGTTCCGGGCGTCCCTGCCACATGACTTGGACGGATGGGCCGCCAGAAGATGATGGACACCTTAGCGCCGGTGCTTCCTTCCACGGCAAAGCACCTGCACCAGGGCACCACGGAAATGAAGGCAGGCAACCAAGAAAGAGATGTGTATATTAGTATGTGTATATATATATGGATCAAAGTAATAAAATTGTATATAATATATATATATATATCATGCAAAATATGCTTTGGATTCCCCATACTAGTTTCCGTCCATTGTTCTGGGTGTGTGTAATCGTTCTTCAAAAAAAAACTAGCAATATAATATGTCTATGTATGTATGTATGGATGGATGGATGGAATGGAATGGAACGGAATGGAACGGAACGGAATGGATCATGCATGCATGCATGACAAACCCAGGAGAGCCTTTGTTCTCAACAAGAGATCACAAACAAAATTCTGGTGCATGTGACTCGGAGCGAAAAAAAAAAACGTCCCACGTCCCGCCTGGATGGTGGACCTGTCTCCCAGGTCAGCACCACCTCCGGTGGATGTGAGGCCGTCACCAACATGCGCCAGCTCGGAACCATCGAGGTCAGGATGCGCGCCGCCCGGCCCCAGAAACCACGGTGCAGGCCCGGCGTGGTGTGGCCTAGGGGAGCTCCGGGTGCCAATTTTTCTTGGGAAAACCATAGGAAAAACCATCGACACCCCTTCAAAGTTGATGGATGTTGATTTAGCTTAATAATGTTTAATAGGTTTTTTCTCCTTAAGATGCATATTTTGAAGGGAGTATCCTCATTTTTGGATAAACTGGAACGTCGTCATCCCTCAGTTGGAACTATATCTGACCTTGTTGTACCCTGCTTTGATGATTGGAATGGCGATGAATCATTTGGAGAAGGGGAGGTACCCGCTCTTCAAAGGAACGTCTTCTTTTTCTGGGCTCACCTAAGTTTGCACTACGAGCATGTGAAGCAAACATGTAGTGCCTATCTTGTATCTCCTGTATGCCACCTGCGATATTCCGTGTCATGCAACATGCAAATATCAGACAAATGCATTCTTCGGTCACATTCATTTTTATATATATATATATATGTGATTATATATGTACATTGATGACCATATATGTACATATGACATCATATTACTATATGACATCATATTACACGATTGTTACGTCATGTTACCATCTCTTTGAATCAACTCTTCAATGATCATCCGTCAATTTGAGCACCCCGCTGTGATCAATCTCAGCTCCTGCTCTCCAGGCAGCCCAGTCCTGCAAGTGCTGGAATTGCTCTTAAAGTAGGAAATCAGAATGAGATGATCAGAAAGAGTCTGAACATTTTAAACATTAAACATTTCAACATCAGACACTTTCACACATCACACTGTACTGCACCATGGCTAATTTGCGTATACAACTTCAGTAGAACAGCTGAGCTGCCCACCACTCCCAGATCAAGTGTCGGATCAGCCGCGGCCAGCGGCTGAGATGTGCCACCTGCGGTCTCACTGCACAGCCACTCGCCCCGAACCCGTACAGCAAGGTGCCTGCCAACCGTTGAGCTGCAGTCTCTGCAGCTCTGGCTGCCGCCCAGGCCTGGAATGTGGATTCCAATTTTACTCAAGTTTGGACAACTATCCGATGCTCTCAAAATGTCGCGGACATCAACGGGCACTTCCTTCGCGCCTTTTGCTCGGCGTCACGGGCTTCTTCCGCTGCCTTCAAAGCAGCTGCAGCATCTGCACGACCACCTGTCGACACGACTGACCTGATGTCGTTTCAGGCAAATGTTTCAGGCAAAGCGCGTGCCCATGCCCTGGCCTGGTATCTTCGCAAAGGCCTGCCAAGTGGCACAGACTTATCAGTTCAAAAATTGAAAGTAGTGGGCAGAAAGCTTGAATCTGTTCAGATTCGCACTGTTTTCTTTCTATGAGATGAACTTCCAACAGACTTACAACAGACTTGATCCACTTGATCCCTTCAACCTTTTCAAGGGATTCCAAAGATCAAAAGAACAGTCAGAAATCAAAGGGTCAAAACGAGTCAAAAAAACAAAATACTTCCTCCTATATTCGCACTGCACCCGAACTGCCCTGGAAACCTTTCGTTTCATGTCGGCCTCCTCCAAACGCTGGAGCCGCTTCCATGTCAGGTCGCTCAGATCTTCCTGCCCAAAGAGGTTCACCATGGAAACATCCAAAAAAAAATGAGAATGTAATGTATATTATATATCTGGGGAATCCTTTTGTGAACTTCTGCCGAAATTCCATTTCGACAATTTCCAATTCTGCCGAAATAGGGTGTTCATGGGTTGTGCTTATTTGTAACCAAAGCTGAGTCCGGGCAATTCCGCCGGAATCTTGGGCAATTCCGCCGAAATTGGTCTCCAATGATGGAATTCCGCCGAAAGCTGTTTTAAGAGCGAAATCTGAAAATTCTGCCGAAATCCCGAACGGCAAAAACTTCCATACATTTGGAGTTCTAAGGTATACTGTATAATATAATATAATATAATATAATAATGTGTATAGATAGATGATTGATAGATGTGCGGATAATTTTCTTTTCAAGACTTCAGCATCCCTTTTGTTGTGTAAAATGCTTGCTGCGCCTGGTTCATATCCCGAACTGCTGGACCTGCCATCGCCGAAGCAACATAAAGATTACTGCGGATTGTGTCTTTGTGTCACCTGATTTATGTAACCAACGGGGATCTCGAGACATGACATGAAATCATTGTCACTCAATAGCAAAAACATGCAAAAACGAAGATGCACCTGGCAAATCAGGAGTCGATGGCACTAGTGGGATGGGTGGCATTGGCGTACTCGGATCAGCTCCTATCGAATGAAGTCGACTAAAATTAGATGGTGGCAATCCTGTCAATCTGTTGGTGCACAGTTCAAGCTGTTTCAAGCTGTTTCTCTTCTTCTGGTATACCATGCACCACTGTCCTTCACCAGCCAGAAGAGCCACAAATGCAATGACCAGCATCCCGCCCTTAGCCAGACACGATCACCAACAAACATGTGCTCGGACGTATCTTGAAGTCAATGTGCGATCTGCAAATGTGTTTGGGCCAAGATGCAATGCATACGGTTGCAGCGCAGAAAGCCTGGGTCGGCAAGACTCTCCACATCTTTCAGTTGACACTTGAGACCCTTTTTCTGCTTCATGAACAGCCAGAGCTTCTTTGAACCAAAGTATCTTCTCTGACGATGTAAAAACATATTGATAAATATTGATGTGATGTGATCAGTCTTGAATTCTTGGATTCCCTGCAGCAAGCGCCACACCCAAACGCTTCGTGTTACGATCCTTCGCCTCAAAAACCGAGGCTGACTTGAAGCCAAGATCGTCTGAGGAGACTTCAACATACTCCAATGATCTCAAGAAGAATAGCTGCAGAAAAGATCAGAAAAGAAAAAAAAAAACATCAGAAAACTAAAAAAATAAGGCACAAAGCCACAAAACATCAGAAGAAGCCACAAAGTTTTTTTGGCAATTCCACAGTGACAAAAAAACCTGACTCGGTGACTCGGCTCGTCGGCTCGCCCTGCCTGGATCCCAAGCTGAGAGCGAAGATCCTCAGCACATGGAAAACTGATGGCCTCACTGAAGATCAGCAGTCAGTAACTAGGTCAGTAATTATTTATATAATTAGGTCAGAGCAGTCAGCTTGACAATGCTTGACAATGCTTGGAATGCCGTTGCCGCTAGCCATGCTTGCCATGTTTGCCCAACATTGTAACATGGTGGTTTGTAGTGTTTGGTCATGTTCACTGTTGGCATCACTGGCCTGCACGGACCTTCGAATGCCGCAGGCACGCCTCGGATTCCGTGTTGGGTGCTGCTGCAAGGTCTTTGGATGTCTGGGTCTTTGGATGATCAAAGAGTTATTTGATTTATTTGCCACAAAAAAACACAAAAAAGAAAAGTCCAAAGCCAAAAGGGCCAAAAGCATCATCAAGTCAGAGAGGTGGTGAAACAAGGTAGTGCTTTCTTCGCTCTGTTTTCCAGCAACCTGCTCCAAGATGTACAAGAAACGTATGTTCAAGACATTGCTCTTAGCTTTTTCAAGACTGTCATCGGTGTTGCGCTCCAGAATAGCAAGCCTGAATCCAAGGAAAACAAATTACCACGAGCCAAACCTAAAAGTGTTAGCGGCTCAATGTCAAACTATGTCAAACTATCATCTTGCTGAACGTGGTCAGATTGAGACTGCGAGTCTCAAGGATTTGCGTTGCTTTCATGAGCTTGCACGTGAGGATTTCGCATGCAGCCGTCCCTCAACAGAAAAAGTATCTTTAGAAGGGGACTACCCTGAGATTTGATTCTTTGTGAGACTATGACTATGTCACATAGTGTAATCGCCGCAAACCTGGGCCAAAAACTGCTTCTGATTTTGAAACGAATGTCCGTGCTGAACGAAACAACCCGCCCTCACAGAAACTCGGTCACGCTGAGCCGCACAGTGCCTTGGGGCCTTGGGCAGTGCAGTTGGAATGCAGTTGGAATGCAATGCCAAGGCAATGCCAAGGCAATGCCAAGGCAATGCCAAGGCAATGCCAAGGGGCTCAGGGGCTCAGTTGATGACTGGATGACTTTTCTCTTAGCTGAACAGTGAACTTAGCGAAGTGTTTCTGGACCTGAGCGCACCTTTTTCGATGCAGTGCCAAGGTGACCTACTTTGGTCTGCGGGCACCTGGAGGTAGTTGATACGTACCATACAGGCTGTCCATTAGGCCCATGACACCAAAATTCACATTGAATTTGGCATGATGCTCATCATGCATACCATTGTCATCACAAAACCAATATCCTGAATGCACAATCAGCGTGTGGATGGTTCCGACAGCCAAGAAAACTGCCAAGGCCGCAGCATGTGAGCGGCACAGGATGGGGCCCAACAAAACAGGCGTCACATTGGAGAGTAAGTGCTCGAAAGGATGGCAGTAAATGGCAACGAATGATACTGGAGAGGTCCAGGTATGGTGTATCTTGTGTACACTCGCATACATCTTCTTGTTCTCATGGAGCCACTTGTGTACATAGAAGAAGCAAACTTCTTCCACGAGAAGCCAAATGATCACATCTCTGGCTAACACATCGGTGCTGGGCAAAGCCCGCCAGTCATAAGAAGATTCCGGTAGTCCATAAATCATAATTGGGAGCCCCACTAGGACCTGAAGGACAAAGTTGAAGGCGATCAGTGGCAAGGAATCAAGGAGCAGTTTGAAATCCAGGTCCTTGTTCGCTTGAATCTTCCAACTCTTGACTTTGAATAAAGCTGGAAGAGCAAAGATAAGTCCAAAGCCCCAAAAGGATACGACCGAGTTGATAGTGGCGATGATACAAACTGCTGGCCACTTTCCCATGAAGACTTCAAATGCCTCGATACTTGGGATCCAACTTGGCAGAATGAAATCCAAGATGAGTTTCTCGATCAGCAACAAGCCGGTGATGGACGTCACCAAGTTCATGAAGCTGGGTCCCAGCATGTCTCGCCGAAACAAGCCATCTGACACCCGCGGCATCGAAAATGGACACGTCCTAGAAACCTTTGCTACAAAAAAAATATGCTTGGCCACTGAGCCAAAAAATGAAAAAGAAACAGCAGGACAGCAGGAGCATTTTCCAGTTGAGAGCTTTTTCACCAAATGTCCTACACAGAAAACAAGCGGAGTTGGCTGCCTGCGTGGACTGACTTTGTTGAACTTCAGAAAGGTTCATTGATGATGGAGGGAACAATGCACCAGGAATTGCCCCGAGGACAATTGCTACTCTACATGTGCGAGCTGCGACTCTGAATAACTGCCTGATGTGTAAACTAGGTTCCGCGCGACTGACGATGTTGAACTGCTCCGGAGTGAATTTCCCGACAGCGAGGAAGGAATTTGATTCTGTGTAAAGCTCGAATCCCATTCCAATGTCCTTTGTAGCCCTTTTAGAGTCTAGAGGATGTTGAAAAATGTTGAAACATATCCTATTCATGGCATCTCTAGCTCTAACGACTCTAACGTCTCTACCAAGACCTTTTGATCACACTGACAAGGTCAACTTACCTGGATTCCATCATAGTTCCACCATAGATGAACCAAAATTGGTGTATCTTGAGCCACAAGGAGCACTTCGAAGCGGAGATTTGCCATGGCCATATGGTGGCCAAAATTCGGTGCAGCGATGATTCAGAACTAAGCCACCAGCGATGCGTACATAGCCTTGGAGTATAAAGGGGTCAAAGTTTGATCAAAGGGCAACTAATTTTTGGGCCATGAATTGCTATGAGTGCCAATCTGGATCAAGAACTGGAATATCAGCCATGCATGCGTTGGTGTTGACATAATCTCTGCCAAGATGCACTTGATGAGTCACAAAGTGCTAGAGCTATCACGCAATCTCTGTGGCACAATTGGAGGGCTGAGCCAAAGTCAAGGAAATCGAAATGTCTAAAGCCAAGCCAAGTAAATAGAAAGCGAAAAAGGCTACAAAAACAGCCAACTCAATTCTCATTGCTGTCACGTTTGCACTTCTCCTAAGCTGCTACATGCTGCTACACATGTAGACAACCTTCTCAAGTTTCACAAAATACGAGAGCATCCGCTCTGAATCGAAGCTGTCTTGCACATCTTGCACCCTTCGTTTTTCTCCTTGAAAGTGGGTCCGCTCTTCGTTTGGGAATCAATGACGATGGGCAACTTTGTCCCGAAGCCACCACCCACGGGTGTCCTGTCCTGTGAACGGGTCAAAATGGGTCAAGTGGTCACTCTGCTTCGACAGCACATCCGCGGTGAAATCGACCAAACTGCTAAAACCTCTTTAGATCTCAAACATGATAAATATAGTATATAGTATATAATAGTATATAAAAATGTCCCATGGTGTCCCTTCTCTGGTTTGATTCGGAATAGATCGGAATGGTGCTCAATTCGATCTTACGAACACGTCGATAATTCTGCAAGAGAAAACTGAAAACCTCAGCAGCCTCCGTCCTTGATGGCCTTGGCAAACCGCCAAATGTATCTTCTGCGCACTTCCTGGCGTTGCACCAGATGCTATGATCACAAAAGACGTTCTCATGTCTTGTCTTTGTGTAGTCTATGTTCCAATGCAGTTCTAATGCAGTTCTAATGCAGTTCCAACAGTTGAAGACCACGAAAAGTTCTTTGAGTTCTACCATGTTCTACCCATATTGAGCAGTCCTGGGACTGCAGGTAGGGCACAAATTTGATGTTGGGCGTCATCCCCATGTTCACCTTCAAAGGCCACAAGGCCACAGAGTTGGAGTACACTTCAGTGCACTTCTGAATTGAAAGCTTTGCTTTGCTATGCTTTGCTATGCTTTGCTACAGTATGTTTTGCTATAGCTGCTAGGGTTTGTTTGTCCTTGTCAAATCGTGTTCCTTTCATCTCTCCAATAGCTCTACATTCCTCGGATCGCACCTTCAGGGCGAATTGAGACCGCAGTTTGGGCGCAAGGATGTTCAGCTGCCGTTGCACCCAGTCTGGGTCGTGGTCTGACGTCAAGTTGTACCTCAGATATTGGACCTGAAAAGTTCTCTCTTTCGACCTAAAACATCACTCTGAACTTTGTTTCTTGTGTTACAAAAGGGCAACCTCAACATCGACTCCGAAGTGATTTGATTACCAAGTAAACCAACTCAAAATTTGAGGTAAAACATGGTAAACCATGGTAAAATCACCCACTCTGGGATCCCCACTGGATTTCCTGTGTGCATCGCGGCCGTTTGGCGCGAATGCGAACGATGCTCACCGCCGCTCCACCGAGGTGTTCGTATAGGATTTGGGCGCTGTTGTGACTGAGGAAGCCCTGAAACCAAAACCATCAAAGCATCAGAAAACATGATGAGAAGACCATCAAATGCCGAATGCCCAAGCAATGCCTGAAAGTATTGACACAAAGGGGAAACTGGAGACATCATGAGACACCTACAGTGTATTAAACCGGTAGACACGCCCAATGTTGGATCAATGTTTGCATCCTGCCTCCAAGCCAGCATGGATCTTCTCACGCTGCCGCACCAAGCGTCGCTGGACGTGCCGCTGGATGGGGTCCAGAATCAGCTCACCCACCTGGCAGATTGCTGGTCAAACCATTGCAAAGTAAGGATGACTTTTACTGACAGGACTCATGTCAACTAAGTGACTGTGAAAACGGAGCCAAACTCGAACAATCTTGGTGGTATTGATATGTAGTGATCACACATATATTGATGTATATTATATTGCTGTATATTATATTATATTATATTATATTAATATTATATATTATTTTATATTATATTATATGTTATATTATATTATATTATGTTATGTTATGTTATATTGTGTTATGTTATATTACATCATGTTATATCATCTTATGTTATGTTATATTATGTTATATCATATTATATTATAGTATATTATATTATATTATAGTATAGTATATTATATTGTATTATATTATAGTATATTATACTATATTATATTATAGTATATTATAGTATAGATAGTATAGTATCATATATTATATCATATTTTTCTTTACTATATTATACTTTACTATACTATACTATTCTTTACTATACCATACTATACTATACTATATTATATTATAATATATTATATTATGTTATAATATATTATATGATATGATCTTATATTATACATCATATTATATCATATTATATTATATCATATTAATTTATATTGATAAATGGTATTATTAGTATCATTATTATTATATGTGTTATTCTTAAAAATATATACATACATACATACATAGGTGTGTGTGTATATATAATTATATATATATATTGGTGTGAACGTTGAGATCTATTTTGGCCCAAACCGGCAAGGTCAGGTCCCCACCTGCGGTTGGTTCGCCTTCAGAATGCGAGCATTCTCCACCTTCTGCTGGCGAATTCGTGCCCTGCCACGGCTGCCCCGGTAATGCCGTCGAGCCGTCAATACCATCAGATGCCATGACCATGGGCAAAAAAAGAAACAAAGGGCTATTCATGAATTTGACCCAGGCACATGCAGGCACATGCAGGCACCATCTAAAAATGTCTGGGGCGATTTTGACAGCTTTGCAGCAGTGACTTCGAAGTCCCTCCTGAAGCGGCTCTCCAGCTCTTCCAAACGTGCTCCTTCTTCCATCTTCTGCAATTTTCGGCTGCCAGGGTGGATGTCCTGCTTTGAAGCACCGAAAACGACATGTCGACAAGTAACGAGTGAGGATCTGGATCAGAATATGTTGGAATCACATGTCATTGTGCAAAACATCTGTTACAACATGGCCAAAATCTTGCTAAATCTGCAGATCAAAACTTGCAAATTATGGCACGGCTCATCTCCTGAAATGGCATAGGGTACATGTCCCCACCGCTAGCCACGGCCTTCTCCTGCGCGGGTTTTTGATATTTCAGGACCGGTTCAGCCCTGATTTCTGGTTCCAGAGCCTTCGAACAGAAAAAATCCTGTGCTCCGTATCGAAAACTGTTAAGTTATAACAATTGCTGCAGGCACAGAACTGAAATGGTCGCCAACGGCACTGTAGTTACTATGTAGTTGTTCTGTGCCTCCTCTTCTCGTCGTTTCTGCATTCGCAGCGACATCTTTGCCTCTCTCTGAGGATTGGGCAGCTGCGATTGCTTTAGCCTCGTGACCGTCGTGACCGAATTGCAACGTCAGAATTGTGGTGCCATGGAGGTGTGTCTTTTTGGTTTGAAGGATGTTGGTCTTTCGATGTCTTTGGTGTAGCTGTGAAAACAGCACAAAGAGCCTTGGCATTTTGAAGAAATTCCCGACCATTCCCATATATTGCCCTGGAGCTGCTGTCCAGCCCAGGAGCCAAAGGATTTTCCGATCCATCATCTTCTTGCGCATGTACATCTCCTGCATCCACAATCAACACCATAATCATTAGGGCTTCCGGGTGAAACGTGACATGGCTAGAATTACCATACAGATCACCCAAGCAAAACGACATGGCCAAGCCTGAAGTCTTTGCGCTTCTGCATGGGTGAGATCTTGGTAACGAGGGGGAAAACCACCTGCACCACAAGTGGCACCGTCCTCGCCCAGTGCTTTAAAGAAACCTGCAAAATGCGTGGTTTTTCTCCAGAGCTACGATAGCTACGAATGCTTCAACGGAAGACCCGTTTCTGGACAAGTGGGCTAGTGACGGCGAGTGATTGGAGTTCAGCGTGGTCGGATCGTTTGGATACGTTTGGATGCACCTGATGGGTATGTTTGACCCCGCAGGCTTTCGTAGTGAAGCCATGGCTTCGTTTTTTGGCTCTTCTGAAAGTCGGCCTGAAAGCATAAGTTGGCAACACAGAAAACCAGCGAAAATACCCTCTGGTAATTTAACATAGCTATTGAAAATGACCATTTATAGTGGATTTTCCCATTAAAAATGATGATTTTCCATAGTTATGTTAGTTTACCAGAGGGTAACAAAAATTATATTGAGATATATTGAGTATAAACAAGCGACTCTACGCTAAGAGATGGGACCTGGTCTTCCATTGGAAACGGTCTCGTTGCTTCAGCAACAGCAGCAACCTGAAATCTCCATCTCTGAAAAACAGAAATCACTTTTGAAGACGGCCTTGGGCAGCACTTGTCATATCATTATCAATATAATTCTACATAGTTGTAGAGGCATAACCATCAACAAGAAGGACTGACCACTGCTCAGGGTGGCACCATGCTTGGCCGGCGACTTGGGCGTAGGCGCACCTGCCCATGGGGTTGATGGGAGTTGCCAATGATACAGAGATAGAAAGCCTTGGAATTGTCATAGCATCCATCCTTTTCACTCCTTTTCCATGTGTTTCACTTGTACTGGAGTTCATCATTGAAAACAAATTCTCTCCACACATGTCGCAAATTGAAGTTCAAACGCGACTGAAATTCTTCAGCTGAACCAGCAGGCCTTGGGATCAAAGAGAGTGGTGTCTGGAGACTGCCCTTCATGGGCAGATCTGGCAATGTCCTGCAACTCCTGCACAACCCAAGATCTTGTGTTGAAAATGAAGATTGAAAGTGCTCAACTCAACACTACAAGTTTTCGGACGTTCTGTAACTGTTCAGAGCTTGAATGTGAAAAAAACATTAAAAAAACAGAATGTGAAGCATAAGCATGATGCACTTGCACTGCATCTGCCAGATACTGCCAGACACTGCCAGATACTGCATCAGCTCCTTTGCGAGGTATTGTTCATCGATCTTCTGCCAGAAGTCGCGCCTGTGAAATGAGATGAAATGAGGTTTGTACACCAGGTTGCACGAAGTTGCACGAAGTTAGGTATATTTAAATATTACGATTATTTTAAAAATATCTATATCATACATATAATATATATATATACAATCTATGTATATGTATATATATAATGTTAATTCATGTTATGTATATCGACATCGTTTGCTGTTTCACCTTCACAGCTTTACACCTTCACAGCTTCACAGCTTCCTTACTCAGACCGGGGCTGGGTGCTGAACCGCGCGCATCGACGGCGCAGCTGCAACGCACCGCTTGGGACCCGCCATGCCATGACGATTCAGAGACGACTCCAGAGATGTCCCAAAATGTCCCTGTTTTCTGTTGTCATTCGACTTACTACGGAAACAGCACTGGCCTTCTCGGGCCAGGATCGTGATGGGTCGTGATGGATCGTGCATGTGTTCCATTCAGAGAAGTTTACACCAACAACGAATGCAGGGTCCCTGACGGGGTCCCTGATGTCTCTGTGGAGTTTCTGTTTTTCCAGTAGCAGTTTCTTCTACACAATCACCTGGAGATCAGATTTCATTTCTATGTTTGCACAAGAGCAGCGGTGACGTTTGTCACGCTCTACAACAGCGAATGCTGCTTACAGCCAAAGATGACCACGTTCCACAAGCTCAAAAAACGGAAACGAGTGACAGGCAATAGCAAACCCGAATTCAATTCAGAATAATTGCTCCAAGGACACAAACTACATGTCTGCCCATTGCACAAATCATTCATCCTTTCGAAAGGATTTAGAAAGGATTCAAAAGCCACATCTTGCGTTTGAATCTGCCGCAGCTTCATTTTGCGCCCCTTGATTCTCTAATCGCACGATGGACCTGGCAAAACAGGTCACCGTGCACCAGAAAAATCTTGGCACCGAGCCGTCCATCCTGCGGCTTTTGAAAAGTTACAATCTGAAGAAATAGACATAGAAAGTAAAAATTGTTCGGCCTTAAACTTAAAACTGTGATACCTGCAAAGATCCAACGCAAATTGCTTGCCTCGAAACTATTTAGTGACTGATGTTTCCCCGTGATTCTTCGCTGAAGACATGTCAGGCTGACTCATCATGGTAGCGCTGGTACATGTCCTGCCGACGCGAAACACCCTGCCAACACCCCCTGCCAACATCTGCCAACATCTGCCAACATCTGCCAACACACACCAATGTCGGTATCAAAAATTTATCAGATATTATCAGATATGATATCAGAGGTCAAAGCTCGGTCCTCGCAAAAGTCGCGTCCCAAGACCGAGGAACAGCCATTGAAGGAGATGACGAGGTCCTTAGCTCATCCCCATGGCGATGGCCGCGATGGCCGCGATGGCCGTGATGGCCATGGCATGCCATGGCTGGAGCCCGGCTGAGCTTCTCACTCCCTCCTCAAAGCCGTCGTGAGGCTGCGCAGAGGGCCCAGAGCATGGAAATAGATAGATTAGATAAACATAGATTAACATGGATAAACATATAATATATATATATATATAGATAATCATATATAGATAAAGACACAAATGAGTCAAACTCCTTTGCGACGTTCAAATATGTTCAAATCGTTCAATATGAGCCAATCCCAAGAACTTGGTGGACGCACCAAAGCATGCTTGGTCTTCTGCACCAACCTCAGTGTGTCGAAGACTGCTTCGCTGCTTCCCTGGATTTCGTTCGGCTCCGCCGCTCCGCATTCAGATCATTCAGCCGAGGGACTCTTGTGGATAGGAGTTCAAGGCTCTCTGCCTAGCAAAGCATGAAGATATCCCTCTTGTGAACTTCAGAGCTTGAACCCCGACCCCGCTCCGATGATATCCCAGCTTTCCCGCTCCGAGATGTCCTTAGCAGTACCACGTGCGAATCGTAGCCGGCAGACAGTGGACCCGGCATAGATGGCGACCTTTGCACAGAATGTAATCAGAATGTGTCATATTTTGAGGTTTTCTCGATCTGAAAGACAGTCTGATAATGTTTGAATATGTTTGATACAAGTGTACTATAATTTTGTACGAAATGTAGAACTACGAGTACCACCTTCGTCCGCCTTGACGGTGACATTGTCATCCACTCCAACTGTGGACGTCTCCATGCTTAGGCCGTAACTGCAGCCCCTCCAAGACGGACGGCACCAGACCCAAATACATCAATGGTGCCTTCAAAACACATGAGCAATGCAGAGAAAGTACAGATGTATCACATGTATCACATGTTCGGAGTCAGATCAAAGATGAGGCGATGTGGTGATGTGAAGCACATTGAAACACAATGCCTGCTCATGCCATGGCATGTGCTGAAAGGACTGTGGCATTGGTGCTGAAAGTAGATCAACCTCAGAAAGGAAACAAGGCAGGCTGTGCAAATTCCAACAAATCTGGAAATCAATCCCTGATGGAATTTGCACAGGCAAATGGCATTTTCATGCCTTTCATTCGTTTCATTCCTCTCATATTGCCTTTTTCATCTCCGCGTCTCGGGTTTGGCGACCGGGTTTGGCTCAAACCCACTGGATTCGCGTGTCCGCCTTCCGGTGATCGGATCTCGCAGAAAAATTCAACTGCCAATATTTCACCCGGTCCTCAGTTGCTGCAATCAGAGCAAGCCATGAATCGACCACTTGACCACTGAAAATAACATCTTGACCCCAAATTGGTAGAATTTTCCGCAGGTCAGGCCAAAACATGGGGGCTTGCAACAAACATTGAACTGCCTTCATTGTCACAACTGCCTTCAGAAACAACTCAGGTCACCAACTGGCTTGGCATCCACCAATCAGTTCACGCTTGAGAATTCACTCTCCTGTGCTGCGCAAGTGTCACTCTGAAGCAGCATCGTGGGATTTGAGCCGTTGTAGTTCGGCAAGGTCTTGTTCATTTGCCTCAGTCAATGCTTCAAGCCGCGCTCTCGCACAGATTGTTCAAACTAAACCCCCTTGCACACATTGTGAATAACGGCTAGATGACCTGCAAAGACCCAACATCATCTGACGCCTCGAAGTCTTGAAAGTTGTCTTGCAATGAACCCCCGTTTCGTTGCCTGTCATTCCCGCACAACGGATTCTCCATCGAAACCCTCCACTTTGGCCTTAGTTTCAGCCAAAAATCCGGTAGTAATCCTTCCAGAAGTCCAGAGGCTCCCAGATTAGAGGCATATCAGTCTTGGTAAAGACCAATCTACCTAGGCAAGAGCAGCGAGCAGGCAGAACAACCACAGCTGGAGCGAGCTGTTTTGGAGGCATCACACAGAACTACAACACCGAGGTTGTCAAAAAAAACTCTTTTCTGACGCTTCATGGCCATTCAACCTTCACTCCCCACGTCAGTCTTCTGTAGATGTCGTGAAGAATATCTTGCAACAACAAGAAATGAAACCAAATACATTTTGATTATTTTGTTGGTAAGTGTGTTGGTTTTCTACTAAAACAGCTGCACTTCTTGGACTGCAGCGTTGCTAAGTTTATTGGGTCTCTGAATTCATATGTTACTGCCGATTCCACAGTACCAAGATGCTCTTCAGCGCATGTCGATAAGCATAATCCACTAGACTAGAGCCTTAGCTTTTGAATCAGTGACCCTGAAAAACATGTGCAGGATCAATCGTGATCAGTCTTGCGACACATCTCAATCGCGGCCGGTCAGGGATTGCAAGTCGTCTCTACATGGCCTGTTCCGACAGGATGGTTGGAAACATCGGAGTTTCGATGCCAAGATACAGTAGTACTTCCCATCCACTTCAGGAGGCTGGCAGCAAGACATTGAAACAGCCACAGGGTCACGAATGGATACACAATCATCATGGCTAATCATGGTGGATAATCATTACATTGTCATAAAATATAAATTTCAAATATATATTATATAATTTTGAAAATATATATATATAAGAATTATCTTTATCTTTTTGTTCAACTCCAGAATTCTGGTGAAATCCTACAAAATCATATGGATATCATATGGAAATATATGGAACAAACGGCGCCTCAAAGTCCACCGCATAGGGCACCCCGAGTTTGCTGCGTGCAAAAGCCACCGCCTCGTTGCGCACCTCCTCGGCGCAAAAATCTCCGCGATCTGCTCAGGATCACAAGATGTTGCAAATATAAACTGTATATATATATATATTATATTAATTTATAATATACATATATATATATATATAGATATAGATATAGATAGAGAGAGAGAGAGATTGTATGTATATTATATTAACTGATGTTGATATATGTTGACTGAGTTTGATCCTTCACAATCACATCATGATATACCTCTGCTACAGGCTGGTATAGGCTTGCAGAGTCAGTCCTACTTTCGGGTGGCAAGAACTTGTGCTACAGGGAATACCGGATTGGCTGTGACAAGTGGAGGAGCAAGTAACCCTCTGCTAACGAGCATCATCATCGATCTCTTGCACCTCCTTAGATTTGCGATGCGATCACAGCAGTGAAACTGACGTTGTTTGCTACAAAAAAACATATGAACAGCTACCAGTTACCATTTCATGTCACATGCTGTCAAGAACTGCAAGTTACTTGGACTTGATTGCCGTAAATCACAGTTGTGTTCCATAAATTGTCAGGATCCAAACATATCACCAAAAATTGAAAGCGGCTGATCTCTCTGCAGCTTACTCCATCCAAGTGTCGCCCACAAAGAAGGTCACGTGAGCTGGAAAAGAAGACCTAAGTGTTGACGCAAAGTACAAAGCCTGGGTCAAAACCACAACCCGAACCAGATCGCACTGCATGATGCGCCACATCCTACAGCCGAGACACAACCATTCTGTCAGATTTGACTGGCGCACGCCAACATCTTGTGCCTTGGGAAGCCCATTCCCGAAGCAGCACCTCTGAACCGAGATGTAGGCTCAACATGGCTCAACTAAGAAACTAAAGAATTGGCAGAATTGGAATTAAATTCTCCGCTGCGACTCTGCATGCTAGTTGCCTCAATGATCGTATCGGCATCTGCAGCTATACCCACGTGCATAGCAGTATCGTGGCCGGACACAGGATTTCCTCGGAACGGACGCAACGGCAATGCAATGCGCTCAGAAGGGGAATTGGCCTCGGGAGACTGTGCTTTCGAAGCCATTTCAACTTCAAACATCTTCAAACTATTTCCCAAAGCTCCCAAAGCCAGGACGAGACCTACGAACGTCCAACAAGTCACCATGTTCTCGAAGCCATTTGATCGTCGCTAGACCAGTTGCCTAAAGCATTTTGTGACAAATGGTGGTGGACGGAATATTACAATCCGTCCCAGGCTCCACTCCTACTACTGGTGTTTAGCACGTGTGCATATGCTGAATTTGCGATGGCAGAAGCAAGATATCAAGAATCCGCCTGAATTGCTTGCGAGAGTGGATCAGAAAAATTCAAGTTCCTTAGGCATCACAGAAGGATGGTCCAGGCCAACTGCTGGAGATCCATGGTTTCTGGTGCTGAATTTGAAACTTTTGGCCGCCCGGCTCATGCACCAACAGTAGATCTCCTTTACGGACTGCCTCACAGAAGATCCATGGACTTCCCGAAAGGTCCAACTGTTTACCAATGTTTACCACTTACTAGTAGATTTACATAGATTTACTAGTGACTTATTGTGCGTGTGGGTTGTTCTGGTAGTGATACCCACCTCTCTGGCCAAAGCATAGCTCTGCAGACTTCCCAACAGCAACAGCAGTGGTGCCATGCCGGACATGCTGCACGAAGCTCAAAAGAATTACGGAAGAATGGTGGTTTCATGGTGGTTGATGCACCTTCCAAATCAAAGTTGGACATCATGTTATTTAGATTTTCCATATGATCTGCATTTCTCCACAATGATGTCTACTCCATTCGTTTATCTTTCCACTACCGTGTCAAATCTATTGGCCCATAAAGCTGCAGCGACCAACATAAACCGCCACTGGATGCCACCAACGCGAGCCAAGCTTGGCACAGTTCGCGCCAGAAAGTCCTTGGCAGCAAGCCCCAGGGCCCCAACAAACTCTGAACGAACTCGTAATTCCTCTGCAGCTCAGCCAAACGCTCTGACACATGTGGGAAGCTTTCCCACACTGGGGTATGACATTGCTTTTAGGAACCTGTGCTGAATCTGGCGACAAGTGTCCTTGCCCCAGGCATTGTTCCGGAGAAGAAAAGAGCCGCTATTCAGCCTTGAAAATCATCTCAAAAAGGCAGAAAGGAGGTTGGAGAGTTGGAAATGCCATCTCTTCACCACGGAAGGCACCGACCGCATCTGCCAAATCTAGGGCTTTGGGGCTTTGGCATCATTCCATCCTCCGCAATCAACAATGAGGCATCTGGCGTCCTGACAGCTGAGGCAACTTGTGGCCCTACTTCAGTGACTACGCCACCATGATGAGATCATGTTGGAAACATCTCTGATTTTGTTCAAAACACATCTGCTCTAGAGCCTTGTGAAGGCTGCATGGATTAGCGCATCAACTGTTTTCCTGAGGCGGCATTGTTTCAACAAAATGAACAAGATGAACAAGGAAGTCTTGCAGCAGGATGGAGGTGTGCAAAGGTTGAAACATTGAAAGGCTAACAAGTGCAATCTGGTGCTTTTTCAGCTATTCAGACGTCTCACCGGCAGGATGCAAACTTTTTGAAGACGAGGTGTTCTGCTGATTCGACATGTCAGGTGTGGTCTCAAGAGGTTGCTCTGCACGGTTGGATCATCACTCACAAAATCAAATACTTGGGAACTTGGGAACTTGGGAAGATGTTTTGCTCTTAGCGCCAGTCGCTGGATTCATAAAAAACAGATCGCAGTCCACCCAGAAGAGCCAGTCATAGTCCTTGCAACAGCAGCCATTCTGGTGTTGCAAACTCAGAATTGCTTCCGCCATCATGCAAGAATTTGTCGACCGTTTACTTTCTGCACCATCTCTAGCAGCTACTGCTTTCGTTCCTCCATCAATTTGCAGTAGCGTTGTGCATGTTGTGCAACGCATGGACTCGCATCACTCGGCCAGCCAAACATGCAAAAATCCTCAAAGGGTGCCTCCAGGTTCCGTTGGATTGCAATGAGTTTGTTCATCCACGGATGTGCCTAGAGCCAAACACAGCTGTGCTATCCGCAGCTTCTGCAACAGTTTGCAACACTCGATTGCCACAAGACTTGATACATCTTGAATCATCTTGATACAATTGATACAGAAACGGATGAAACCTGCAAAGAGATGGCTGTCAAGCCGTCAAGATCCTCCCAGCGTGCAGTGTCAAGCAAAAAGTCAAACGCCTGCGTCACGAAAGGCTCTTCAATGTGCAACAGCCTTAACCAAGGAGCAAGACGTATTTCAGGCCGAAGAGAACATTCCAAACAAATCCAAACAATGTGTCTCAAGATTGGAGGCCCAGTTTCAAATAGCCAAGGGGCACAGAGCAAGGAGAATACTTTTAATGTACTTGAACATGAGATTCTAACAGCAAACGATAGCGCAGAATAAGCCAAGACTCTTGTAGCCATGTTTCTTGGCATAGGCGCCTGGTTCTCGTGAGTTTCAAGAAAAATGTTCCAGTTTGAATTTTGAATTTCACCATTTTGAACCCTGGAGCTATTACCATCCTTGCTCGAAAAGCTGCAATTTCTTCATCTGAAATCAATTGCCTTTGCTGCTTCGTGACTGCGCTGTGAGATTCGTGGCGCCTAGGTCGAAGATTCGAAAGCAAACGCGAAGAATGCACTGAATGCACTTGCAATTTCACTGCTTGGCACATGCTTTGGCGCAAGAAACCATTCGCAACGTGTTCTTTCGAAAAAAACATTTCCATACATTTCCCCTTGCCACTTTCACTTCGCTGTACAGTCAGAGCCGTGTGTCCCGGTGGATCCGCGTGCAGATGTCTTGGGTGCCACTGTACAACGGACTGCGCTGCAGCTGCACAAGCCACGAAGCACAAAGACATTCTGCACGCTGCTCAGCTGCTCAGTTCTCAAACGTTGCACGGCAGGAAGCGGCACCGGGGCGGCCAGGGGCAACGACGGGCAAACGACTCAGCGAATTTCTTCTCGCAAAATCTGGAGCTTCCGATCTCGATGGGCTCAACAGAAATGAAGCAAAGCTTGGTAAACGTTGCAACATGTTGGAACCGTTGGATCAAACACGTCAAGTGGAAGTGAAGGTTGCCAGCCTCAAGCCACTCACAGCTCTGTCTTTGGGCCGGTGGCCCGAACTCCCATCCATTTTCGTTGCAAATGCTTCTTGTAGGTAATAACCTGCAGTGCGCACCGACATGAAAATCATGAAACACTATGAAATGCAACGTACCTGGGCCATGAACAAGCCAAACCAGCCAAAACTCTGATCCTCAATCCTCCAAAGCAATACAGTAAGAATTCATAACAATTCTTTCTAACGACTGTGTCATGTGGTTTGAAGGGTTTGAACCTCCAAAATCTTTGGGTCCAATTCCTGGTGCCCTTCCCATCCCGTGCACCTCATCCAGGGTCTCCAAGCCATCGGTCAATGTGTTGAAGACCAGTCCCTTTGGCTTTGGCGCCACGCTTCGACGCTCCTGTGCCTTCTTCACATCGCTGGGCCGCAGGGGTGATGAACCCACTGGGTAGTGGAAGTAGACCTGGAGGAAAGCATGCCATGGCTTCTGGCTTCAACAACATGCAATAATCTGCATGGTACAATATTGCGTATATGTAATATGATTGCAATATGTATATATATATATTATTATATAGTACTTTGTAATATGCTGACATGAAACAGGTCAACAGATTTCAACAGGTCAGAAGTGATGTCCAAAGAGTCCCAGACCCCTTACGAACAGCCAAGACACCAGCGAGCTTCGCCCAGAAGTCGGGGTGGACTCCCGCACCCGATGCAGCGGAGATGGTAAGACACCATGAGAAACCAGCTCCAAATAGTCCTTGAAGGATGGTTAAGACATGTTAAGACATGTTAAGGATGGTTAAGGCTCATGATGGCTCATGATTCCGTGTTTGCCCAGGTGTTTCCCCGGGTGTTTCCCCGGTTCTTTATCGTTCTTCCATGCTTTGAGCATTCCCGAATTTGGAGACCAGACTTCGTCAGTGGTTTCGTGTGGTTTCTTGATTTTCAACTGGCTGAGAATTAGCAATTGCAGAGAAGGGGAAATCAGACTGGATTTCACATCAAATCGGCATCGGACATTGATCAGATATCAAGATGATCAAGGTCGGCCTTGGCACTTCTTGAACTCGCTTGCTTATTTGAACTTATTTGTGCTCAGATCACCTCAGATCTAAATGATCTAAATGATCTAATGAGTTCTAATGGGTTTATGAAGGATTATGAAGGTTTCCTTGGTCCAAGACTCTCCACCATTCACAATGAGGGCCCCCTCTTGCGATCTCACACGGTGATATTCACCTCGGAATTCCACAGACTCAGCTAGTTGACTCAGCCAAGAACAGGCAGTGGAAATGGTGGAAATGGTGGAAATGCCCCATGTCGAGACTTGAAAAGTGTTGCCCTTTGGTCATTTGGTCAACGAAAAGATGATAAAGATGTGGTTGGCCTTCCCTTTGCGTTGACAGATCAAGAATGAAAGCGCCGCGGCGATCTGCAGCGTCTGTAGCCACGTGACCATCTTGAAAGATCTCGATGCCACCATCACTACTGTCTTGGGCGATAATTGTCAGAGAACCTCGGATACAAGGCCCTCCCAAATCACCCATAATCAACAATAATCACCACCTGCAAAACCATGAAAAACCCATTTATCTTCAGGCATTCCTTCTTGAAAGTGGCCAAATTGTCTAGTCTAGGAGTCTAGCAATCGGTAGGTTCAGTCTTGCAAACTGTTTCATCTGTTTCAATGCACGAATTATATTAAATGATCGGAAATTCTCTTGGAAATCGGACTTGTCTGTCAGCCGGGGTGCCCCAATCTGTGTGGTCTGAGCTCCACAGCAGCTCTGCTGTGGATGGTGCTCGACCCGCACACCTCGCGTGCTGGACATGTGCTGAACACGTGCTCCATAAGAAGAAATCAGCGCATGCTCCACTCGGCTCGACATGGATCCCGCACTCAAAACACTCACAGCATCAAGGCATCATAGATTCCTATGATCATAGGGTCATAGATTCGTCATAGATTCCCCAGAGAAAATTCAGCAAAAGACAACCCACCACGTATGGGGAGGTGTGGAAAAGAAAGCGCTGCCATTGACATGTGCGAGTCAATCCGCACAGCCCCGTGCTGGACAAACAAACGGGAAACAGTCAGGCAAGCACGGACCATTGGACCATGCGAGGCAATCCTCATGTCCCAATAGATTTGTCATAGATTCCTGGATTCCCTGGATTCCCTGCCTGTCCGCTGTCGGCAAGTAGTGGAACACCCGGAAGGCTTCCAAACCATCTCCACCACCCGCCAGGAAAGCAGCATCCTTGCGCCCACTTCCCTTGTAGCATCGACTCCCTCCCACATCCACAAGATTCCACTAATGATGAGGCTTGCAGAATATTGGATAAAGAATGATAAAGATCCCAAACACATCTAACTAATTCAAAATGTATCATGCGGAGGTGTTCAAGATGTTCAAGATCTTTCCTCTCCACGGCGCCTCCGGAATCAAAATCTTCCTCTGCTGCGCCACGTCTGCTATACCATCAGCCAGGCGCAGTGCCAACAAACGCAGCTGTGCCGGCATCGTCTCGCACCAAGCACGACCCGTTCGTGAGAAAGCTGTATTGTTAAACTATATCTATCACATGAGTCAAGCCTAATAGCTTGAACAGCGAGCACGATCTAGAGCACGATTTTTTGCACGAGGAAAAGCACCAAAAAGCACGATTTTGTGCACGAAGGAAAACACTCAAAACAACGTTTGGCCAAACTATAAAGAAATCCATTTTTTGACTGTTACAGCTATTAGGACGGACATATTATGGTAATTAAATGTTGAAAATCATTAGAAAATGAAAAACATGTTGTCGCATATTCAAAACGACAGAAGATTCTTTGATATCTCTCGGCAGGGTCAAGCCATTAATCGGAAACTAAAACCCGTTAATCGGAAACTAAAACCCGTTAATCGGAAACTAAAACCCGTTAATCGGAAACTAAAACCTGTTAATCGGAAACTAAAATCATCGGAAACTAAAACCCGTGAATCGGAAACTAAAACCCTTGAATCGGAAACCAAAAACCCGGAATCGGGAACCAAAGCTGAATCGTAAACTAAAGCAGGTGAATCGGAAACTAAAACCTGTTAATCGGAAACCAAAAGAATCGGAAACTAAAACCTGTTCATCAATCCTATTGAGCATAGTGGCCAGAGGGGGTGGCGGATTTGATGTCTTATGAAGATAAGTTGAAGTTAATATCCTATTCAACATAGTGGCCAGAGGGGGTGGCGGATTTGATTTCTTATGATGGCGGATTTGATTTCTTAAGAAGATAAGTTGAAGCGGATATCCTATGTAGCATAGTGGCCAGACGGGGCTGGCGGATTTGATTTCTTATGAAGTGAAGTAGAGGGTAATATCCTATTGAGCATAGTGGCCAGAGGGAGTGGCGGATTTGATGTCTTATGAAGATAAGTTGAAGTTAATATCCTATTCAACATAATGGCCAGAGGGGGTGGCGGACAATTTCCTTTGAAGTGAAGTAGAAGGTAATATCCTATTCAACATAGTGGCCAGAGGAGGGTGGCGGATTTGATTTCTTTTGAAGTGAAGTAGAAGGTAATATCCTATTCAACATAGTGGCCAGAGGGGGTGGCGGATTTGATTTCTTAAGAAAATATGTTGAAGTTAATATCCTATGTAGCATAGTGGCCAGAGGGGGTGGCGGGTTTGATTTCTTATGAAGTGAAGTAGAAAGTAGTATTCTATTCAGCATAGTGGCCAGAGGGGGTGGCGGATTTGATTTCCTTTGGAGTGAAGTAGAAGGTAATATCCTAGTCAACATAGTGGCCAGAGGGGGTGCGAATTTGATTTCCTTTGAAGTGAAGTAGATGGTAATATCGTATTCAACATAGTGGCCAGAGGGGGTGGCGGATTTGATTTCTTATGAAGATAAGTTGAAGGTACTATCCTATTCAACATAGTGGCCAGAGGGGGTGGCGGATTTGATTGCCTTTGAAGTGAAGTAGAAGGTAATATCCTATTCAACAGAGTGGCCAGAGGGGGTGGCGGATTTGATTTCCTTTCAAGTGAAGTAGAAGGTAATATCGTATTCAACATAGTGGCCAGAGGGGGTGGCGGATTTGATTTCTTATGAAGATAAGTTGAAGTTAATATCCTATTCAACATAGTGCCCAGAGGGGGTGGCGGATTTAATTTCTTTTGAAGTGAAGTAGAAGGTAATATCCTATTCAACATAGTGGCCAGAGGAGGGTGGCGGATTTGATTTCTTAAGAAAATATGTTGAAGTTAATATTAATATCCTATGTAGCATAGTGGCCAGAGGGGGTGGCGGGTTTGATTTCTTTTGAACTGAAGTAGAAAGTAGTATTCTATTCAACATAGTGGCCAGAGGGGGTGGCGGATTTGATTTCCTTTGGAGTGAAGTTGAAGTAGAAGGTAATATCCTAGTCAACATAGTGGCCAGAGGAGGTGGCGAATTTGATTTCCTTTGAAGTGAAGTAGATGGCAATATCGTATTCAACATAGTGGCCAGAGGGGGTGGCGGATTTGATTTCTTATGAAGATAAGTTGAAGTTAATATCCTATTCAACATAGTGGCCAGAGGGGGTGGCGGATTTGATTTCTTTGAAGTGAAGTAGAAGGTAATATCCTATTCAACATAGTGGCCAGAGGGGGTTGCGGATTTGATTTCCTTTGAAGTGAGTAGAAGGTAATATCCTATTCGACATAGTGGCCGCGGATTTGATTTCTTATGAAGATAAAAGGAAGTTAGTATCCTCTTCACATAGTGGCCAGACGGGGTGGCGGATTTGATTTCTTATGAAGATAAGTTGAAGTTACTATCCTATTCAACATAGTGGCCAGAGGGGGTGGCGGATTTGATTTCCTTTCAAGTGAAGTAGAAGGTAATATCGTATTCAACATAGTGGCCAGAGGGGGTGGCGGATTTGATTTCTTATGAAGATAAGTTGAAGTTAATATCCTATTCAACATAGTGGCCAGAGGGGGTGGCGGACAATTTCCTTTGAAGTGAAGTAGAAGGTAATATCCTATTCAACATAGTGGCCAGAGGGGGTGGCGGATTTGATTTCTTATGAAGTGAAGTAGAAGGTAATATCGTATTCAACATAGTGGCGGATCAACATAGTTTCTGATTTTCTGGTTCTGGTTTCTGATTCGCGGTTTTTGGTTTCTGATTCGGGGGATTTTGGTTTCTGATTCGCGGGAGTTTGGTTTCTGATTCGCGGGATTTTAGTTTCTGATTCGCAGTTTTTAGTTTCTGATTCGCGGCTTTTAGTTTCTGATTCTTTGTTTCTGATTCGCGGTAAGTTTCTGATTCGCGGTTTGTTCCTCTTGGCAGCTTTCGTTCCAGTCAACCTACATAGCTCATGTCCATGCTATAGGGATGAAAAAGGATGAAAAAATCTGAAATCTTTCTGATATGATGTCTTGATGAACTATCAAAGACTTCACGGACGTGACTGGTCGTAATCTCGCGGTCCTGTGGCGTGTCGTTTGTTTTTCAAACGCTGCGACCTCCAGTGGGGACAGCTGCTCTGGCGGCAAGTCTTTCGGAAGTCGATTGGGCGCCAGCCGTACAGAGCGCTCGCCGGCCGCGAGGCTGATGCCCTCCTGGGCATGGCGCAGGATGGCGGGACTCGAAGCAGAAACAAGGGGAGGATAGGGGAGGTATTTGGAAACTGCATGGAAACTGTCAATGCAGATGTTCACCAAAAATCATCAAAAGATTTTGAGGCTATCTGTAGAGTTTTAAAAAATTAGACCTGACCTTTGAAATAAGACCTGCCATCCTTTGTGTTTCACTGCGATGCTGTCCTTGCACTCAAAGCGACTTGCACGTGTCCCAGACTCAGCACCAACGCCAAAGTAGCCACGGACTACAGGTGCATCTGCAGTCGGTGGTCCTGCTGAAAAAAGTCAGTGCAAGTCCCACCTTTCAAATGTGAAAGTGGCTCGAAAAGACACCCAAAATGGTTCAAGCTCTTGGAAAATATGTCAGCATGAAACCCAGATAGTAGAAAAATAAGCCAAACTGCCAAAAGACCTCTGGGCAATCTGGGCAAGTCAAATTTGCCGAAAAAATTGAAGGTTTGCCCAAAAAAATAACTGTCCATCTGCAGTTGTTCATCGCCTAATTCTTTCACACAGACCCATAATTCCAGTTCTCATTTCTGAAGTCCCCAATGATATGCCCATCATCTTTGGTGGTAACAAACTTAACAAACCCTCACGAATAGTTCAGGCGAAATGACAAATAGATCAACGTCTCTCTACATCGAATGATCAAATAAACATATGCAAACGATCTTAAACATATGATAACAAGATTGATATATATATATATTGATAACAGTTAGCATTGTGCTCCCCCGTCTTTTTCCCTGACCCGCCCAGATTAATATAACATAAATTCCACCAGCCTACACCCTCAAAAAAACATAACAGCCAAAACAAATTTCATCTTATAAATATGTTTCATAAGATAAAATCTAATTTTCCTTCTTCTTAAAATTCTCCTGATGTTTCATTGTTGTTGTATGCCTCTTGTAATTCTTAAGTTGAATATCATAATCATCACATACAGGGCACTTCATCCATTTTATCTTTTCAAATTCCTCTTTGTCATCTTTACCAATATTTGAAAGGTGTTCCCTTGAACGAATATGCTTTGACCAACTGCCTTTTTGAATTTCAACTTTACAGTCATCACAATATACTTTTACCTGTTTATCCTCTTTTGTTTTTTCAGCATTTTCTTTTGCCCATTCTCTTCTTTTTTCAGGATTATTTTTTGAATAGAACCTGCAATACTCTAAACAAGTCTGACACTGTTTATATTCTCCAAAGGGCTTTACCTTTCTACATTTGGAACATTTTTTTGTATCCTCCATAATTCACCTAATATATATAGATACTTTCCCTTTAAATCCTTTTTCCCTATATTATTATAAAACCATTATCATAAATCATAACCAATAACCAACAAAACAAAAAAACTCAAACAACATAAGCAATACAATAGATTATAAAATAGACTATACCAAAAACCATAACAACAAACCAAAACAAAAGACAATTTCACTTTTATAAAATGAAATTTTAGTATCATTCTTCTTCAAATTCTCCTCATGCTTCAAAGTGTTTGTGTGCCTCTTGTAATTTTGAGTTTGAATTTCATAATCATCACTTCAAATTTATGGGGATAACCAACATAATTTTCATAATCATTTACTATGAAGATTATGGGATTAATTACCACAGTCTCCCCCTATAGGGGAAGCCTCAGCCCCCAGCCAATATCTTTCTCAACATATCTCTTTAATTACCGCAATTACCATGCCCAAACCGCCCTTCATGAACTTGTTGATGACCATGTCTTCTTAACCTCAGTGCGATGTAAATGGCACAGCAATCCAAACTTTTGGGGCGAGATGGAGTGAGAAAGATTTGTGTGGTGTGCCTTGTTGGCGCCAGCATGTCAAGCTTTGAAGGCTCACTGGCATGAATGCTCTATTGAAGCAATGTCCTATTCCTACTTGACACCCTGAAACCTTGCTACCTACAGACCTTGTCAATCATAAAAGCATCTGCTAAGAGCACTGTTTTGCAAAAGTCGCCCTCGCGGCGAAGCAAGTCCTGCAAGTCGCCCTCGCGGCGAAGCAAGTCCGTGAGTCAGCATCATGCCATCTCATGGCCAGACGTCACCTATCACACAAGTCTTTCCAGCTTCTCTGCGCGCAAATGCAAGCTGATACGGGGTTCCAGCGGCAGCATTTTCCCTTTTTCCAGTGCCCGCCTTTACACTGCCAATCCAGCACGCAACAACCGTTCGTCTCAGTCTTCTCCTTGCCGACGTTTTCGGACGTGCGCTCCACTATGCTGCTTGCGCTTTTCTCGGTCTCCTGGCCGACGTTCTCGGACCGGGGCCAAGTGTCCGGCCCAGTCTCCTTGCCGAGGTTCTCAGGCTTGGGCAGCCTTTCCTGTGCCATGACGTTGTTGCAGCTCACGCACAATGCAAGGATGAGGCAAGCGAATACACCGGATTTGAGCGCCATGGCAATGCCGACACCCTTGAGCTAAAAAGCGTCCCTGAGTGGCTTGAGGAAAAACTCGCAAAAACAGCTACGGAAGAACATAAAGATGCTGAAAAATGACACAAGGATCCAAACTAAAACAAAAGAGCTAATTTCTGTAGCTTTCCATTTGAGAATGTCAAAGGGGCTCAAAATGAAACAAATTCCAAGGTCGAGCTCTCCAAGAACATGTGGTTTCAAACCTCCGACTGACATATTCCCAACAGCTGAGCGCCCCGACAACAGGATGAAGAAGAGATTGATGACAAAGCCAAGGCGGGGCAGAAGGACAAAGGAACATAGAGTAATCCCAGCCAATGACCCAAACTTGCCAAATGCAAATTCGTGGGGAAAACAAATGAAGGGCAAAACACAAAACCCCGAAACCAAAACAGCACATCAAATCAACCATCTCATGGTTGCATCAAGTATAGGCATAAGTAAGAAAAACAAATGCTTAAGGCTTTCTAAAAACACTAAATCTTTAAAAGTTCGTGCCTCATCAACAATCTTGGGTAATCAGTCAATTTGTAATATTTTTGGTTCAACTTTTCTGCAATCTCTTGCACAACATAATAACCTTTCAGCCAGTGGGAAGTTCTTTCTTTCTCTGTAATTGCTTTCTTTCTCATTATCTTTACCTTATCACCGACAAATAATTCTGGATAGATTTTTTCCTTCTTTGCCTTTGATGCTACATTAATCATTGCCCTAAATTCATTTTTCTCTTTCCTTGCTTGATTAGGTGTCATACCTGTAGCGGAGTGTTTCATCTTATCATTGTATGTCAGCATAATTTCTAAATTGTAGTCTGTCCATTTGATATGTTCTCTTCCTTTCTTTTCATCTGCTTCAACTCTTTTAAAAAGCATATCTTTGTAGGTGCGTATAAATCTTTCAGCAAAAGCAGGATGACCCCTTGTCCTATACAACTCAATCTTCTCACCTTCAATATAGTCTTTAAAATCACCTCCTGCTATTGCTTTTTCATCATCACTGTATATGATTTTTGGTTTCTTTCCCATTCTTTTTAATGCCTCTTTAGTTGCCTCAATAACATCAGGTTCATTCTTGCTTACAATTGGAATTACTACGGCATACTTGCTTAAAACATCAATACAAACCAATCCTCCTCTATATTTTTGTTCTTCATCAAAATCATAATACCCCATAAAAAACAAATCAATTTGATAAGTATGATTGTTATGAGGTGCTACAAAGGAATTATGCCCTCTTGGCTTTGCTTTTATCTCAACATTTTTCCTAAAGAATTGTTCAACATCCTCTTTCTTGATTGTAGGTTCTTTCTTTTTAGCATCTTCTAATGTGGTCTTTCTTGAACCATAGCCCGCTTTATCAAAATAAATATCACGAATAATTTGTTGTTTCTTACTTTCACTCATTATAGAATAGATGATATAATAAATATTAAAATTATATCATTTATTCTTCATTTTGTTTATTTAACCAGTCTTGGTGCTTTTGTGATTTCTCGTGTCTTTTTTTGTGTTGAAATGTGTAATATTTGCCACAACCACACAAATGTTTTTCCAGCAAGATGTGTTTTCTTTCTTGAAACCGTCTTCTATGATATTCCTGTTCTTCTTCTTTATGAAGTTCTTTGTAAAGGTCATTTCTGAACCTACAATATTCATTTTCATCTTGGTAATATTCTGCTGGTGTTCTACACGGCACACATTTATTGATACAGTCATTGTTTTTGATATAGTAGCCCTCCCTCCGTCTTAACTCTTCCTTGCTATTACAAGGGTAGTTTTCTACTAATTCAATTTTGCAATTCTCTATACCGAATTCATCAAACAAATCAAAAGAACGTGTATTTGTAATATTACCTTTCAAGTATGCTGTGTATTTGGCTCTATGTCTTGTCATTCTTTGGCTCAAACTTTCGCAAGTAGAACCATAATAGGTTTTATTATATCCTACATCTACTATTTTATAAATCTTACCATTTTGATATTTGCTCATATCCCTACTTATCTTAACTTATCTTTTCTTTAAAACCATTTCACATTAATATCTTATTTGAAAAAGCGCAATTACAAGACACACAATAACCTTTACAATTATCTTTAAAGTGAGCTTCACAACAATTAACCCTTTGACAGCTAATATTTGATGAAACCTTGCCATCTTCAAAATCTATCACCAATGGTTCATTACAATTTTCACACTGGGTATTCATCAGGTTCATCAAAAAATCTACATCAACATACTCATTTCCTTCTACATCTCTACCTGCTTTTTTGTCTTGCTCAATGTAATTTAAAACCTTTCTCTCAAAATACTGCTCTACTATCCTTTTAGATTTACTTTCTTCACCTTTATTATATTTGAAAAACTTAATTTTGTTGAAGTCTGTAGCCCTTGTGAGGGCTGTAAAAAACCAATTCTTACTAACATACCATTCATTCCAATCATATATGACTATATCACCATCAACGCTACAACCTTGCTTTGAATGTGCGGTGTAGCAGTAAGCATATATAAAATGTTTTCTCAACAATTCTATTTTTATGTTTTGCTTCTCATTTGTTGCCACATTTTGTAAAACAACAATATCCCCAACGATATTTGAAATCCTAAATTTAAAATTAACATTAAATTTTGTGCCCATAGTCTTGATATATTTTCGGCATATAACTTCCTCACCAATAACATATTCTTCAGTTATATTTTTCATTTCTCTGATTTTGCTTGACACCATTTTACAGGTGTTATTCGTATAAGCAATATTATTATCATACATTTCTATCTTGTCAGTCCATTTGAAATAGTTATCAATGATTTCTCTAAAAGGTGTGCCTTCA